TGATTCCTTCCACAAAGAAAGCTCAGGAAAGCGCTCAAACGATCGTGACACTTCGTTCAAAGCGCACAGAATTTTCGCTTCTCTCCTTTTCTTCATCGAAACGAATCAACACTCCTGGTGCGTCCAGTTCTTTTTCCCGCTTCTGGACAGTGATCAGATTCACTGCTATGTTGGCTACATGAGACTAAGAACCATTTACTTCAACTGTGTCTTGCCGAACAGAAACAAACTGAGGTTGACAGTGAAAGAAGAAAGGAGAACTTCAGGGAAAGTCGCCGCCGTGTACAAAACTTCAAAAGACTGCAAACTGTGCAGTCTTCTACGACCGGTCGACCAGTGATAGCAGTGGCTAGTGCAGTGTCCAAAATCAAACAGAGCGCGATCCACGCGCGGCCTGAGCAGGACAGGCCAGTTGGTTGGAGTAGTAAAATACTACTCCCTTGTCAGCAGTGTGTACAACAGTCGCATGCAAACTGCACACAAACAGTACAGAATGGTCTTTGTACATACCGGTACGCATGGCCAGTGCATCGCAGTTTTGGGCGATAAAAATCGAAAAGCGAATCGCAGCCAGTGAATTTTGATTCGCAAACTGCGATGCGAACCCGGATAAATCGATCCCCTGGAAGGGATATAGCAGTTGCCTCTGCACATGGTAAGTACACACAGCTTTGCTTCAAAGTTCGGCAGGGCACGTCAACAGGAGAGAGAAGTTACAAGTCGGGGCAGTTACCTTCGGACTCCTCCTGGACAGGGTTCACCAACAGCATGCTGATACGTCTCCTTCACCGTCGTGATACGCCAACCACTGGTGCTTCTCAAACAAAGACAGCTGGAGGAATCGCTTCGATGTGCCCAACTGCTTTCTCTTGTCAGCAAGTAGCGAGAATGGCAACGAGCAACCGGACACTGGTTTTCTGGACCGAATCAACTGCAATTTCTGCGAGTCCAACAATTTCTCAATCCATCCAGGCTCTGCTGGCTAGAGCTTGGCCTTTTGGGATGTCGCTGAGACATCGTCGAAAAGTCTTCGCGACAGAGTCAACCAAATCACATTCGAACGCCGAGGCGATAATCAGAGCTCAAAAGATCGTTGTGCAAAGTAACTTAGTTGCGGAAAGAAGCGCTTGCCTGTGACAAGTTCACTGTTGTGTCTTTACGCGCTTGCACAGCGCCGCCCCTAAACCCGCCACTCCCAGTTTGTTATTATCAGCTAACAAGTCAACGAAAAGTTCTAGCTGATTACCTCTGCTTCCTTTGGAGAATGGAAGCATACGGCCATGGCTCTTCGACAATAGTCGTCCCTGTCAAATGTCCGTGTCTGGTCATCCTTGCCCAGCCGAGTATGAACGCCTGCGGGATCCCGTTCTAGCAATGTGTGCTTGGCGCTTGTCGAACTGTCGAGTTCACGGTGATTGACGCTCCTAGCTTCGGTAGATGTGACAGGATTCAGCTTTTCGTCGGACGACAACATCGTAATACGTTCTGCGCCGGGTGCAGCAGACAGGTACAGGGGACGATGGGAATGGCGGGAACTTGAAGCTAGACCTCACCTGTCCATACTCGCTGGTAAAGGACTTCAACGGGACATACATGTACTTCTCAAGATACTTCTTGCACAGAATTTACTAGCACCAGTATTGTGAACTGTTCTTCTTCCGTGGCGACAACTTCTGTGATCTTTCTCATTCTAGCCGGGCTATAAGCAGGCCTGTCTAAGGCTATGATCGTTTGGTCGGATCCAAATCCAGACCCCAATCTCAGATCCGTCGGATCCTTCAGAATCAACCGATCATTTTTTCCGGACCTTGGCTGTTGCCATGTTCACGAAGTAAAAAATGGCGCCGACAGGTCACCCGAAAGGGCGAAAGTCGTACTGATCACGAGCGTCGTACGAAAGGTCAACAAGAGACTAGTCGTACGACAATGAGTACAAAGTTATTTAACATGATTTTACCCGCCATATACACACAAAGGTCACATTTGGATCCGATGGATCCAGTCAACCCTGCTCCTGGGGCAGGGTTGCTCGGATTCAGAAGATCCGACTACGCTCGAGCAAGACCCTATGCAGAGCTGGATCCGGGGTGTTTGATTTCGTTCTGCGACATCATGATGATGGCATAGTTTGTGCAGATGTGTGACGTCATAGATGACCTTTGCATGGCAGTAGATTGGGAACAACCAGTAATTTTCATATGCCCACACTAAAGTTTCGAAAGTCTGACTTCCTTGCGACAGTGGAGAGGTAGGTTGCTAATATTGCCGTGTCATTCTCATGCATTGCGTAGTCATAATAATAATATTTATGGTGTCACCAACACGTTTACTGTTTCGTCTTCTGAAGCCATCTTTTCTCATCTTCTTTTCCTGTTCTGCCGAATAGAATTGCGCCGACAGAGGCGGCGCAGAAAGCATGAACTACGCAACGCAGAGGGCGGGCCAGACATGGAAGACGACGAAGAGTACAACTCTGACTTTGATGATGATAGTGATGTGGATGGTTTCTTCGACGGATATGCACCCTTCTGAGAAAAGCAGATGTTTGCCTTGTTACAATTCTGATTGAGTATCATCTACATCTACAATTAGGTTGCTTTGATTAACGTTTTGAAGAAGGAGAAGAAAAAGGATCATTTCCCTGTGTTCTACTGTTGCTGCTGCTGCTGCTGTTTTTTTCCTGTTGTGTTTTAGACCTTTCGTGAATAACGTTACATTGATCTTCGTTTGCATACATTTTGAAGCAGGCTCTTCCCTGCGAAACTTTTAAAGATTTATCTTTTATTCTGACTTATTTTTGGTACTCGAAGTATTTTGTGGGCTTCTCAGTCCTGGGTCTTTTCTTTTTTCATGCTAAGTTCAGCTTTCTACATGGGGCGATCGTTTCAAAATTGGGTGAAGCTTGCCGGATTCCTTTGTCCGCGTCTAGTATCACTCTTTCTTAGTAATCTGCTTCCCATTGCTCCAAGCCTTCTTATGAGCAACACGATCCTTTCTGTCGATTGATTTGGTTTTGTGGGCCATGCTTTCTTCTCATACCAGTTTGGGCTTTTGACTTCTTCTGAGGCTCTGTCAAGAGAAACGTTTCTTCTTTTTAATGTACTTTGAAGTACTGTCCAGCAAAACCTGGTTTAAGAGACCACCCCACGGTGCAAGCAAAAGCGGTCGTTAAAGCCAGGTGGTCTTTAGAACCAGGTCCCCACAGTGTCTGTGTAGAACTATCGGTGCATGGAAAGACGGTCGTTAAGAGCAGGTGGTCGCTAAACCCAGAGGCCCCTTACACCAGGTTTTACTGTATATGTACGACCAGAGTCTTGTGGCAAGGGTATTATGACCTCTATGAATGAGCATGTAGAAATGCGGTTGCGTTGCAAGCTGCATGAATGCTCGCCCTATTTGCACTTTATATTAATTAATTTTATCTCCTCCCAGATCAAGATATTAGAGTTGTAGTATCTATGGCATGCGTTGAGACCATGGGGTCATGGTTCGCCTCAAGGCACATTAGCCCTTTCTTTTCACTTCTATATCCATGCAAATCCATCCGCATGTGTGCATTTTTGAAAGGGGAAGTTAAAAGCCTAAATTCAATTTTTCACCGGTTGTAGTCTTCGGGGTGCTGAGTCGAATGGTCTTGGTCCGAGGAAGCTGAGGCGCTCCCTTCCTCCTTTATTCCCAATCGAACTCGCGCACTTCCACCAAAACTGGGTGACTGCGCCCTACTAGATGTACATTTAGATGGGGATTTGTATGCAACATGTCACTAAAAGCGCCTTGTCGTTCTTATAAAAGCACGGAGGACCGCAATTGGCCCATATGTTGTAGTCTTTTGGACGCTGAGTCAACTGGTTTTGGTCCGAAAAGGCTGCGATGCAGCGTTCGGCCCTTATTCCCAATCGAACAGGGTTGAACAAGCGGTCACGTGCTCCTGCGTACACAAGTCACCTGGTCAACGCGCCAGCAGGCGACAACTTTCACACCAAGGTTCAGCTCCAAGGTTCAAAGGTTCAACTCTAGAGACAGAAACTCGCCCAAACACGCTGTAAGTTGTAGCCTGCAGGCATCGTGACCAGGTGACTGGTGTACGCAGGAGCACGTGACCGCTTCTTCAGCCATGTTCGATTGGGAATAAGGGCCGAACGCTACATCGCAGCCTTTTCGGACCAAAACTTGGGCCAGTTGACTCAACGTCCAAAAGACTACAACATATGGGCCAATCACGGTCATCCGTCCTTTTATAAGAACGACATGGCGCTTTTAGTGACATTTTGCGTACAAATCCCCACCTAGTAGGGCACAGTCACCCAGTTTCGGTGAAAGTGCGCGAGTTCGATTGGGAATAAAGAAGGAAGGGGGCGGCTCAGCTTCCTCGGACCATTAAAGTACGCACCGGCAAATGACGGGCATAGTCGTTTTGCATTGTCATTGTGGCGACCACTGTGTCCTCCATTTGCTCTGATGAGAGTGACCCCTCATCCGCTCGTAATTTATTTTTTAATTTTGTTGAGGCTACTGCTTACAAAGGACGTGTGGCTTTGCCAGCTAGGTCAACATCCTTATGTTTGGTCTTCTTATACCAGGATCTACATACTTACATGTAGTACATGGAATGTACTAGTACATGACTGTACAAAGCGAAATAAAACTGTCTTGACTGGTGAAAGTGCTCAACCCAAGCTAACGACACTGTCATCGACCTGGTTGTCTTGAAACTCGGAGTCACAACACGCATTTTAAGCCTTGTACATGTACTTGGCATGTGTGATTTGCAGGGATTATTATCGAGATACGTGACTACATGTACAGAATACAGAATTATGTCAGATCAATATTTTGTACCCTGCATGCAGCAGGGAGTCCGGCGTCAAATACCACTACTCCCTGGCATGCAGCCTTGCACTTGTCGCACTTGTACTTGTAGTTGTACTTGCAGGTAGAGCTAGCTAGCTAGTACTAGTAGTAGTACTAATACAGCGGTGTGTACATGTGTAGCGTAGATCGACGACTCGACGAAGTGGGAGTGCATGACCCAAACAGGCATTGTTGAATTGACTCGACTTCGAGATCTAGTGCGGACTGAAGTGGTTCCACTTCAAAAGCTCTGACTACCAGACATGTAGTGGATGATTCCGCTTGACAGGGGATCATTAATAATTTACTTCATCCTGTCCATCAACCATACCTTGACTTCAATGGTCTGAGCGGCTCTCTTGGGCTCGGAGAAGCTTCCACCGGTGCCGAGCATGCCGATCAACCTACCATAATGTGACGATGACTGTTTATAAGAGGGGATATCAACAATCAGTCATAATCAAGTCATTCAACTTCCGAGACTTCAAGAGGGTCCTGGATTGAGCACTGGGCCTCGGTACCTCCAGGCGACCCCTGCTACTCGGCTCTAGTAATACTAATACTAAAATAGCCAGTCCGTATGGCGTAGACCAACGTGACTTCCTTGCTGCTTGGCTGTGTTAGTGCGAGATATGCCATGAATGCACCACTACCATCATGCACCACGCTGCCTACACTAGCAGACCCATGCAGAGACCATGCCAACTGACTGTACTGGCACCATGTACCAGTACTACTACTAGTACATGACTTGTGCATACCGACAACTGGAAATGTACATCCTTGCCTCTTGGTGGACCGCCAATGAACATGATGAACGCTACTTCTTTCAGTGGTTCACCCCGTCACGGGTAGTTTGCGTGTCATCCATCCACCAACTTTTCGGATAACCTTTCTAGCGAGTCGAGTTGCCACCAATCCCTCCTCAATTTATCACCACCTCCAGTGTGTATTTACGCCGTCAGCGGACGCTCCGCGGATGTGTCGCAGTGTGTGTTTGGACTTCCAAACATCTCCTCGTTGTAGGTGTCGTGGACTCGTGGTGTCACCTCACTCTAAAGTCTAGCGCTCCACGTGATCCCTTTCCCAGTTTTCTGTGCTGCACCAGTAGATCTACTACCGGACTTCTTTACGAAACGTCAAAAGATTGCAGATACTCCGTTCGGCGTTCCTAGAGTAAGACCATCACAGATTCTGTGAACCTGAGTTTCATTCCAATAGCCAGGACTAGAGTCTCAGCCAGGCAAGTTCCTCGCCTTCAATGCGATAGCGCGGTGCGAAGCGTGAGTCCTGTAATGCCGTTGGCGTGCAAGTTTTGGCTTGTCGACGCGCATGGCTTTGTGACATTTTTATGATAGCTGTTGTAGAAGATGCAGCTCATTGTGCTAAGCAGAACCAAGCTGGAGGGAAGCGGGATTTCCGCCTGTCGGAAACTTACCGCTCTCCTGCTGGCATTAGTGTTCTTCTTGGACGGCAGCAGTTTCTTGTTCCAGCATGAATGCGTTGTCCGAGCACAGCGCCTGAGTACAGTTGAGCCTGACGAGGCGTCGACGACAAGTCCACAGGACGTTGGACAACCTCCACTTATACCTGTTGCTATTCCTCCCGAAGGTAAGTGTTCTCCCTGTTCCGGAATGTTTCTAAGTTAGTCGAGGAAAGTGGTTGTGGGGTTTTCATGCCCTTCAGTTCAGGTTGGTGAGCAGTGTGCGTTTCGTTGGAGACAAAAAGCCTCTCGGTACCTGCAACGCCTCTTACACTCTGGAAGCGTGTTATGCATCCCAGTTTGTTGGGTTCTTGCCAGGCTTGGTCACCATTGGTGATATCAAAATATATAAATTTTCTGAAGTGTAGTGTGTAGTATCACGGTGCTGCTCGTTTGTAGTGTGCAGCATTCGGTCATAAGTAATGAAAGCAGCGATAGCCGATAGGTGAGTCTTTGACAACTACAACCAGGCGCGCGCGCTGGTGCCCTTCACGGGGGGGGGGGGAAACATTCTCAAAAAATGAAGCAAAATCCTGCATTTTGAGCGAAAAAAAAGGGGGGTTCCGGGCACCCAGGAACCCATACGGGGCACGCGCCTGACTACAACTACTTGTACATCATAACGGTATGTAACAAGCTTGCAAGCATGGGCATGTGCTGATGTGGATTGTGGAGCCCCTCCCCCCCCCCCCCCTCCTTCCTCTTCCCTACATACACGTAGAGAATGATCATGTGATCAAAACATACTCAGTGAATATGGCAATGTGCTATAGTAACACTGTTGTTATTATCTTGGATGAAGGTTAGTAACTCTACACATGAAAACATTTTTGCAGTTGTCAGATTGTGGGTGATATCACTGTAGAATTACGAGACTCGTTTTTGATGTGCGTACTGCAAGTACTTTCTACCTGTTCATTTACACAAGAGAGATTGGAAGCTGTGTCGCAACTCTGATGAGCGTAGCAATACGTGAAACTCAGAGTTGCGACACAGCTTCCAGTCTCTCTCTTGTGTACAAGGCTCTGCCCTACATGGGTATTGAACACTCTTTGGACAATGAAGCACACCACTTGATTACCTGTTCATTTAGCAACCTGAACTTACAGCAGTACTGTATTACATTTTGCTGTATGTGCTGTTCTACCGATGAAAACAAAAACCATCATAGCATCTTGATATGAAAGTGGTGGTAGGTAGCCGATTTTGGCATTTCGACTAATCCAGAGTGGTTGGGGAGTTTCAAGTTCATTGTGCATCAGTGTATCATTCCTAAAATGCGTATGATTATGCAGAGAAGCAGACGGGTAAAGATTCTTGCTTTTCTTGGACCTGTAAAATGATCATTCAGAAAGTGGTGGACATCACGCAACTGCATTGTAAATAAAAGGGGGATTTGTCAACTGACAACCGCTCTCTTCAGTTGCTATTCACTCTTGCCGCATGCGCTGGATGAAAAATTCTTCCAATAGTGATGTCGGAAAAATTTTTGACGTTTCGGGCGGCCCGAAACGTCAATAATTTTTTCGACATCACTATTGGAAGAACTTTTCATTCAGCGCATGCGTCAAGAGTGAATAGCAACTGGAGAGAGCGGTTGTCAGTTGACAACACCCCCCCCCCCTTTATTTGTAAAACGATCGCTATAAGATATGTTAACTGGTTTGAGGGAAAGAGACAATATAAGATATGTGATGGCATTAAAGAGAACAAATTATGCTGTCATCGCCACACTATAACGAAGTCATGAAAGTTTTCCAAAATCGATTCCATGTTACATTCATCAGTGGAATATGGTGACTAAAGAATAACCATGCTGAACAATGATTAAGTTCAGAATACATTCAATAATGTGTTACGAGAACAAAATAAAGTGCTAAAATAGAATACAGAAAGGTGAGAAAGGTGAGAAAAGGTGAGAAAGGTGAAACATTACTGAAGTGAATTGAGAACTGAGTGCAAAGTAGGTGAGGCACTAATAGTAACGCTAGAACTGTGCAGTGAGACAAATTAGTTACTATTAGTGTCTCATCCACTTTGCACTCAGTTCTCACTTCACTTCTATTGTCTCACCTTTCTTCATTCTATTTTAGCACTTTATTTTGTTCTTGTAACACATTATTGAATGTATAATTAATCATAGTTCCGCATGGTTATTCTTCAGTCACGACACTCCACTGATGATTGTGACATGACAATTGATTTTGGAAAACTGCCACGACTTCGTTGTTGCGTGGCGATGACAGCAGAATGTGTTCTCTTTATTGCTATTATAAAATTGTTGTCTCCGCACCGATTATAAGATAATTATGTGATGAACACGATACTAGTAGGAGTTGGTCACGACAGTTACCACGAGTGTAGAGTATGTTCCAAGGCATTCAGAAATCCAGCCCATGCTCACTGGTATATTAGCTGGGACATGTTGTGAGAGCTTATAGCTAGCCATGAACGGTCAATGTCAGAAAGACAAAGTGGCAAATGACCTGTTCAATGTGGGCAGTGTCAGAGGCAATGATTTGCAAGCATGGAACAGTAAAAAAAACTCGTTTGATAACTCAGACTGTTTATTTGACCACTATGCATGTACCCGGAAGAGTTTGTATGTGACAGTGCAGCGTATTGGCATGTAGATGTACTGGAGGCACACAGCTTGCTCTGTTGTGTCAGGTGAATTTTCCAGTGATGTTGCCCAGAGCACTGCTGTTTGTGCTAAGGTTGGCGAAACACCAGCGTTACTTGAAGGCGGAGCAAGGAGAGCATTGATTTATAGGTCACCTACCGTGATGCAAGTGAAATCCAGTCCCGTGATTAGTGCCGGTCAATGCCTATAGCCATAGCATTACCAAAACACTGTGCAGTGAGTGACTGTGCATAGCTCTGGATTGGTGGGGTTGGATTTCATTTGCCGCCACTGCACTTCACGTAATGCATGTGCATCAGTATTTCTTCATTTTACAGCCACCATCAGTGCAGTGAGCCACAGTTACGGTCAATGACTCGTGCACTTTGTGGCCGGATGTTTAGTGATGATTCAGTGGGATAGTGTGTCATTCACATGCTGTATAGTCAATATAGCGTATACCACCTACTGTAAAAGCCATTATTCTAACGAGGCGCATATATAACGATTTCCCCAAATTCAAAGGTAACGATTCTCACTTATTCTCAACGCTCAATAGGACAGTATATGTATCGATTTCTGTATAACGATTTCTATTTTAACGACAGATTTCTCCTCGTTAACTCGTTAGAGTTAGCACTTCGTTATAATTATATATTATGGCTTTTACAGTACTTCATGATGTCACTGGATCGTCAAAATGCCAAGTGGGGAGAGAGTAATGTTCGGAAACATACTGTGCGATTGTAGTCAGTTGCACTGGTATCCAAAGTTTCTCCTTCCCCTTCTCACTAAAACTGCCATTCAGTCAAGATATCACTTGTACATGGCCACCAGCCAGAGGAATAGAAGTATTGTGTTTACATTACAAGTTTAACATTGTTGTTGTCTGTCCTATTCGTAATAATTCCTGTTGCAGATGTCAGTCCAGCACCGCAAGAAGGTCCAGTGTACTGCACTGGTGGCTCTGTACGCAACCGGACCTATCTAGGGTTGCTGCGGCACTGCACAGTCATTGTGGGGCGGTTGGACATTCTAGGGGTATCCCTGACCTGCTGTGACTTTGTCGTGGCAGAAGGAGATCAGAATGGCTGCGCCGAGCTACAGGACTGCACCGATATGAAGGGTGCCCTGTTTCCACTGTTGACCGATATCACCGGCTTTGTTCGCCTCAGCGATGTCTCATTCCCCACGGGCAAGGACACTCTTGCGCAGATCTTCCCAGCCCTGGTGGCTATACATGGTTTCATGGGCATCAATCGTGTCCAGACTGCTACATCAGCAACCGTCACAACAGCATTCCTCATTGAATGTATGTTAACTTGTACTTGTTTGTCTGCCTACAACCGCACGGGGTTGTGTTACTAGTGATGAATGCTACCCATATTGAATCATACACACGTGCCCTTCCAGGCAGTGGATATCCCCCGTGAAAAGTGAATCACAACACCAACGTTACTGCCAATCAAAAAAAAGGAGTCTTGGCGTCGAGCACTGGATTTCATTTCACCATCCCATGCCATGTACGAGTACTAAGCTCACTCTTCAGCAGGGCGTCGGAAGGTATTTTAGTGTGGTACGGTCAGCCATCTGAAGTACAGTTTACTCGTGGGAGAGGGAATGCCGAGCCGGAAAAAATTGGAAATTTAGAGCCCAGATCAGTGTATTTCATTGATTCACTGGGTGCCGGACTGGGGCAAAAAGTGGTACAATCAATCCCGTAGCGACCGTACCGTGTCCGACGCCCCTACTGTTCAGTCATGCAGGTAAACACTCTGCTGACATGACAGTGCTGAGTTTCCAGCATACTTGTGACCCTGGCGGGTGTATCTTGTTTTCCCATTTAAATCTTGCATACTGCACAGTAACCAATCTTCGATACGACACGCCAGTGAGCAGAACGCCTATCTGTGTCAAGAATGCACGTGCTGTTGGTGGACGCGTGGATGATGGATTCAATCAGGTAGCTGATAATCGTGAAGACGGTGGTGGCCTAGCCCCCATTGTAGCAGAGGATCCTGTAGTTTTGCTGAACAACGTTTTCCTCTGCAACCCAGTGCGAACCGCCAGTTCCTCCCAGCCTAGTCCCCTTCAGCAAAATGTGCCCAGTTTCCTTCAGCAAGATGTCCGGCAGCTAGGTACGTCAACATCAAGAATTGTAACAGTGGGTTTGCGAGCTTTCACCCTGACTCCCCACCCCTGACACGCACGCACATGCTCCCACCCCTGAAACACCCCCCCCCCCACACACACACACCCCACACATACCTCTACCTCTTCCCTCTTTTGCCCACAAAGTGAAAACATACTGGAAATAGAGCACATGAAAGAAAAGAATACAATACCTTCACGTGGAGCATTCTACGTTACCGGAAAATGGCTTCTTCAGCACAGATGGCTTGTGGTCTTTGGCGACCCACGGCTAGAGACTGTGACAAGCCCAGATACTTACACGTCCAATGTAGGCGCTTTGGTTTTCAGTATGTCTTGCCGGTATTTTGTTATACTCGTCTGCAGCCATTCTTGGAAGGGACACCTGCGTGGGTGTATCTGGATCTGTGTTCTCTGTCTTCTCCAATGAAAGTCATGTGCAGGTAAGGCTGTGGCTGTCATGCGATGATTGTGATGTTCTGTAGAACCTATGGGTGTGTATCCCGGTGAAATTCCATACTGGTGGTGTACCACACTGTTCCACTCACCAACCTGCGTCTTCCAGCCCAGTAGCGTTCTGCAACGTTGTGCCGGGTGTCGGTGCTCGATACTACCCATACGCCACTATCCGTAATCGGGAGGCGCGGTGACGCACTTGAAGTACATTTACGTAGGTGTGCACATACAGACTGTCTGCATCATGAGACCAGCTAGCTGTCTGCGTCATGAGACCAGCTAGTGCCTCTATGCTATCTTGATGAGCCCTGCCTGCGAGATTGTCTAAAATTGTGCGGTTTACGAGTAGAGGTACCAGTGAACAGCCCTGTACTGTCCAATTTGCTTACTGCTTTTGATGGGTCCTCTGGTCTTGAGAATGAAGTTGAAGACACCACTGCAGCTGTACCTATGGTTGATAAACAGGGGCGTCACACACGGTACGACCACTACGACCATGGTCGTACCACTTTTCGTCCAGGATGGTCCACCCAATTCATCCAAAAAAGCAATAAAAAAATTCAAGGATCTTCGGACTTGTCCAAAACATCACAACTTTCATTGCAAGGAGCATATTTGGTTCAGACTCGATGCCTAGCAGCTAGCACCCCAAGACTCCAGGCGGCTATCCATTGCGATAGGCCGTTGGAGTCACGGGTACAGACAACCAGATGATGGATTTCTCACGGACACATTCGCTGCAAACTTGTCGGAAACAGTGCTGGCGGCGATCTCTGGGTCCAGAACTAAAATTTTCCAAGATCGGCCATGTTACAATGGTGGTCAAGAGACACTACAAGCATGTCACTTGTCAGCTACAACATTATTATTATTCTTTCCACTACGACACCTACCTAGTACCTCTGGCTCCTGACGATCTACTGCAAGCTGATGCGAAAATGCATTACATCTACACCCGCGAACGCCGCGCTTGTCAAAGGAATAGGGAAGCGCTTCATTCTCCGAAGTTGAAAAGTGTTTGGACTGCTGTTCCACGGCGGCAGAACATTCTGCATCTGTTCACCGACGCGACCCGCTTCACCAAACGACTTACGATCGTTTCGTTCTCCGAATGTTTTGGTAGCAGCAACAAGAATTGCGTCCGCGACGACAGGACGAAAGTCTCTCGCAAACTAAAGTCCTGTTGCCACGAAGACAGAGAAGATTCCGCAAGCCCTTTCTTCTGCTTCCAGCGTTGTAGCTCTCCGGTCCACTGGCAGATCTTTCAATCCCACCGAACAAAAAAAAGGATCCTCTTCTCTCTCCAAAAACAACTATTCTTCGCGACTGTCCGCGGTCCGGCCGTGTACCAGGTGTTCATCATGTACATAGACTAGTGCATGCGGCGTGGCGCACTTTCGCAGGACAAGACATACGTTTTTGCACAGCGGCTGGCGCTAGAACTGTACTTCGGATTTTTCGATTTTTCGAGGGCAATGGCTTCCTTTTTGCCTTGGCCACCTACGATGTACAGAAAATTCCAAAAAATCCATGAGAACGTTTTTTTTGAGCTGGAGTGGGTTGTCTATTATTATAATAAGTGCTAGGGGAACCCTCCTTTGCGGCTGTAGAGTGCTAAAACGTGCCCTGTTGGCCGAAAAATCCGAATTTTTTCTCCGCGGGACACCCCCGGACTCCCGGTCGTACCACTCTCAACCGCCCTGTGACGCCCCTGATAAACATGGTGGTAAAGACTGTCGTGACTCGCGACATCATAAATGATCCCGACTCAACGGACATGAAAGACATTTACGTTTCTTGATTTTGGAAAGTTTGTTTCTTTGTTTCTTTCTCAAACAAGATCTAATTTCAACGGAAAAAGGCAGCTGCATCCACAGGCAGCTGCGCACAAAGAACATGCATAAAAATGGCGACCACGACCTTCAGTTACGTGGCATGGTAACAAAAGGAACTAGTGCAGCGACAAACAGAAATGGAGAAGAAGTGAACAGCAAGGAGAGCGAATCGCTAAAATGCACTAGCCTACTGTCTGTACAGTCATGTAGTTAGTGAACACGCAGTCACGTGGTCACGTACACATAACACGTCATACCAAATACGTCATCATGGTCATGCATAACAAGAAAAGGAAAGGAAAGGAAAGTCACGCGTGAGCAAAACAAATCAAGAGCGCGAAAATACTCACGGGACGAAAACATAACGAAGAATTTGTTTGTGAGCAAAATGCAAAGAATAGAGAAACGAGGGATTGCTTCGAAGCTACTTCGAAGTAGAATGAAATCAATCACTACAGTCCATTCAGAAAAAAATGAACTTCTAGCTTTTGGCCATAAATGGGTCAAACGTTGAGTTTTTTTAGAATTTTTTTCTGCAATCCCATATGGAATCCTCTTCCAATTATGTTTCTGAAGTTTTTTTGTCCAAAAAGCAAGCCATAGCAAGAATAGGATTTCGGCCAGGTTTTGCCCCAAAAGCACTGAATTGGGAAAAACCATCAAAATCCAGGCCGTTTGACCCCGCCTGAAACAGTGCATTCTGCGGTTCGAACCCCAGTTCAGGCACCCTTTTTGGACCCTTTTTCAAATTTCAAAGTTCGCAGCACTGCACTGTGTACGATGAAATCACGAAAAATCGCCAAATACGGGAGCTCGCCAGAGCCAGGACCCATTTTTTTATGAATGGACTGTAGAAAGGACGATGGGGAACTAGACTTCGGCTAACCCAAGCGTGGAATCAGCCACAACGTAAGCAAGCAAGAGAGTACAAAATCATCGTCATGTAATGCAAATATAAATTGGTTATTCCGAATTCATGTACATGTATTTCATCGCGACGTTCGCGACAAAGACACACCTGCCCACACTTTGCAGCTTAGAGAGCGTGTGTGGGCAGGCGTGTGTTTACCGCCATATTGCCAGGTGTGTCTTTACCACCATATTTATCAACCATAAGTACAGCTGCAGTGGTGACTTCAACTTCATTCTCCCGAGTCAAGCTCCGTATGAAGACATCCAAGAAGAAGATTGCCTGGTGAGTCCAGCGGGGACGAAACGTACGTCGCAATCGAGCTATGTCGTTGCTGTGTCATCTTCTATGTGCCATGCGCTACTTGATGTGCCAGCCTGCTATGTCGGATACCGCCAACCATGCATCGACTAGGCGCCAGGCGCGAACTGATGGTGGTGGTGGTGAGAAGGAGAGCTCTGTGCCAGAACTTTGCAGCTTAGAGAGCGTGTGTGGGCAGGCGTGTGTTTACCGCCATATTGACAGGTGTGTCTTTACCACCATTTTTATCAACCTCTGGTCTTGAGAGTAATAATAATTATGGTTTGAACTAACAGTTATAACAACGATATTGATACACGATACTCCTGTTCTGTGCTGTCTTCTTCTGTGATGTCTTCTTGCGTGATGCCTTCTTGTGTGATGTCTTCTTGTGGGATGTCTTCTTGTGTTCAACTTTCCGTCTTTGCAGTTCCTGGGTGATCTACACTTGGCGAGTTGCCCGATTCTTGTCCAATACAGTGGCTCTGAAGGTGCGCGGATGAGCCACTCTTCAGCACAACAATCAGATAGTATCCTCCAGCTGTGCGAGTATGACTGCAACCTGCTTAGTCCAGTGGCGCCCTGGTTCCTAAATCTAGACATTCCGTGCGTCCGAGGTAAGCGCAGCAAGCGCTTATAATTATATGCATGTGCAGCAAAGACGGGATACAACAGCTGTGGACAGGTTAAACAGATTGGATATTAATACGTTGCCGTGGTGAAGGATTGGGAATTGGGAGAACTTCAAATTCAAAATGAAACGTCAGGGAAATGGGCTGCCAGAAAAGCGAGAAAAAATGGAAATACACCAATTCTTTCAGAAGATTCAACCTTTGTGTCAGGTCATATGTATTGAATGTTTTCGATTACCCGGACGAGTGTTGTGTAGAATCTCCGGTATGAAGCAATTTTGAAATGCATGGTTTTGCCGTCCAAGACTTCTCCTCACAAGGGAGCCGATTCTTCACCTAGGGAATATAGTGTCCTATTTTAACACTTCCTTGGATATTGTTGCACCTATCCAGCTTGCCTCGGAGGGAACATTGTCCATACATTTCAGCTCTCTGTCTATTTCGGCTGCACCAGGATTGTCGGTGATCTTCTACTAGCTTTTAGCCGGCCACCCAGTGGTAAGATTAGGCGACAGCTGTCCTGCTTCTGCCTGCCTGCCTGCCTGCCTGCCTGTCCGTCCATCCATCCGTTTGTCCGTCTATCCATCTGCTGGTCTTCTTTTCACAGTCTGTCTACCTGCCTGCTCATCCGTCCGTCCATCCGTCTGTCTGCCTATCTATCTGCCTATCTATCTGCTTGCTTATCTGTCTGTTGTCATGTTCATCCGTGTGTAACTGTATGTGTGTAACTGTATGTGTGTAACTGTATGTTTGACTTTATATGAACTAAACTCGTTGTTGTCAGTCATAAACTAATGTGAAGTAGAAGCACTGGTGAATGTTTTATAAATAAAAGCAAAAAGAAAAGTAAGCAGCTCCAAGCCGCGATCATGAGTTAGTATCGAATATTTGATTTCTCAATTGTTTTCTGTCTTTCACTTATTGCCTACTTGCAGAGAGGGATCTCACGACTCTGTTGGCCAGCTCCCAATTCCCTGGTTTAACAACTAGCAGTACTCTAACAGAAATTGTGGAGGTGAGCGAGCGCTCCAAGTTGTTCCTGGATGCAGTTTTCAGCAGTGTCATCAAATCTTGTGCCCCACTGTTTCCCAATTTTCAATGTAAATCTCATAGAACTCCCTCTCAAAGAACTTCCGTTGAGACGTTCTTGTTCAAATACTATACCATGCTATGTGAGTAGTTGACCCAGAACATCACGGGGAAGCCTAAGAGATTCACATTAAAAAGAGAAAGAAAATGGCTACAATGATCTGTCCGCACGTGCTAATTGTGTTGAGTTGTACAATGATGATGTTTTCTCAGTCATTTCACGGGGTAGAGGTGAATTGCATTTGGCTATTTTAGAAGCTTTGCATATACGTAAGCTGTGTACAAAAATAAAATGTGTTGTCTTTGCAATTGTTTGTTGTTAGTCCTTGTAGAGGTGTCAACAACGTTACATAGTTTGCTCACTTGGTTGGTGTCATTTTATTTTCATTTAACACAAGCATCTGCATGCCACACTCACACAACGAGCAAACAGTTTGGGGAATAGGAGGGTTTGTCGATTGCTTTGCCAGGCTCCGAGTGAGTGACGGCTTAGAGCTGTGTGACTGTGTGTATGGCAGCTGGGCAGGGCCCTGCTGCGGAGGCTGGGTGAGCCTTACAGAGCCGTATTCAGAGGCTGAGTGAGCCGTCTGAGTGTGAGGGGCTGAATGAGCAGTATGAGGAGCCTGGTAAGCAAGGTCGACTCCCCAAATGGAGACCCTCCTATTCACTGTTACCTGTAGTGGGGGATACCAAAGATTGTGGACAATTGTAGAATGATAATTATTGAGGTACTGAGTGTACAATCGGTACATTGGTGACATTCAGTTATGCTCTGGCAGCCACGATACATTGAATTAGTCCGTCTGATCAGCGCTTTCCCAAGACCGGTGCTGCCAGTCTGTCTGATCAGCGCTTACCCAAGACCGGTGCTGCCAGTCTGTCTGATCAGCGCTTACCCAAGACCGGTGCTGCCAGTCTGTCTGATCAGCGCTTTCCCAAGACCGGTGCTGCCAGCTTTCATGGCAGTTTGCATGTGGACTTCCGTCACGCGGCAGTGCAAGGCACGGCCGAAGTCGCCCCAGAGATGGACGGAAGAGCACGCACTGGAGTGGGCATATGAGCGGCGGTAGGGTGGCACGTATGGAATCGCTTGAAATCTTGCCGGGAAGAGAGCGTCGGCAAGGATGTTGGTAGTGCCAGGTATGTAACGGGCGGTGACCATAAAGTTACCCTTGGCGCAGATGAAGGAGAGCTGCCGTAGGAGAGACATCACATTAGGGCAGTGACTGGTGCCAGACTTAACAGCGGTGGCAGCTTCGTTGTCGGTATGAAAGCGGATACGCTTGCGACACCACTGGCGGCCCCACGTAGCACATGCAATGCAGATGGGATGCAGCTCCTTGAACGTAATGCAGAGCGGAGTGTGTTGTGGTGACCAGGTGTCGGCGAACCAATACAGTAAAACCTGTAATGGCGACCACTCGGATATGGCGACCACTCTACCATGGCGACCACTTTTCCTTGTCACGGACGCATTCACATTCAAAACACCTCGGATAAGGCGACCACTCGTTCAACGCGACCGGCGACCACCCACCCGCGACCGCTTTGTACAGTGCTAGTCATGTAAATGTATGCATTGCATGGTGCACCAGGCATGGTAGATCTACACATCAGTGCAGGAAGTGTAGATGTGCATGGTGCATGCACGACATTTGACAGGTCTGAGGACCCCAGGCACATGAGTCGTGCTAGAGTAGCGTAGGTGTGTGCACTGTGATGCACTGATCAAAATGATGTATCACATGTGGATATGGTCACGTGACCCACTGAACCTGGATAAGAAGACCATCTGGCCACGGCGACCACTTTTTCTCGTCCCTTGAGGGGTCGCCTTAGACAGGTTTCACTGTACGTGCCGTAAACTGTGCCATGCCTGATGGCTCCTGATGCGTCAGTTTCTATCAGAATGTCGCTGGCCGGCGAGAGGGGAACTGCATTTTGGATTTTTAGAAGCTTCGTTTATACATAGGCTGTGTACAAAAATAAAATGTGTTGTCTTTGCAATTGTTTAGTGTAAGTCCTCATTGAGGTGTCAACAATGCTACATAGTTTGCTCCCTTCGTTGGTGTCATTATATTTTCATTTATTTTTCGAAATTTGTGTTTTTCTAAACTTGATAAATTGCCACCTTGTCCCTAGTGTTGTTATCTTGATCTTTACTCTATTTATAGAAAAGAAAAAGGACCAAGGAACTACAAGTTACGCAATAATGTCCACTAACACCACCAGTTACTCTAGACAATCAGCTCATGTGATCCTTTTTCTTTTCTGTAAATTAATCCTTGGCTCTCCATCCGGGTCCATTTTTACCCTATTTAAAAGTGTCAGTCTTTCCAAATTGAACCATTCTCTGTATTATCCTTGATGAGAAGAGAACGAAAAAACGGTCGAGAACTTATGAGAAGTGCCTTGTCGACTGGGTAAAAGTTCCCAAATATATTTCTGTATTTTGAAGATTTTTTTCTTGTATACTGTATTCACCTACAAGTGCATGCCCTTATGTGCGAAAAATGGGTTTTTTTTCATTTCTCCAGGACACAAATATTTCTGATACAAGGGCATGTCTTTCGATACGAGTATTCAAGTCTTCAAAATCCATTCTTGGGTCTTGTGTCTTTTTCATGCCTTTACATGTGGAGGTGCCCTTGTATTCGAATGTAAGTGCGTGACCTTTTATGCGCGTGTATACGGTAAATATATATTATGCTTTGTTTTGCTTTGACCTCCCATCACTGCTCTGCTGTGCACAGATCATGCTTGGTAATGTCAAGGAAATCAGTGGGTCGTTGAGCATCCTTGGTTCGGACTGCATAACAACTCTCAACGTGTTTAGATCTCTCCGGGTTGTGCAGGGCCTTGTGGAGATCAGCGAAAACCGGTAAACTATACAATGCAATGTGCTGACTGTATGACAACTGCAGTCTCACGGCATTAGCCATTGCCATGCTTTATGATGGATCGCGAATTGGAGTAGAGTGCCAAATAGAAGTGGTACTAACCATTTTCCACTGTAGACATCTATGCTTGCCGACGGGCTTACCTAGGTAATGGGGATTCCCCTAAAAATCCTGCCATACCGTTATTCATCTCACACTGTACCTCACATACTAGATTATTCGTAGACAACATAATTATATACTACCGACGGAGGTTAAAGTGACACGTAGCCCAAAGAGAGATTGGTTAATCGCACGTTGAATAAGTTGAACCAAGAGTACATAACCCCCAGGGTGTGCAACGCCGATCCAGCTCTGCATAGGGTCTTGGTCGAGCGGAATCGGATCTTTTGATGTCATGCGTACACTCCACGCCAGCGCAACGCCGGTCTCGAGGCAGGGCACCATTGTTTTTGACCCGAGAGTACCCGCGACTTCCCGGGTTCCCCTCAGATGTGTACGGTATTATGACGCAAAGATCCAATTCCGCTCGACCAAGACCCTATCAGCTGTGTGGTAGATACCAGGCTAAAAATAGTGGCGGTCAATTCATCAGCCTTGCAAGCTGTTGAATTGTGTAATCCCAGCACAAGTTGCTATGTCTAACATAGCTGTTCGCTATCATCGCTTCCACGATGGGCAGGTCTGAGGTGTGTGTGTGTGTGTGTGTGTGTGTGTGTGTGTGTGTGTGTGTGTGTGTGTGTGTGTGTGTGTGTGTGTGTGTGTGTGTGTGTGACGGCAACAAATAAGTGGCGTTCGGCAAAGCAAGTGGATTCCTGGATGAGAAAGGAAACAGGTCACACTCGCAGCAATTTATTCCTGCGCGGTGTATCGCTGGAATTGTGGATTTGTCGTGTTGTTTGGACCTGAGTGGCCAGTCGTCGTGCGGCGATGGTGTAGTGATGTCAGCTTGCTGTGCACACTCCTCGTCGTTTCGTGAAAGTTCGTCTTGTGGAGCCCTTGTGGGACGTTCGGTGCCCACCCTCCAGTTCAAGATTGTGCTTTCCTGGTTTATGAAGGCCGAAGCAGTACGCGTGCAGATGTTGAACAGAACATCATGCTCCTTTTTCAGTCGTTGCATGTTATACTTATAGTGGACCTACAGCAGACTGTTCATCTGGTTTGTGATATTTCTTTCCTCTGTTTGTGAGTCCTTTTCCATCAATATGGCAGCTTGTTTTGATTTCCTTTTTTTTTCAATTCATTTTGCTGTACTTCCTGTTTTGTTTTGCGCCACTGCCCCTCACCTTGCGCTCAGTTCTCTGAGTGGAGGGCGGCGTGACCCCACGGGGTAGCTGATTGATAGTAGTAGTGTGTGTGTTCATTGACCATGACGGCGGTGTCTGTTCTCCAGCTTTCTCTCTGACCTTGGGAGATTCACCAGCCAAGTCCAATTCAAGTCCAGTGTCACATTTCGCCGTAATGCCAACCTGTGTCCAGTGGAGATTGCCGCCATGCGTCAGGCTACAGGACTCGGTGCGAGGCTAGTCGAAGAAGACAATGGATTCTCGGGATACTGTAAGGTGTTCAACTGACAACCAGCCCTTTAGTTGTATTTGCACTCAGCACCATTGTTGTGTTAAAAGTAGGGCTGAAACGATCGTGGATTTTCACGTATCGATTACTCTTTAGCTTAACGACCGAGTAATCGATTATAATCGTTAGCAAATAGTCATAATTCTGTGCAAACATTACTCTGTTTCCACAAACTATGCCTTCATAATACCAACAAATCTGCATTAGTGAAAGGGTAGCTCCGAAAAATGGCAGTTTTGAAGTCAATTTAACCTCAGAACATGAACCATACCCCTGGCAACTGCATACTCCCAGCGGAAACTGATTCAAACTTCACAAAACGAGGGTTTACAGTACTTTCTGGACACAAATTTAAACACGCAAAATAATCGTAATCGGTAATCTAAACGATTGCTCGATCGTTAGAGTTATCAAACGAGTACTCAATTATTCGGTATAATCGTTTCAGCCCCAGTTAAAAGCTATCAATAGTCCGTACAGAGAGGGGTACAGAGCGACAGTGTGCGGCAAAGACGGGAACGATTTAACAATGGGAAGCAGATTGGCGAGGAGTGTACGGCGGCGGCGCGAGTTGATTGTGTACACTGCCTAGTATGCAGTATAGTAGCCTGGTACCTCAGACCTCGGAATGTCTATGCGGATGGTCTCTGTAGCACACATGGTATATACACCACTGCCACAAGTCACATGTACAGTATGTAGACCGAGTACAGTATGTAGGTACGTGTACAGTATTTCAACGATTGTTAGTCACATGTATAAGTCGCACCCCCATTTTGAGGTTTCGTCGTAATAATCATGGTTTCAATATGTTCACTTCAGTAACAGGTCACACTTGATTGTAAGTCACACTTGATTGTAAGTCACACTCCTTCGTTTGACCTTGGGATGTGTTGCGAAAAGGTGCGACTTGTATTCAGGGGAATAAGGTTAGAGTATTTTACTACATAGCGCTTGGCTTAATCTTTTTGCTCAAGCTCATGTTCACGGTTTTCCCCACGCATTCTTGGTTGTTTGTGAGTTTGGGTACTCCTTTGGCACATGCGTAGTGGCCAGTTCTATTGCAACCATGCAACCAGGCTTTTCTCTGTATTTCCCACTATCTAGGGCAAGCTGCACTGCAATCCATCATGAAGTATAAGTAATTAGTTCATGGAATTCAACTGACATGTTCTTGATTGCAACTCTCTAAACTGGGAAGAAGTTATTGATCTGAATCTCCTGTATCTGCATGTGTACTGCAAGTATGTCATTCTGTGTGTGTGTGTGTGTGTGCGTGCGTGCGTGCGTGCGTGCGTGCGTGCGTGCGTGCGTGCGTGTGTGCGTATGTGTGTGTGTGTGCGTATGTGTGTGTGTGTGTGTGTGTGTGTGTGTGTGTGTGTGTGTGTGTGTGTGCGTATGTGTGCGTATGTGTTTGTATGTGTGTGTATACTTGTGTATACGTGTGTGTGTGTGTGTGTGTCCGTGTGTGTGTGTGTATGTGTGTGTGTCACCGTGTGTATGTGTTTAGGTTGTGATTGCATATCCGATTTCAAGCTGAACATTGAGAGCACGGAACTGGATGCGGATGGTTTTCTCACTGTCACGCCAAATATCACATTCACGGATATCATAGAATCCTGCTATGATGAGCTGCCTACAATCTATCCTCAACCGCCATCCTTCAACCGCAGCCTGGTGCCCTCTGTGCAATTGTGGAATCACGCCTTAGACAATATCACATCTTGCCACATGTAAGACAGACCCCATGGTTATGGTTGTACGGGGGGGGGGGGGGGGGGTGCACACGGTTTCTAGGCAAAGTGACATTGTGTGGTGCTGCGGTGGATATTCCTGTGATACGCTCTGTTTGTGCGGCTGTTGCCCATGTCTCAGGAACTCGACGGAGGTTCAGGAAGCATTGGATGATTTGTTCCAAGTTCCCAATGGCTGCTCTGATCGGCTTGACGGGTGAGTTTGACACATTCTGTCTCACCGCGGCTACAGTAAAACCTGGTGTAAGCGACCTCTGGGTTTTAGCGACCACCTGCTTTTGACGACCCTTTTTCCATGCACAGACAGTTCTACACAGAAACTGCACCGGATACAACGACCACCTGCCTTGTGCGACCTGCGACCGACTTTTACTGTACCAAGTGCCATATTGGACATGCACAGAGCGACCAAAAACTAGCCAAAAGGGCCATATTGGCTGGCAGGGCTGACTGCATGCAACAGGGTTGAAGTGCACTCTGAACGACTGAAGCAAGTGCATGCAGTCAACAGAACTTCAGAAGTTACAAGTGACAGTGCAGGATGCGCTGCATGCACTTGAGTGAGGTGTACTTTGCTTGCATGAAAATATTTTGTATGCTCCATATCTGTCAATATGAGGAGGGGGAGGGGGCAAACAAAATGTTGCATTTTTAATAGTGAGACCAGCGCTTTGGACACAAAGCTGCCCACTCCTGTACCACTTTTCAACCTCGTATCGGAAAGCCAAGGAAGGGACGAATTCATGGCCATGAGAATGTGTGCCTGAATGTAGGGTGCTTCCTGGCATGTCATTGTCTCTAATTCTTCGCTGTGCATGAGTGATTCAGAAATGTATGATGGGCAACATGGGCCAACCCACGTTAGGGCAGAAATCAAATCAAAATTGTGAACTGCTCAGTTACACGCTGAATTCAGCATGTTGTTGTTGTTGCTAGCTTTGCTAGCCCGTACCTGTCTCCTGTTGACCTATGCGACTGTTCAGCTACGCAACGAATTCAATATCTGAGTATCTCTGCTGCTGAAAGCTAGATTTCGAGATTTTCTTGGCCCAGTGCTGTCTATGATTCGGCTTGCATCCTGTAAGGGGCCGTCCGTAAATATCGATGTTTTTTTTTAGACGATATTGGTGCTTCTCTCCCTTGACCCCCCCCCCCTCCCCCCAGAAGACGCACATGGACATCTAGATCATGGAATCAATATTTTTGGATGCTCATTTTTTTTCCTTTTTTTGTCAATAATATGAACCCAAGATGGCAAGTTTGCAGTATTTATATGGTCTAATTGAGAAGGAGAGCACACTTCGTTGTTGAACTGCTGCCCGAACTGTAAATTCCTGTATCGACTACACAACCCCCAAACAACGTCAACTGTTTCGTTTTCCGTTTCTTGGGCGGTGGTGAAGACGACATTTTCACAGCTAACCTGTCACTTTGCCATGGCCATGCGGTTCACAACTTCCTCAACTTCTCTCTCGACAAAGAACAAACTTCAGGCACGGCCAGTCAAAATTCACATTTTACATGAAAAGATGAGGGCGCTGGCGCGCTAGCGCTACCCGTGCAGTACAACTCATCGTACAAAAAGCGTTCAAAGTGCAACTCATCGTGTACTGGTGTAGCCAAAGCGGCTACGCTCGGGCTTGAATTTTTTCAAATCCTTGTTCAGACAGTGAAGACTGGAAACTCTTGTGGAGTTCGTCCGTGTTTGTTCGCACTGCCTCTACGTCTTGAAAAAGGTCTCCTGCAGGCATCGTTCGGCCGATTTCCACAATCAATAGCTCATTCTTTTGCTCTTGAAATTCGCCATGGGCGTACAGCTTCCAATTTTTGATTTTGTTCTTGTGTCGCGAGTTTTAGCTCCGCGAACGGAAGCTGGTTTCACATTTCTTGTATAGCCATTTAGACGTCCGCGTGCAGGGATCGGCGAAACTTCAGATATTTACATCGATATTTTTCTGATGCTCGAAAAGACGCACATGGCTCAAACCCCCTCCCCCCCCCCCCCCAGACGCACCAATATCGTCTCTAAAAAAACATCGAAATTATTTTCGGCTATTTTCGGCCTGATCATTTTCGGCCGAAAATTTGTTGCAGCCGAAATTTTGTTTTGCAAGGTTCAAGGCAGTGTGACCGTGTATACAGGCAGCAGCAGTACAGGCCGAAAATTTGTTGCAGCCGAAATTTGAATGGGCCGAAATTTGTCAAACTTACAGCAGAGACATGATGTAATGTCCGTACCGGTACACCCTCATATTTTGTTTTCTTCACAGGTGGTTGGCCACTGCGTCAATAGGCCCCATGGGCCCCATTGGCCTGGAGGAGAGATCGTTGTTAAACCGCCGCTCGGCATTGTACTTGCTTGAGTCGTGCACGTGTTACGTGACACAGCTGCTGGTAACATGGATTACAGAGGATGGGCGTGTGTATGGATTGGCCAGATCCAACCTGCAAGTGCAGCAGATGCCACCGTTTGGAAGTATGTAGCCCTAATGTACGCTCCTTTTTATTGCACTGCACCGAAAATGCACATGCACCAGTCGAAACACATTTCATTCGGCATGACTGGAACATTCCGGATTTGAAGCAGAATCAACCAGACTGATCCCAGCTGTTCTTCTTTTTTTTTTAACCCTTCCCGATGCTCATTGCAGTGCTGGAGCAGTGTGTAAAGGGTTCCCTACCAAGGGACCACTGGAGTTTGGTAGCTGTTGGTATTCAATCTGTTTATCTCATCACCGAGTCTCAGAACGATACATGTAGTACCATGCCTTCTAAGCTCTTGAAGCGGGAAAGTCCCTGATGAGATCATGAGACACACTCTAATACCATCTTACTGCAGTAATGGCTTGGGGCAGTCATTAAAATGATCTAAAATTTCAGTCGAACATTACTAAACAGCTATTGTTTGGGACCTATTTTAGTGTTCTAGGCTTGACTTGTGCCATGTTCCACCATGACCTGTCTTCACGTACAGTCCTCCCAGCATTGGACCGGGCTGCAGTGGTTGGTTATGGTGCCACATGGCTGGATATCAACGTCGTCCTACCTCGGCTGCTGGACTGCCTAGCGTCGTCAGTGATTCCTTTCCCGTTCAGCGTGCAGGTACGCTACAGGCGTATTGTGCACACTCGCCCCGACCTCTACGCTGGCAACCGTGTTTGCTATGCAAATGTTCCCAATCACATTAACTTCTACTGGAACCTTCCTGACTCTTCGCTACTTGGATCATGCACTCCGTGGCCACGAGCTCCGCTTGAGGAGGAGTATTCAGAGTCCCTTTCAAATATCACCGTTCGTGATTTCGACTTTGATACTGGCTTCTTCGACAACACCTTCTCACTAAGAGATTTGGTACCGTCATCCCAGTACTTCATCGAGGTAAGCAGCTGTGTGTGTGTGTGTGTGTGTGTGTGTGTGTGTGTGTGTGTGTGTGTGTGTGTGTGTGTGTGTGTGTGTGCGTGTGTGTGTGTGCGTGTGCGTCCAACCTGTCGGAAGGCTACCCTCTTGCCAAAGCATTTTGGAAGTTGGACTAGTTTCGGCTCCACAATCCAGTGTGTCGTTACTATTATAGCTTTCATGGCTGAGGTTGTTGGTACGTCTGTTGGCCCTGGGTTCCCAGTACCCAGTTGCCGAGGCTGGTTGGTAAAATAACTCCAATTTCACTTCAAGGTACCAGTGCATCTAGTGTCTGCTTTGATCAAAGCAGTGTGCTGTCTATACTGGTTACCCCAGCAAGTGTAGGGTGTGCATAGGTAACTGTCTTGGCCGTCATATTCCAATGTACTCCGTGTGGTGTAGACCAGGTGTGCATTGGGGGGTCGATTCACATGGCTTCGCCAGTTGTGTGGATTAGACAGTTATCTGGCGCTTGTTTTGATCTGTTTCAATCAGAATCAGATCCGCTATCGTTGCTATAAAGAGAAAATCTGTGGGTGCACATCCAGTGCATTTGCAGATTTGCGTGCTTCTCTTGCGACGGGCGTATACATGGTACATGGTGCGTGTGCGTGAGTGTGAGTGTGTGCTGGCACGTGTGCATATACGAGTGTGTGCGTATGTGTGCGTGTGGGTGTGTGTGTGCCTGTTTTGTGCCTGCGATTCCTGTGAAGGTGCATTTGTATTCCCCTCCAGACAGATATCTTCACGGGGTGCATAGCGATAACTAAACAGCTGCTGCACCTCCCTCTCGATTGAAATAATTACATACTTCTTCACATCATTAGAGAAGGAGGTACCCTCAGTTGATCAACTATTATAGCCTAATTCGCAATTGCATGCATTTTGCAATTAACTGTTAGACAGTTGTGTGCTTGGTATTTCATACAGTCAGACCTCGCATAACCGCATACATCCGTTTTTCCACAAAAATATCCAGATAGGCGAGGCAACCGGATAATTGAACACACATACTGTATGTATACATGGCATATGCTGTAACCAACGATTTTCTTGCGGATGGCGAGGGATCCGGATAAGCGAGGTCTGACTGTATTGTGAATGGTGGGCTTGTTCTTTCTCCAGGCACGCTATAACTTGCACAGGTCTCTGTACAGTCAATGGTCAGCTCTGGACATGCAGGCATCCTGGACCAGAGACAGTCCGCATGTGGCAGGTAAGCAGTAGCGCGCACTTAGCTGGCCATCCTAGTACAAGGGCGTCGGAACCGCACCGGCCGGGGTGGCCATGGCCGCCCCACTTTTTCGGCGTTTATTTTTTATTTTTTAGCACACTACAACAAAGCGCGATGATCTCAGCGCAAACGTGGCAAATCCTTGTCCCCGATCGTGGTTTGTTGCAGAATCAAAAGTCCATGTACACTGAAATGGCACCAAATGCCTGGGAATGCTTGCAATTGGCTTCAATTTTTGAATTTTTCCCGGGGGAGGGTAATGTTTGTCCCCGGTCGTAGCATCTTCTTGGTTTTTTGCAGAATCAAAAAGTCTTTCGTTGTAGTTACCGTACACTGAAATGGCACCAAATGCCCGGAAATGCTTGCAATTGGCTTCAATTTTTGAAAAATTTTCCCGGGGGACGACCCCCGCACCCCCCTTCCATGGCCGCCCCACCTCCAAAGTGGGTGCGACGTGCCTGTAGTATATGTAGGTGAGAGATGCATGAGATAGATGATTATGCTGATTCATTCAGCAGATGCTGATTGCCACAATGATCACTGTATTCTACAGACTATGGTTCGCACATTAGACGTGTTGTTTCAGTCTCAAGATCGTGGGTGTGCACTGTACTCCCGTATTGAAAATGCATGCAATACAAAAGCTGCAAAAAAAATTAACGGTGCAAGATTGGCCACCGCTGACCAGAAAAAGCCCTGTGCACTCACCTACACTATTGGCGGTAGCAAGAGTACATAACCCCAAGAGTGTGCAACTGCCTGCACAACCTCTATGCTGTGCTGCGACGGCAGAACTTCACATCACGTGACATGGTTCAAAAGGTTATGCTGGCAAACAGTGCAAAGTGACCACAAGAGAGTTGTACCCAAAGCTGGGCTGCGTACAACCCTGTATCTATCATGCACAGAGTGCAAATAATGTGTACGGGTTCATCACGTGATGTGAAGTTCTGCCGTCGCAGACCCCATAGTTGGAGTTGCACACTCTTGGGTTATGTACTCTTGGCGGTAGTTATTATTATCTTGGTCAAAAAGTGGGGGTGCAGCATACCTGGGTGTGCGTGTTACGCACAATACTAGACCCAGGACAAGCAACTAGTGATGATGGATTTTCCCATGATGTGTATAGTCGGCAAGCTAGGTCTGTAATCTATTTATGCCGCATTTCTATAATCCCATCGTTGTGGATATTTCCGATTTGTGGAGTATCTGTCTTTCAGGGGCCTGTCCTAATTTACACATTTGAATCCTCCGGTTTTGTTCAAACTCACCCCACAGGTATCACACTATCCCCACCACAGCTCTATCTACCCAACGCCAGTGCAGGTGAATCCCCTTTTGCTGGCATACGGTGGAGTGCGGCGAATGATTCCTCCGTGCACATGTACCAGATTGTGGTCGATCCTGAATGCGAATCCACCATCAACCTAGGCACTGCGGTAGGTGAACATACAGTGTCAACAAGTCAGTGATCTCACTTTGATTTAGAGGTGAATTCAATATTACCGCTATCAAGAATGTTGAAGTTGCTACAAGAATTTCCTTCAAATTTGGCATTGAGTTTTCTTTGTTCGGCTAGAAAAAAATGCCTGCCGGGTTTCACGTTTCAGGTGTCACTGGAATATACTTTTCCAGGCAATCATAATAAGCTGTTTTTTGGCAAAACATCAAAGAAAGGAAAAGAAAGGAAAACACGCTCGGGGCATCTCGAACCCATGAGGGTCATAGTCACGGGGCGTCGGGAGGTATTTACTATTCTAGTGTGGTACGGTCAGCCACCTGAAGTACAATTTACTCAAGGAGGAGGGGGGCTGAGCCGAAAATTTTGGAAATTTATAGCCCAGATCAGTGTATTTCATCGATTCATGGGGTGCCGGACTGGGGCAAAAAGTGGTACAATCAATACAGTAGCGACCGTACCGTGTCCGACGGCCCTGAGCCATAAATTTTCTTCTCCAAAGTTGCTCAGAAGGATGGTCAAATGATGGTTTTTTTGAATTTTGCTTCCTTTTTCCTACGTACAGTTTCAAATACAAGAATTGGCAACAGTTGGCATTACATTGTCAGACCTGGATTTGGATGAGTTATATGGCACAGAGTTTGCCCAGCAGATGGCAGCAGCTGGCTGTAGTTCTTGTGACAGCGGACCACAAGGTTCAACATTCCGGCGTTTCACCTGCTATTCGGCCTGCAAGTCCGGCACGGAGTGCTTCCTTAAGAATGTCCCGTCACTCATCTGCATGTGTATTAACTTTCGTTGTCGCATATCTGTGGCCGCGTGCACCCTAGGTGGCAGTTGCAGTACTCCTTCGGAAGCTGTTCATCTCTTCAACTACACATCTCCCTGCTACAACATCAGCCTTAGTGCAGCTGCTCCGTCTTGCATTATTACTAATCAGACGATTCCCGGCGAGTGTTTCTATGTCGATGAGCTATGTGTTGGTCAGGCAGGAGGGTTTCCAGGAGCGAGCGATGCCCCACAGTCCCCCGAAGCAAAGCATGAAGGATTGGGCTCAGATGCCCTTGTTCCGCTCATTGTGGCACCAATTGTTTTGTTTTCCTTGATTGCTGTCGCCGTATTGTGGATCTTGAATACCCGTAACAGGTGAGCACTCAAGTATCACTTTCGTAGAGGTATTGATAAAGTTGGTGAATGCTTCAACTTTCAGTATACATTTATATTGACTGGATCTACTTGTAGTGTGTGAGTATGTGAAGCTACGCATAACCTGCTGAATACCCTGTGATGGTGAACAAACCTGGTCTATATAGGTGGAGTATTTGCGTAACCTATGAACTGTATACTCCTCTGGTCCGTTCTGTACCAGTGGAGTATTTGCGGAACCTGTGAACTGTATATGTCTATTCCTCTGCTCTTTTCTGTACCCGTGGAGTATTGGCGGAACCTATGACCTGTATACACCTCTGCTCATTTCTGTACCAGTGGTGTATTGGCGGAACCTATGAACTGTACACTCCTCTGCTCTTCTCTGTACCAGGCGCAATCTCCAGAACAAGATCAACAAACTGGAAATCGAGTTTGGCGCTGATCATGATGTCATAGGTATGCTCCATTGCATCATGGGTGCACACAAACTGGGAATCCAACCAACAAACTGGAAATTGGAAGGCCAATGCTCTAGCCACTCGTCACCCACACAACCCACACACATACCTGTGGCTACTGCTGATGCACTATCACTATCCCCCTAAACAGTAGTAACGTTGATGTTGTGCCCTCTTGGTGTACAGATTATCAGCCGGATGAATGGGAGATTGAGGCCAGGCATGTAGAAATGTACGACGAATTGGGCGAAGGAGCATTCGGACAAGTCTTTAAGGGCATTCTCTACACCAAAGATGAAAACGGAGAAGACACGGTTGTTGATGTGGCTGTGAAGGTATGTCATAACCTTCAGTGGTAAACACATGTGTGTGTGTGTGTGTGTGTGTGTGTGTGTGTGTGTGTGTGTGTGTGTGCGTGCGTGCGTGCGCGTGTGTGTGTGTGTGTGTGTGTGTGTGCGTGCATATGTACACGTGTGTGTGTGTGTGTGTGTGTGTGTGTGTGTGTGTGTGTGTGTGTGTGTGTGTGTGTGTGTGTGTGTGTGTGTGTGTGTGTGTCAACAACAAAGAAACAAGCCAACCTTGGCCTTCTGGTCAGGGTCGTCCCTGGGTATTGAGTGGCAGTAGGCTTTTCATGCCTTGCAGCCGGTTTCGCTCGCGCGGAAGGACATTCAGTGAGCTGACGACCAGGGCGGGTTATTATTTGTTGCCGTCACCGTCTTCTTGCGTCCTTTCCGCATCCTCCGCAGTGGCGTGGCGAGCCCTCGGATCAATCCCCAGCCTGAAACAATGCAGTGGCGTTTGGCAAAACAAGTGGATTCCTGGATGAGAAAGGATACAGGTCACACACGCAACAATTTATTCCTGCGCGGTGTATCGCTGGAATTGTGGATTTGTCGTGTTGTTTGGACCTGAGTGGCCAGTCATCGTGCGGCGATGGTGTAGTGATGTTAGCTTGCTGTGCACACTCCTCGTTGTTTCGTGAAAGTTCGTCTTGTGGAGCCCTTGTGGGACGTTCGGTGCCCACCCTCCAGTTCAAGATTGTGCTTTCCTGGTTTATGAAGGCCGAAGCAGTACGCGTGCAGATGTTGAACAGAACATCATGCTCCTTTTTCAGTCGTTGCATGTTATACTTATAGTGGACCTACAGCAGACTGTTCATCTGGTTTGTGATATTTCTTTCCTCTGTTTGTGAGTCCTTTTCCATCAATATGGCAGCTTGTTTTGATTTCCTTTTTTTTCAATTCATTTTGCTGTACTTCCTGTTTTGTTTTGCCCCTCACCTTGCGCTCAGTTCTCTGAGTGGAGGGCGGCGTGACCCCACGGGGTAGCTGATTGATAGTAGTAGTAGTAGTGTGTGCGTGCGTGCGTGTGTGTGTGCGTGCGTGCGTGTTAGGAAGAGCTGACCAAATCTGCTTTGTGGAGCTATAAAAAAAGAAACTCTTGGGAAGGTCTGCCTTAGTACTATGCCTTCTATCAGTAAAAGCCAGTCAATCAGCAACTGAATGCAGTGCAAGAATCTGACAGGCTTATGTTAGATACTAGATAGCCGGCACAACTCAGCTTGGGAGTTTCCCACCAGGTACATTACATATACTTCGAGTAGTGTACTCTAATTTCAGAAATTTTCGGTGCTCAATATTTTCGGTATGAGGGCAACAGGCTAGGTTAGGTGAACAGAAATTTTCGGTACAGAGAAGCAGTTCCGTATTGGATTATGTGTGTTAGTGTTTGTTCGGTGTATTGAAATTTTAGGTATGAAACGGACGCACCGAAAGTACCGAAAATAAAAGCACACCGAAAATTTGTGAAATTACGGTATATCACCCTATTTTCGGTGTTGTAAAATTTCGGTAAAAGCCAACCCCTGACCTTTCCGTGTAAGGATAAACTCGGTATGTAGCACCAAAAAAAAAACAAAAAAAAAACAGTCACGTAGCACTTGCACTAATCTCCGGCTCCGGATACTAGTATGTGCACAATCTGCATCAGCGGCACACGGTTCACAATCTTTTTCAGGTTTGTGACATCCTCATTACCAGTACAACTTGAAATCTGTTTTAAATGACTGATTTTCATGATTATGGACGTTGAAAAAGGAGAAGGACATAATGTTACGAGTTATGACTAACTGTCCACCAACGTAACCAGATCTTATACAGTCAGCGAGTGCGACAAAATGGCACAAAACTGACAAGGAGTGCTGAGACATTCGGCGACCTGACACCTAGCTCCAACACTTCTCGTAACATTTTGTCCTTCTCCTTTTTCACCATATTTTAATTGGCTCACCATCCGAGTTGGATTTTGGATGTGGCAGTAATTTTCATGATTTTACATATTTTGGTATTTCGTAAAATGTAGGTGTTAAAGGGGAAGTTAAGGCAAAAATTAAAATTTCACCAGTTGTAGTCTTTGGGGTGCTGAGTCGAATGGTCTTGGTCCGAGAAAGCTGAGACGCTCCCTTCCTACTTGAATCCCAATCGAACTCGCGCACTTCCACCAAAACTGGGTGACTGCGCCCTACTAGATGGGGATTTGTATGCAAAATGTCACTAAAATCGCCATTTCGTTCTTATAAAAGCACGGATGACCGCGATTGGCCCATATGTTGTAGTCTTTTGGACGCTGAGTCGACTGGTTTTGGTCCGAAAAGGCTGCGATGCAGCGTTCCTCCTTTATTCCCAATCGAACATGGTTGAACAAGCGGTCACGTGCTCCTGGGTGCCCAAATCACCTGGTCACCACGCCAGCAGGCGACAACTTTCACACCAAGGTTCAACTCAGTGACAGGACTGCACCCAAAAAAGGTCAAACAGGCTAGAAAGTTGTACCCTGCAGGCACGGTGACCAGATGACTGGTGACCTCCCCTTTAAATTAGGTGATACAGGACCTGTAGCAAAGTTACCGACATTTAAATTACACTGAAATAAACATGTTATAGAGTAGTGCGTTCGTGCAAATGCAAATATTCAAGGTTTGGTGCTGGCTGTTTAAAAGATCATCCTAGTGACATGCACGTAAGACTTCACTGTGTTACTGCTCTGGCACGGTTGGGTTTTACAAATTGAATAAAGAATACAACTAACTTGTATTTTGGCCGCATGCCTTCGTTAACCTGTTTTGTGTATGCTAATTCTTGCTTTTGGGTGGATCCAAGACTGCCAAGATTGAGGAAGAGCCCATGGTGAAGTCACTGTTCTTGCAGGAAGCATCCATAATGAAGTAAGGAAATATAACCGGTACATAGTACAACATACAACTTGAGTCATACCCACATTTGTTTTACATCCAATCCTAGGCCTGACCCCATATGGTTCAAATGGTCGCAAGACTGGGGCTCTGTCAACTGATGATGGTTATAGTCAGGGGCACTGTTTTTAAACACAGTGGTCATTTGCTTTGTAACATGCTGTCAACCAACATATACAAGTATTCTATCAACAAGGCTACGCTTACATTATAGATTAAATTTGATATGCCTGCATTCAGTCTCACAAAATCGAGGTACAGTCAGACCTCGCATAACCGCACACATCCGTTTTCTACAAAAATATCCGGATGGGCGAGGGAACCGGATAATCAAACGCACATACTGTATGTATGCATGACATATGCTGTAAATTGGTAACCAACAATTTTCTTCCGGATGGCAAGGGATCCGGATAAAAGAGGACCGGATAAGCGAGGTCTGACTGTATAATCATTGTATTTTCATTCAGTACCACTGCAATATGAAATCTGGGCAGCTAGCATCCTCCTTGCCTCCTAGACACGGTGCATTGGTCCGCATTACGTGGAGCAAGAAAATCTGTGGCTCCATGTAGGGCCACCCTATGAAGCAACACCCTGTCTTTGTGTACGTAGACGCATGATTGTCTACTCCCTGTGTGTGTGTGTGTGTGTGTGTGTGTGTGTGCGTGTGTGTGTGTGTGCGTGTGTGCGTGTGTGTGTGTGTGTGTGTGGTGTGCGCGTGCATGTATGTGCATGCATGTGTACACGTATGTACAACACACGTGTTTTTCCTGGCATACCTGTACCTGTTCTACGCCCAGGAAATTTTCCTCACCGTTCATAGTGCAGCTGATAGGTATCGTGTCACAAGTGGAGGACACCAGCCCTATGGTATTGATGGAGTACATGGCTAACCGTGATCTCAAACACTACCTAAAGTCAGCACGGCCAGCAAGGGTAAGCAAGTATTAGACAGAGGGGGGGGGGGGGGGGTCATTGCGAGGGACAAACAACGAAACTTCTGCTGGAGCTTTAGTCGTAAAGTGGTTGACGTATTGAATGTGCTAGTACCCATTAAGTTTGGATGGTTAAAAATTCACAGTCTGATGCACGGCTTAGGCCCCGGTCACACCGAAACAAGCCACTTTGGGCGTGTTATCGCTTGCGCTCAGCTGGCTTGCGTGCTCCCTGTGACGCGGTCACACCAGACCTTGAGAGCAAAGCTTGAATGGCTTGTTTTTCTTACCCGCCAAATTTTGAATATCTCGAAACACACCAATGTTTGCAAGAAACCGGAAAGCAGAACGTTCGCGATCTAAAACTGTACTTGTTCTAGTGTTCAGTTTTGATGAAGAAGCAAAGGAAGCCCGGATTCTGAATTACATGTAATCCAGGTGTGTACCTGAGAAAGTTCGATAAAAGTCAATTCGTGTTGATTGTCGTGTGATTGCCGTGCCTCCACTCGCCTACCCATTACACATATAGTGTATCCATTAAATTCGATGTGCATTGTATGAACAGTAAAGTGTGCACTGGTGCAAGATGAACAAGATTGTAGCGTTGACCCGTTTGCTTGGTGTGTTTACAGCCATCGCCATCGCATCCCTCGCGCATGTCTGGAGGCTCCATCGGTCTGCTGGACGTGCACCGAGAATCTGTCGACCTGCGCACCCCCAGCCCGCAGTCAACTGCCACTAACCCCATGCCGGACGAAGCACTGTTCATGCAGTGGGCCACACAACTGGCATGTGGCCTCCAGCATCTTGTGGAGAAGAGATTTGTGCACAGGTAGGTGTAAAATGAATCATCGAAATGATAAAGCCCTCTACAGTGGCAACGTGCTCATTACTGTATTTTGCAGAGTATACATGTAGGCCGCACTTTTAACACTGAAAATTCACCCCCAAAAAGGGGATGCGACTTCTACTCTGATGATCAAATAAAGGTGATAAATAGGGTAGATGTCTGTGTTTCGTGGCGAAAACTGGGAGTGCGGCTTATACTCCGGAAAATACAGTATGTCATCTCAAAACACTTTCAGTAACTATCTTGTTTTTTTTTACGGTGCTGGCCAGTGAAGTCCAAACGCTTGTTTGGGAATTGCTCCATGAGTTGCACAGTTGTTAGGCGAAATTACTGGTCAGTCGGCGACACGCATATTTTCGCAAAAATTTGCGTTTCACCTGCTGGGAGAGTATGCGTGTACTCGCGTCTCATCCTGAGCACGTTTTTTCTTCTTTTTTCAGCTCCAATAGCTGTATTTTTCATTGCAAAGCCGTCCTCGATTGTTGTGTTCGTTGTTCAAACGAAGTGGACATTCAATCATGAAGGCAGAGGACATAGGAGCCTGATTGGAGTTTCTCGTGGCATAGGACGGCCACACAGAGACACTTTGGGATTTTCTGAATATAAAATACCGTACGCACGATGCTGAGATCAATTTGTGCGATATGAAATTGTTTGTGATCTACCACATCGAGCAGAACGGGATCCAAACACAAGCTTACCGACGGTTAGGCTGCCGACCTGACTGGACAAATGATCCCTGGCTTCACCAGACGCCAGAAGTCGGACACCATGTCCTTTGCCGCGGCGTCCATCTCCGTGAAAAGGCTTGAAATACTCAATATTCAACCGAGATTCGCGGTCTCGCCCTTTCTCATATCGAATCATTTTTTGTTGTAGCAGTTGCAGGGCAGATCCCCGCCACTGCTTCAACAGGGGTTTGCTTCACAGCATGCCATATCTAGGTTGCAAGCCACCCCTCTCAGCAAGAAATTCGAAATTTCAATGGTGGAAGATATACTATGAAGAGAATTTCAAAAAGTCTGGTGGTTCGCGGAGCGATCGCTCAACCTACGTCATTCATACTTTGCAGGATGGTTCAGACCTACATGCTAGGCATGGAACCACAGGGGTTGATGTCATAGCTGACACACAGAGTCACACACACAGCAGATTCGTGTGCACAGATACTAAATTAGTGGACGTCGTCATCTTCTTCCCGCTGTTCTCAAATGTACTATGACGTGCTATTTCGCCTGACGGGATGTGTGAGCTGCACTGGGTTTCATAACTGCGGGGAATCAGTGGCTGGTCGGGGCACAGAAAGTGTGATGGTGGCGAGGAACTTCGGAAGCCAGCCCTGTACCACTCCTAGATTTTAGCAGTTGCAAGTGTTCATTAAAAGTGGAATTGAGAGTAATGTGTCATGCCTCTTCTACCCTGCTTTTTCAATCAGGGATCTCTCAGCCCGCAACTGCATGCTCAATGCTGATCTCAATCTCAAGATATCAGGTATGTTCAGCTGGTTTTGAAAGTACCAAAACTTGATTCATTCCACTGTTCATGGTTGCCTCTCTTTAAAGAACTCAAAAAGTCTCCTGTCTGAATTTAGATAAACTGAGAAGTAAGAAATGAAATGGTAGCACAATCCTTGAACTTGGAGGGTCAGAGCAGGAGGCTTTAAAGCCACTTCTCACGACGCTCTATACGGGTATGTTACTGCAGAGGTGATACATCTCTTTGCAAGTATTCGTGGCAGCTGCATACTGCAGCCCAGGCATACCACACCAGACCGTAATGATGTACATATTCCACCAAGGGATGGGCAGGACAGCTGTGACAGTGCCTGCATTGCTACTGTCGGTTCTTACTTCTCAGCCATTTTTGTGTGCTAACTGCACATCATGGCATGTTTGCATGCAATGTATTACACTACATTTCTTGTCATGAAGTAGGTCTACAAATCTTATCATGTGCAAACTCTGTGGTCTCTGTATTCTTTGCTTGACTAGATTTTGGCTTGACGCGGGATATCTATCAGAGTGATTACTATAGGAAGAGAGACAGAGGTGAGATCTTGAACCGGCACAGAAATTCGGCTGTTTTGACCAATATTTCTAAACTGCCATAAACCCACTTACAAAATGGATAGTGAGACAGTGGTATGTAAGAGAGCTTCTGAAACAGTACAGGTGTTAGCATGCGTATGAAATATGAAGCCAAGCATGCTCTGGATCATGTGGCCTTGGTTGCTAAATCTTGCCCAATGACTTAGCAAGGCCAGGCCCAGTGATATGCCTTAGGGATCAGCCATCATGACCGATTAAAAGGTATGCTTGATCTGATTTCTTACATGACCTAATGGTCAAAAGCTGAATACGTCCTGTAGTCAAACTATTGACCTCACGAACACTGTGAATTTTCCAACGCTTTCATGATGGGCTGATTATGACCGCGGCGGAAAGGCCTAACTATTGGCCGTGGACTGGGCAAAACCATAATTATGTCATGTAAGACTGGGCCTTTGTCCGTATTACAACACACACACAATTGCTACTGGACAAATGATTATGGATGTCCATGTAACTATGCACCAGATGAGAGTGATGTGAGCGTTGTTGAGTACAAGTCATGTATTGCCTTGCAAGTTGCAACATGTACGGAACCATGCAAGTTGCAACATGTATGGAACCGTGCAATTTCTGGACTACAAGTACTCAGCAGGAGGATCTGCTTCGAAACTACTTTTCTTCACCCTCTAATTGTTCCACTCCTTGTCCTCTCAGGTGTCCTGCCAGTTCGATGGCTTCCGCATGAGGCGCTTGATGACGGAGTGTTCTGTAATGCCACTGATATCTGGTAAGACGTCGGCACACATACACGCACTAGCTCAACAGTGTTACCGCATGAAATCCTCATGCACTCGTGAGGAAAGACCATCCGCAGGACCTACCTACCCTGCAGCATCAAGAGTATGTACTTTTGTCTTTAGCACCAAGAAAATGTATCCTACGCAACAAGATGGTGTACCACCTTGTTGTAGTGGTGTAGCCTAAACAAAACAAACTGTGAATGGCCGTGTGTGTGTCCGTGTGTCCGTGTGTGTGTGTGTCAGTGGCGGGTTTAGGGGGGGGCGCGGGGGGCGCGCGCCCCCCCCTCAAAAATTTCGACCTAGGTTTCGAAAAATAATACAGGGCGCGCGCCGGGTCGAGCTAGACTAGGCTCGGGGCGCGCGCGCCGCGCGGCCTGAAACGATTGTCCAAAAGCGGTTGCACGGTGCTAGTACAGTACGAGTACACTGTACAGTATACACAGACTACAGAGCTAGAGACAGAGTAGAGTCTACGTACAGTGAGCATGCACGGCTACAGTACAGAAACACGGTGACCTGACTGTGTACTGTTGTACAGTGTGATCCCTGCTGGGACGCGCTCGACGCGTCTTCAACGGTACAAACATCGAAGAAAAGTCTTCGATCGAGTCAACCAAAACACGATTCGAATGCCGAGGGCTCAGGCGATCATCCTCGTTCGAATCGTGTTTTGGTTGACTCGAAGGCTTTTCTTCGATGTCTCAGGGACATCCCAAAAGGCCAAGCTCTAGCCAGCAGAGCCTGGAATTTTTGTAAAGCGTTCCTGTGGCGGCGCAACTCCTGCTGCCGCTCCAACAGGAAACAGTGGGAGTGATGAAGTCGCTGTTATTCCAGACAATCCAGTTGAACTTTCGGAGCGGACTGACAGTCAAACTCCGCCAGACGTGGAAGAACCTGTTGTCAGCGAGCAGCCAGAACATAAAGAACAGCGCACAGTGACAAGTACCGCTGCCTATGTAAAGGATGCTTTGAGAGCGGTGAGAAATTGTTGGACTCGCATATTAAAACAAAAGAAAAAAGCAGTTGATTCGCTCACATAACGGCAAATTTGAAGTTTACAATGTACATTAATTTTGTTGCTGCGTGTACAGAAATACTGCTCGTGAGTCGTGGTGTGTGAGATTTACGGCTTGTTGTTGTTGTTTATTTTTACTTCACCAAATGAACAGACAGAGATGCCTTCTCACCTGCCCCGGCATAGGACAGGTTCTCACAGAATGATGAAGGGATGATATGCAAGGGAAAACAAGAAAATTAATGATAATAATAATAATAACTTATAAGACAGAAAGGACCAAAAGAAGAAAGGGAAAAATTTATATCAAGAACAATTTCATGCAGTCAGAAATAGAAAGACAATAATTTCATGGAGTCAAAGAATAGAAAGACAATCTCATCGAGTCAGGAACACGTGGTTGATTTTATAGACATGCATGCACAAATGATTGATAGATGAGAAGGTTGGAATTTATGGCAGATAATAAAAGTTTAACGAGGACAAAGTAAGTATATCAATGGCAGAAAGAGCTTTTCGGAAGGGACCAGGGACACGTATCACTCTAAAATCAGAGGGGAGAGCGTTCCAGAGAATGCTTCCCCAAAACATCATGCTCGATCGTACCGCAGGCCCACCGTGGGGACTTGAAGCAAGTTCGACACTTGTCCCCGTGTGGTGCGCTGATCCTCCGGAACAATCTCTGGGGCCGTTCGGGTGAATAACTGTTGAAGAAGGGGCTACAGGAGGAGCTTCTTGACATTGATTTTCAAAATGGCTGACCTGGGACAGTAGCATGATGTCATCTACCCCCACTCCATCCCGCCTTGATCCCGGCCGCAACCCCCCCTCAGCCAAATCCTGGACACGCCACTGTGTGTGTGTGTGTGTGTGTTGTTGTTGTTGTTGTTGCTGCTGCTGCTGTTGTTGTTGTTGTTGTTGTTGTTGTTGTTGTTGTTGTTGTTGTTGTTGTTGTTGTTGTTGTTGTTGTTGTTGTTGTTGTTGTTGTTGTTGTTGTTGTTGTTGTTGTTGTTGTTGTTGTTGTTGTTGTTGTTGCTTAGGTCCTATGGAGTGGTACTGTGGGAGATGGCCACACTGGGCAGAATGCCGTACCGGGGCATGTCCAACAACGATGTTGTACAGCACGTGATCGATGGTGGATTCCCACGACTACCTGTGCGATTGGTAGCACCCTTTCCTGACCTGCTGTAAGTGTTTGGGAAAGAAGGATACTTCTGGTAACATTTTCTGAGTGGGGATATATGCCAGAATTCTACCCAAATGAGGGTACCCCCCCCCCCCCCCCTACTCTGATGGAGCGCCCTCATGTGAAAATGTGGCACCCTCTACTCATTTGTCGATTTTTGTGTTTTTCATGCCGTTCAACAAAAATGCAGTCGATAGTCGGTAACAGAGGGTTCATAGGCACAAATGTCCGGGTAAAGCCTGGTTTTTTCGCCCTATACGTTGCGCATGGCAAGACAATTTGGAAAACGGTTACGGGGTAACTGTTTCCCCTACCCCGGGCTATTTTGACCTGGCTAGAATATTATGTGCATGTGTGTTTGTTAGTGGCGGATTCAGACGGGGTCCAGGGGACCTGAGCCCAGCCCTACTTTCAATATGTTTGCCATAGTTTGCCTATGGACTAGTAATGGTGCACATTTGAGTGAATGTTTACTTGTATGTATAAGTGAAAGGAAAAGTTGATCTGCTTCTAAACACACTGCCTTCTTCCTTGCTCTGCATGTGTACTTGTTTGCTGCCACAGGAAGGGAATTATGCTGCAGTGCTTCACATTTGCGAATACCTTCCGTCCGACTGCCGAAATCCTCCTATCCTACCTGGAGCTTCCGGAGCGACCCGACTGGATGAACTACGAGGAGTTAATGGAGCCACCACGCAGCCGTTCAACAGCCGACGGCATCGAAGAGGAAATGGATGTGTTCAGCGCCGCCAGCACGGACTGGTCTGGTGATAACCGCGCTAACACTGGCAAGGGATCTTGCAGATCTACTATTACTGCCATGACCACTGCTGAGGACAGAGATGTACATGCTTATGCCAACCATAGCGCTGCAGGAGCACAACTTCAACCTGAGCTAGCTTCGCAACCCCACTCCAGCCGTCAAACTCCGAGCAACTTGTCTCCAGCGGTGTCACGAGCACTTTCTCCGGCAAGGGCCAGTCCAAGAGGCAGTCCAAAAGGCAGTCCGAAGGCATATCCCGTGCCCATTGAAATTCCAACCATCACAGGGCCTATCTGTGCACGCATACTTCCTCCCATGGAGACCTTTCAGGGTGACGTCGACGAACTGCTGGAGTTGCAGCAGAAAATGGACAGAGCACAGAGTATTGACTGGGTTGAGAGCAGCACAAGTGACGAGACTGTCGCAGTGGAACACCAGAACAATGATGAAACTGCTGCAAACTGCCCAGCAGTCGGTGCAAGCACTGCGGCGTCGGCACTGTCTGAGCATGACAGCACCACTGACGGGAATGCGTCAAGCTTGAACTCTGATAGCGGTGTGTCCATGGGTAAAAATCAGGAGCAGCTCACATCATCTTCTGCATCGGATGAGTACAAACAGGAAGATGGAGAAGTTCAGGAAGATGGAGAAGGTGCAGAGTATGATGAAGAAGGTGCAGAGTATGATGAAAGCGGTTGCTACCCTGGCGCCACCTGGACATTACCGGCCATATCCTTGCAGGCACCTGTGTATCCTCCGGGTGGTGAAGGGAATTCGTACTCCACGGCCACTCTATGATACCCATCAACTCTGAAGCTGGTCTCTGAGACGCTGCCAGTGCCACTTGGGAGCACTTCTGGATATTTTGGTATTGCGGTCTATGAGACTGGCATTCTGTGCCGTAAGCAAGCAACCCGAATTTGACCACTGTACATGATGTCAACATGATAACTGATCATTAACTTAATCCTGGAACTAACCAAAGCCACTCAACAACCAGTGCGGTATAATTGTTTTGACCAAGCTTTTGTTATCTACTTGTTCATAGTCCCCACTTGAAACACGTATTACTCTTGTTCTAGCTAACACAATTTGCTAAATCTTGAACACGTATTACTCCTGTTCTAGCTAACACAATTTGCTAAATCTTGAACAAAACAATTTGGCTCCATTAGTGACATTCGACCAATTTGGTACAGGCTGAGGTTAAGTTGATTAGATTGCCGATAACAATGGGCATTTACCCCTGTCAAATAATGTCTAATGAACCCCAGGAATTTTAGATGTTCTTCTGCAGTAGAATTTTCCGGCTTGTTTCTCCTTCCTCATGCGGAAACAACAAGAGTCCAGTCATCAGCAAAACACTGCTGAACTCTGATTGGCTGAGGGTGGGTTCACTAGTCATTTCAGGTGTGAAGTTCACAGCCAGGATAGGCTATAGAAGTAATCATTCCAGTAGGGGATGGTGGTCAGGGTTTGGGATGGCCAGGAATTTTACATGTTCTTCTCTGCTTGAAAGCCATTGTTCTAGCTGTAGGTCAGTTCATTTTACCCAAAAGGATTGAGATATGGGTCTCCAGTACGGTTTGAATGGGTGTTGGCATGGATAATGTACAGTGTACAGTGTTCTCCAACACGGTTTGAATGGTGGGCATGGATGTACTTGGGCATGATGCTGACGATGTGCTGATCTTAGAGGCAATCTAGACAAAATCAATGAAAAGGATAATGAACTCGGATGGAGAGCCAAGGATTATTCATAAAAACTTTCTCAAAAACTTTCTATGAATAATCCTTGGCTCTCCATCTTTTTACTTTTTATTAAAAAGTAAAAAGGACCAAGGAATACACTATAAATAATCGACGCGGAGACAACAATTTTATAATAGCTATAAACAGAAAGATTGTTAAGATTGTTTTCGTAGGTGCACAGCATGATTGTTTGTCTCACTATACAGTTCTAGCGTTGCAATTAGTTCCTCACCCCTGTTGCACTTAGCTCTCACTTCACTTCTATTGTCTTACCTTCCCTCATTCTATTTTAGCACTTTGTTTTGTTCTCGTAACACATTATTGAATGTATATAAATCATTGATTTAGCATGGTTATTCTTCAGTCACGGCTTTCTACTGATGATTGTGACAAGAAAATCGATTTTGGTAAACCTTCATGACTTTGTTGTAGTGTGGCGATGACAGCAGGATTTGTTCTCTTTATAGCTAGAATGCACTATAATGTCCACTAACACCACCAGTTACTAAACAATCAGCTCATGCGATAACATTGCACGACACTGACCGACGGTACTGACGGTCTACAACTAACTGGCTAACAGCTCTAGCACATCTTGCACATCCTTCCAAGTTGGAATGCTGTTGGAGTGCGCATCCAAGATGTGCTAGAGCTGTTAGCCAGTTAGTTGTAGAACGTCAGATTGTCAGTCAGTGTCGTGCAATGGTATCGCATGAGCTGATTGTTTAGTAACTGGTGGTGTTAGTGGACATTATGGTGTAACTTGTAGTTCCTAGTTCCTTGGTCCTTTTTACTTTTTGTAAAAGGATAATGCAGACACATTGTTCTGGGTGCCAGCCCAAAGTAATCCAGATAAGCAAGGCTCAACTGCAGCAATGTTAATAGATCTAGTTTGTGAGCTTACCTGCTACTGGGTGTGAGTCTTGGCCATATGCAGTAGATCAAGATCTTTGCATGAGGACAAAAGAGAACATTCTTGATTCCACCCGGCATAATGTAGCGTGACTTTGCCTCCTGTTATCGTCAGCGGAGACAGCTCATCAAGTCGTCACTTCGCCCATAATCTGAGGGAAAGTGATTAAAAGCACGAGATTTATTGTGAATATTCTAAACTTAAAAGCCACCCCCTGATTGAAATCATTGCACATAGATTCAAGTAACCACCCGTGTAGCTAGGATTTCCTTGGTACCAGGGCAATGGTGCCCAGACATTTTTCTCGTCAACTGGGTCGACCCAAAACGACCTATAATGTGTTTCAAAAGTATACAGGTCTAGACTTTTTCGAATAATTCTGTACTACTTTGCTGGTGTTTCGATTGACGACTCAGGTTGAAGATTGGCGTTTTCCTTTATCAGGAGATGCACTTGTGCACAGATAACAGGGACTAGGAGGGAATGGAGGGAGGGGATTGACATTCTCAATGGCCAGTGACCTGGGTGACTCTGTTCTAGCGGTTACCGGCCTGGTAAAGGTGACCATTCAATACTAAGTGCACCCAAATCACAGCACTTGATACTGGACCGCTCCGGCCAGTACCAGCGGATAGCAAATACCACCATGAGTGCTGGTACAGTTCCCTGAGATATCCATAGCAATTGACCCAGTGCTGCCATCCACAGGGAAACACGGATGCAGCGAATGGGATTTTCGGTCTTTGACCACTTTGCTGGTGGGCTGTTCTACTTGCCTCCCACCACCGCTTTAGAAGCTGCATCTGCGCCATTGATCTTTGCAGGGTGGTGACGTTCCTACGGATGCCGAAAACTCAGTCCGAGTCTCAAACGAACCGTGAATATTTTCACACCCACTCCACTGATATCCTCTGTGCGCGCTCTCATGCTTAGCCTAGCTTGTACACTGAAACTTTCTTCTTCAGTGATAGTGTAAGTATGCAGGGTCTCATCTCTCATCATATTACCGGTATTGTACCTAGGCTATGAAGTATTGATTTCCACGAGGGAAGCTTTACTCGTAATTCTTTCCATTATGCTTCATCTGGGAGGCGCAATAATTATATGTGCATTCGTTTGGCTAGCACTTCTAATTCCAATCGCGTTTCCCATCTCCTCAAACCGATCAAAGATCCTCCCCTCCCGCATTCAGAACCGAGCTGTGATTCGGAAACGTAAAACAGAGTATTTGAACGGATGGAAAACACTTCACACCAATGGAGGTTGTCACCACCGTACCGGTAGATCTACCAGTCGCAATAGGGCTTGAAAGTGATGACGTCAAAACGGCCAGGGAGTAGTAAGTTGACATCAGATTTCTACTTTTGGATCCACTAAGGTGTGACTTTGCTAATGCCTAAGTATGTGGGTGCATAGCAACCCACTCATGTCGCATGCAGGTGTGACTTTTATTTCGCCACCAGTTGTAACCCCGCCCCCAGTAGCCAAATCGGTCAGTTTCACTGGCTACATCACCATGCTGTGGGTAAGACCGCTTGAAATGTGCTTGGATCCATACAAAAACTGGATCCAAGTGGATCCAGTTTTTGAATTTTTGAAATTGTTGCTATGCTGTGACGTAGCACTTTCAAGCCCTATAGTGACACGGCACTCTAAGGGCGCGTTCGAATTGTCACTCTTTGATTTTTCGAGGAGTTTCGTTTTTCTGAAGAGGTGGCCTTATTGGCCTCTTCAGAAAAAAGAAACTCCTCGAAACTCCACAACCTCATCCGGTGAGAGAGGTGGATTAGTTCCAAAGAGTTTGGAATAGCTACTTCAGTACGTCCCGTAGTACGTGGAGATGGTTGATCTGATCGGACGTCATCATCGTCATGAAAATTCCACTGAAAAACTCTAAAATGATAGAAACCGTTAAACAAATAAAACCCGAGAACTGCTGAGTACTATACTATACTATACGTATGATACATGAACACTGATAAGAGTTTTCAGAGTGTCAAAAGCCACAGACATATTACAGGTAAACAAGTTTACAACACACACGCACACGCACACACACACACACACACACACACACACACACACACACACACACACACACACACACACACACAAAGTGCAGAAGCAAAAGCGAAGTATGCTGCCACGCCATAACATATTTTATAAGAATGTCTCGGGGCAAAACGGAAAGCAGGCACAAGAATACGGAGCTGCAGTGTTTATGCCTGTGTGTGTGGAGGTGTGTGTGTGTGTGTGTGTGTGTGTGTGTGTGTGTGTGTGTGTGTGTGTGTGTGTGTGTGTGTGTGTGTGTGCACGTGTGTGTAATAGTTTTACCTTGACACTTCTTGCTTGTCTTATGGTAACACCTTGTGTTCCTACTATTCTCACTCCTGCGGTTCTCACCTTTCTTTTGCTTTATAACCTCTGGTTTGAACATCATTCGACGAATTCTCCAATCAATCAAGTCTATACTGTTACACTGGTAGCTTGAGGATGGTTGAGATCATCGTTTGCCCTTTGACGTGCCTTGTGCTCCTGGCCGCTACTGCTCTGCTATACGCCGCTTTCCGTGAGATCCGCCGCGCTCGGGACAACGTGGCTGCTACAGTTGGACGACATCAATTACCTGCTACATCAAGCTCAAGTCCTCCGGATCTAGCCCCGTGTCGATCGCGTTCTCTCTCCCAGACAAGCCCGAGCGTCAAACGCGTTACCAGAGAACCGAATGTTTTCCATGGCAACCCTTCCGAGTTCAAAGAATGGGTATTTACGGTCGAGTTAGCCTTGAAGTGCTCACCTCAAGGTGACCCGGAGAGCCAAGTTAACTTTGCGGCTAGCTACCTCGCTGGGAATGCGCGTCTTTGGCTAATTTCTTCCCTGGAAGCAGGTGAGCAATTTTCGGATTGGCATTCTTTGAAAAGCGCCCTAGCGCGAGTGTATGGCCCGCACTATGATGGGGAAAGAGTGCGGTTGGATATGTTCTCTATCCAACAGCGTGGGTCAATTGAATCGTACGTAACGGAGTTTTCTCGGCTAAGTTTACAGGTGCCGGAACTTGACGAACTCTCCAGAGCCTTGCTATTTGTCAACGGCCTGCACGGTAACATGCGGACCTTGGTAGTGAAGGAACACCCCACTACACTGTCAGCCGCCGTTCAGTCAGCGCTAGCAGTCGCCTCAGACAGCCGATTTCAGCGCAGACCACCACTGGCGACCGCGCCGGGATTCGCACCACCATCAGGTAGCAAAAAGCTAACAAAACTAAGCCCCGAGGAACGTGAGACATTACGAGCCCAGGGGGGCTGCTTCGCATGTCGTCGACCAGGCCATATGGCCCAGAATTGCCCGCAGCATCGAGATCACCCAAACGGTGGACGTCAGTAAGGCCGATGCGATTACTGACGCAGCAAGAAAAGGCATCACCTGCGTGTAGTGTGTGCTCCGTCTCTACCCGTAACCGATTCAGTAGCCTCGCTGTGGAGGATGTTGACGATGATGCTGAATGCTCCGAAGCCAATTTCAAGCGAGATGTTACACCAACTATTGAGGCCCAGGTTACCAGCGTCAATGTGGAAACGGAACATGAGCTCCTGCGTGTAGAAGGCAAAATCAACGGTCGTCGCGCGCTTATGTTAATAGATTCGGGCTCGACCCATGATTTCATTGCCGAACAGTTTGCCAGGAGAGTTAACCTGCCAACCGAAATTGGCTCGGAAAACCTGAATGTCACGCTGGCTGATGGAGCATCAAGCTCGTTTCCCATGGAGACGACCCATGAATTGAAGGTTATCGTAGGCGACTTCAGCGATAACCAAACCTTCACGGTGTTCCCCCTTCATCGCTATGACGCTATATTGGGGAAACCTTGGTTAACGCGTAACAATCCAGACATAAACTTCCGGACGAATGAAGTCAGGTTGAACTCGAATGGTTTGCCTTGTGCGTCGCCCAGTCAAAGCGAACCGACCGCTCCTGTGGAGGCGATGTTCATATCTGGTCGTCAGGCTAGGCATGCCCTTAGGAGTGGAGACGAAGGTGTTCTGGCGTGGGTCAGCGTAGAAGACGGCATTGGCAAGGAACCTCCCGACAAATCCACTCAGAACGAGCACCCAGATCTCAAGGCCATGTTCCGTGACTATGACGATCTTTTCCCGGATGATCTGCCAGCTAGACTCCCACCAGAGAGGTCTGTAGACCACGAAATCCGCCTGGAGGAAGGCTCATCACCCCCATCGCGACCTGCCTATCGCCTGCCCAGGCCAGAAATGGAGGAATTGAAGAAACAGCTCACAGAACTCTTGAAAAAGGGTTTCGTAGAACCAAGTAAGTCCCCCTTTGGTGCACCGGTGTTTTTTGTCAAGAAAGCTGATGGTTCGTTACGCATGGTCTGCGATTGGAGGGAGCTAAACAAGATAACTGTTAAGAACAAGGCGTGCTTGCCCAATGTGGATGATTTATTCGATACCGTACAGGGCGCTAGGTACTTCACGAAACTAGACCTCCGATCAGGGTATAATCAGATTCGCATTCAAGCTGAGGACGTGCCCAAAACCGCGATTAACACTCCCTTTGGGCATTACCAATTTAGGGTCATGGGATTTGGTCTCACCAATGCACCGGCAACATTTCAATCCATGATGAATACGATTCTTCAACCATATCTGAGGGAGTTCGTAGTCGTGTTCCTAGATGACATACTCATCTTCAGCAAAACGTGGTCGGAGCATATGCAGCATGTCCGGTCGGTATTGAGCGTGCTCCGGGACAACCAGTTATTTTGCAAACGGTCAAAATGTGAATTTGGCGTGGAGAGTGTGCGGTTCCTGGGACATTGCATCGATGGACTGCACATCGCCCCTGACCCAGACAAGATTGCCGCAGTAAAGGTCTGGCCCGCTCCGACTTCCGTCACAGAGGTGAGGCAATTTCTTGGATTTACGAATTATTTTAGGCGATTCATAGATCAATACTCATCGCTCTCTAAGAACTTAGAGGAGATAACGGGAAAACATGCACGATTCGAGTGGAACAGCTCTCGGCAACATGCCTTTGAATCGCTAAAGCATGCCTTGTTGAATGCGCCCCTATTGCGGCTGGCTGATGTGAACCGACCATTCAGAGTGGTAACAGATGCAAGCGATTTCGCCTTGGGATGTGTTCTTCTCCAAGAACTAGAGGAAGATGCCTGGCATCCAGTGGCTTATGCTAGCCGAAAATTGTCTGCTGCGGAACAGAATTATACAGCTACAGAAAGAGAAACATTGGCCGTAGTGTTTGCGCTAAAGACCTGGCGCATCTACCTCTTTCAACACTTTGAGGTCATTACAGACAACATGGCGGTAGTTTATCTGAAAACAAAACCAAGCATTACAAAGAGAGAGGCGCGATGGGTTGAATTCCTAGCTGACTATAACTACACAGTCCGTCACAGACCCGGCAGAGAGAACCCTGCAGATCCCCTTTCGCGTCGCCCAGATCTCCATGAGAGTAACCTCGTGGAGAATGCAGTACCACGTTTGAATGCTATTGAGTATGCTTTAGCAATGAATGATGACGTGTCCAATACAATATCAGATGCCTACCAGAGAGACAAAGAGCTAACTCCCATCATAGAAAGATTGAAGCATTCTCTCCGAGATAATTTGCATGATCGCTATTATTGGGACGAATCCACTGATCGCTTGTACCTCAAGGCATCCCCCAATAACCGGTTGTGCGTACCACAGTGCGGTGTCCGGTTAAAGCTCATTCAAGAACACCATGAGTGTGCAACGGCTGGCCACCCGGGTCGTGATCGAACGTACTTCCGCCTAGCACGTTTTTTCTACTGGCCCCGAATGGGTCTCGATATCAAGAGATTTGTCAAAACCTGTGATCTCTGCCAGCGAACGAAGGGAGGTCAGCCACGAACAGGGCTTCTCCAGTCACTTCCAATACCTGATAGTCCTTGGCAGGATATCTCAATGGATTTTATTGTTGGATTGCCCCTTACTTCTCGTGGCTTCGACGCAATTTACACCTTTGTGGACCGACTTACGAAATGCGTACATCTTGTTCCAACAAACTCGAAGATTGATGCTAAGGGCAGCGCTCAACTGTACATTCAAAACGTGTTTCGTCTGCACGGGCTGAGCTCAACCATTGTTTCCGATCGCGATCCACGATTCACTGCAGCTTTTTTCAAAGAAGTATTCTCTCAGCTAGGAACTAAATTGGCATTCAGCACTGCTAACCACCCTCAAACGGATGGTTTGACAGAGAGAGTTAACCGGCAAGTGGGAGATGTTCTAAGAGCATTTGTGAACTTGAGACAGGACAATTGGGATTCGCTTCTACCACTCTGCGAGTTTGCAATAAATAGTTCACAACAGTCATCTGTAGCTAATACACCGTTCTATCTGAACTATGGGTTTGACCCTAAGTCCCCGCCCGAATTCATTCTTACGGGAGGGGAAAGGAGTGATTCGGTCGATTGGCTTCATGAGCAGGAAGCCGCACTAAGGATAGCTCGAGATGCTATGCTCGACGCCCAGGCAAGGCAAGCTCTATACGCAGACCAGACGAGAACGCCCAGTGATTTGAAGGTTGGTGATAGCGTTCTTGTCTACAGAGACTTTCTACTGACCCCGGAAGCTCGTGGCCAGCCCTCTCGGAAGTTGCAACCCAAGTGGTTTGGTCCGTATCGTATCCAGGCTAAGATTGGAGCGAATGCTTTTCGCTTGGAACTACCCCGTGAACTTCGCTGCCATCCCGTGTTTAATGTCACTGCTCTTAAACGCTACGAAGAGAACACGATTCCTGGAAGACACCAACCCCCGCCTCCGCCCTTCACAGATCTAGATGGACACACACGCTATGTTGTCGAAGCCGTTTTGAATCACCGACACCGCAGTGGTGAGCAACACTTCCTGGTGCATTGGAAGGGTTACCCCAGCAGCGAAGCTACGTGGGAGCCCGCTGGCAACCTATGTGATGAGTCTGGTCGGAATATTAAACCGCTGCAGAACTATCTAGCCTCACAACGACAGCAGCCTTGATCTAACTGGGCTGAGCCATATGCATCTCTTACTGAGATAGTTAATAATTATGTTATAGACTGATATAGTTTTGCGTCATCTCCTTGTGAGAGTGATGAAGTTGAGTTGGATTACACTTCAATGTGGTTATGCATGTGCATGAGTGATTATTTAATATTCCCCTTTCCACAATTGCATCTCCTAACTGGATTGTGTTATCTAATAGAACCTTGGGCTTCCTATGGGGCCGGGAGAGTGTAATAGTTTTACCTTGACACTTCTTGCTTGTCTTATGGTAACACCTTGTGTTCCTACTATTCTCACTCCTGCGGTTCTCACCTTTCTTTTGCTTTATAACCTCTGGTTTGAACATCATTCGACGAATTCTCCAATCAATCAAGTCTATACTGTTACAGTGTGTGGGTGTTGGGGTTCCATGGTCATTAGAAATACATCACCATAGACTGGTACAGTGTACATGCACTCTAACATCACAATGATTGTGTAATCTACTTAAAGTCGGTTCTATCATCATCGCTCAACAGGTTCTCTCATTATGCAGTCTTCTTTTCTTTAGGCCAGCGGCGTAGAAAATGCAACCACAGGTCGAGGCGGCGGTGCCTGGTTCCGCCGTGGAGGGGGTTGGCTGTTGGCTGTGCGTGGCGGTAGGATGACGGCGGCTTTAGGCTTATGTGAGTCTCTGGCCAAGACGTATTCACTCTGCTGCCTAGCGTCCCCCCTCTGAAAAACTGACACGCCTTGGCGGCAGAATTGTGGAGCCACTGCCAGATTGTTTCATGTCACAATAAGGATGACAGCAACAGCAACTGCCAGAATGGCGAGCACAGCAGCAACAATACCGGCAATAGCGCCTCCAGATACTCCGCCAGCCTGCTCTGAGGTGCATGCCGGGCAAGTCCGAGACTGATTCAGGTCACCTGTGCATGGGGCAACCCGAGTTGTGTTACATTGACGATGGCGAACTTGAATGTTGTTTACCGGATCTTCACCGCATAGTGAACAACTACCACTATCAGCCCAATCGCTCCATGGCAAGAACCTGGCACAGATGCGCTCATCAGTTGTTGGACCGGAGCAGTTGAGTCCACCATTAGTCGGTGTTGGGCTGGTGCATGCTCGCATTCGACTCTGGCTATGTTCTTCATCGCAGTTTCCACGCCATTCTGACCAGTCACTGAAACCACCATCTTGGCACACAGGACATGGTCCGCGCTGTTCACGTGCACCCGAGCACTGAGCACCTCCTTTCATTGGCTTTGGACTTGTGCAGTTGCGAGTCCTTTGCCTGTAGCTACCTCGTGGACAGCCATAACAAGTACCTACTTGACTCCATCCTGTCCACTGTGTCCACTGACCAGGTATGGACATATCACATGCTGATACGTTACAGCTGCCAGTATCTGTGGCTGATCCTGGGCAATTGTCAGCAACTGGACATGTTCTCATGCGCACACGTGCACCAACACCACAGGTAAGGGAGCAGCCTGACCAGGTTCCCCAGATATTCCATTGAGAACAGGAAGGTTCCTGGCAGGAGGTGGAGTTGGTTTCTGAGGTGCATGCCGGGCAAGTCCGAGTCTGATTCAGGTCACCTGTGCATGGGGCAACCCGAGTTGTGTTACATTGACGATGGCGAACTTGAACGTTGTTTACCGGATCTTCACCGCATAGTGAACAATTGCCACTATCAGCCCAATCGCTCCATGGCAAGAACCTGGGACAAATGCGCTCATCAGTTGTTGGACCGGAGCAGTTGAGTCCACCATTAGCCGGTGTTGGGCTGGTGCATGCTCGCATTCGACTCTGGCTATGTTCTTCATCGCAGTTTCCACGCCATTCTGACCAGTCACTGAAACCACCATCTTGGCACACAGGACATGGTCCGCGCTGTTCACGTGCACCCGAGCACTGAGCACCTCCTTTCATTGGCTTTGGACTTGTGCAGTTGCGAGTCCTTTGCCTGTAGCTACCTCGTGGACAGCCATAACAAGTACCTACTTGACTCCATCCTGTCCACTGTGTCCACTGACCAGGTATGGACATATCACATGCTGATACGTTACAGCTGCCAGTGTCTGTGGCTGATCCTGGGCAATTGTTAGCAACTGGACATGTTCTCCTGCGCATACGTGCACCGATACCACAGGTACGGGAGCAGCCTGACCAGGTTCCCCAGATATTCCATTGAGAACAGGAAGGTCTCTGACAGTAGGCAACGTTGGTTTCCACTGCCAAACCATCAGGCCTGCAGCTCCTGCCACCGTTGGCTGGCGATGGCTGGTTGCAAGAACGCGTTCGCATGTGTGAGCCAGAGTCGCAAGTAGCGGAACATGGAGAGAAGCCGGACCAAACTGACCAGCCACCGTCAACAGGACATTGAACACGGTTGCACGTTTCTCGTTCACTAGTTGCACCACGGCATACTGTACCACCATTGCTTGGCGGCGGATTATCACAGTCCCGGGTGCGTGTTCTTACGCCACTTGTACCACAGGATTGGGAGCAGCCTGACCACACTGTCCAAGGACTCCACTGACCATTCACAGGACGTGAGCAGTCAGCACCTGTCCAGCCACGGTTACACAAGCATGAGTTGAGATTTGTGCACACACCATTTCCTGCACACACCCTACCACCACTTGATGGACATGGTGTAGTGCCAAGTGAACTTATCGATCTGCAACGTTGGTTGATGCAAAGAGAGCTTGATCCACATGGAGAACCGTCGGCCACTAAGCTGAAATTGGCCAGGTCCAAATATAGTGGGACTGTAGTGGATTTGCAGACCACTGTGCCTTGGCTATATCTTACTGTTACGGTGCCTGTTCGGCTTGTTGACGAGATTATGGTAAAGTCTGCTCCGCCGATACATTGAAGGCGACCGCATCGAGCATCAGTGGCTGCGCACCTCAAGTAGTTGGTTGAAGTGGAACCGCAGTTGGCATTGCCGGAGCCCTGCGTGTTTTGATCGTAGCAGATCTGAGGAGCAACGGCTGCAGGCGTTCCCCATGTTCTCTTGCACTGAGTATCGTGAGTGTTGCATTGTCCATCGTAGCAAAATGATGCCAATGACCCCGAGCCGCAAGTCTGACCGTTCTGTGCAAAAATATCATCGGGACAAGTGTGCGTCAGGCCTGAACATGTCTCAGCTACGTCGCAGCTGTTCGCAGCAGAGCGGCAGAGCGTGCCCGTAGCTAGAAAGCGGCAGTTTTGACAGCATGGACCATCGCTGCATTGAGAACCGGTGGTGAAACGACATGTAGCTGGATTACAACATGTTGCTGTGCACTGTGCTGCTGTGCCACAATCACATTGCTCGGTGCCCTCCACAAACCCATTGCCGCATACCGGGTCACCAAATAGTGTTGTTGGCTGGTTGTCCATACAGAAGCCAGCACCGCGTGATAGAAACATGCTGAGATCATAGCGGCTGCAGTCGGACCATACCAACGGTAGAATACGGGAATTGTGGGTAGCCATTATGCATCCGCCATCACTAGATGAAACTGTGCATGTACAGACGCGGTAATACTCATGGCGCATTCCGAGACTGTGACCCATTTCGTGCGCCATTGTGCCCGCTACTGCTGAGAACGCTGATGCTGTGTCTTGGTTGACACCTGCAGATCTTGTCAATGAGCACATACCGGACATCGGAGTAAATCCAGTTGAGAAGCCAGCAAAGTCTATCCCAGACATTAGTTGTGCATTGTCATGGGCAATACGACCCACAAGTTGAGCGGTTCTGTATGCGATAAAATTGTTGAACAGTGTACCTGGTATGGTTGACGTGACAAAGCGGTTTCCCATGTTGAAAATCTCCACAGCTACTAATGGTACTCGGATGTTCAGTTGTCTGTACAGCGAATCAACAAAATTAGCGACAGAACGAGCCCGATTTGCAGCAACGGTCAAGTCGCGATTTACTCTAGAGCTGTTAAAGAGTGTTGCATCCAGCACCAGTAGTAACTCCACATAGCGTGTGACCGATGAGGATGTCTGGCGTTTAGTGCGCTGGTGAATGTGCACCGTGTCCGTGTCCACATTCAAAATGCCCTCAGCAAGGTCTAGTGGTGATGCATGGTCTTGGCCTTTGTTAGTTGATACACCACAACTCCCCAAGTGAACGTTCTCTTTCGAGTCGCCCGCTTTGTAAACGGCATGAAGGTGGGTACCATTGGGAGTGGGTTCCTTGGTCAGCGGTTCAATGAAAAAGGTCCTCTCCATTGTCCTGTGACCAGCTGGTCCTACGCCAAACGATCCAGAAATTCCATTGCATGTATTGATTACAGCATGACTTGCTCCATGACTAAATCCATCCATCTCACCCTGGTAATAGCAGTTGACAGCATCATGATCCACAACAAGCTCTCCATTCTCTTTGAAGTAGCGTACTTGTGTGCCAACCGGTAACAGCATAGTATTTAACTCCAGCTGCAGGCGAAATGTCTGCCCAAAGGCCTGGATGTCAAAGTTGGTCGAAGGTGGGTGGCTATATGTATTGTCTCCTTGAGTCGCTCGACGTTGCCGAACTCCGTGCAGGTGGTGAGCCGTGTCAACATCTACCGTCTCATAGCGGTGTGCAAGTTGTCGAAGGCGCTCGTGGCCAGTAGCTAATTCTTCATCGAAATCAATTGAACGTGCCGAGGTCGCGGCCAGAAAGCAGAGGAGTGCGATGGCAACCACTCGCCAGAGACCCCGGACGGAAGTCATGCAAGGGTGTTTAGCGCTCCTAGGCGACATGGCCAGTGCCGAATCGCAGCAGCCTGAAGGTAAAACTACTGAACAATGGAGCAGGGGACCATACACATACATGTACGCGCACGCAGGGTCAAGCGCTCGCCGAATTAGGAGTTTCGGATACGCTCTCAGCTCCGACACTCGACCAGAGGAAGGGAAATAAATAATTATTATAATACCAATCTCTGTTCAGTTATGCTAGTTGACTCTGGCTAACTGGGACTGATGTTGACAACATCACATGAACTGGACTAGTCGACTGCACTGATGCGACTATTTCTGCAGCCGCACTGCTTGCGCTCCTCGGTAGTATACCGGTAGCCTTGCGGAATAACTAGTAATACTCGGATGGAAGTATGCTATAAAATTGACAAACTCAACTCTTCCTCCTACTTTCTCCGCGATGCTGACTAAATCACTACGATCAGCTAAGCGCAAATATAGTCGACTCAGCTTCCTTCCTTTTCTCTTTATTCTGGTGATGTTGAACTACAGGATGGCTTTTCCGAAATAAGCTGCTCGGTGCGCCGCCGTCGCACAAGTACTCACAAAAGCCTGACTAGAGTATGTGCCTTGCCAAGGAAGTCATTGTTGAGATCAGTTTTCTCCCCCGCTGAATCATGGGGAACACGACAGGTCACCGCGAGACAGCTCACAGCACGACAACTGCCCCTGCCTCTCCCCCACTCCTGCCATTCCATGTGTCTCATCGCTGCCTTGCTGCTTTGTGCCGTGTGTGGTTTTTGTAAAAACTAAAAAAACTTAAAAAAACTCACAGCCGACAGCTCACAGTGTCACAACTTACAGCCAAGACAACTCACAGCGTCACAACTTACAGCCTCACCAACTCAGAGTGTCGTCAACTTACAGCCTCGTCAACTCGCAGTGTCATCAACTCACAGCGAGACAAGTCACAGCCAAGACAACTCACAGCCACACCAACTCACAGCGCGGCAATTCACAGCCTTACCAGCTTAGCAGTGTGGTTACTTTTCATTGATTGGCTGCTTCTGATATCACCCTGATGCCTCTGCTGGAACATGCTCTGGCTGTAAAAGCTCACAGTTGAATAGAAAAAATCGTTTTGGTTATGGATATAAGTTTATTCTGGTCGTGTTTTCTCCCCCGCTGAATCATGGGGAACACGACAGGTCACCAGCTCACAGCGCAGAGACAGCTCACAGCGTGATAACTGCCCCTGCCTCACCCCCACTCCTGCCATTCCATACATGTACATGTACATGTATGTCTCATCGCTGCCTTGCTGCTTTGATTGAACCGTCAAAATGGTGTGTTTTTTTGTAAAAAAAATTAAAAAAACTCACAGCCGACAGCTCACATGTGTCGTCAACTCACAGCCAAGACAACTCACAGCGCCACAACTATTACTTACAGCCTCACCAACTCAGAGTGTCGTCAACTCACAGCCTCGTCAACTTGCCATACTCCGGTCGTTTGAGACAAGGACGAAGGATGAGTTTCTACGAGGAGTTGCTGCGAACTTGGCATTTCATATGTGATTCTTACAGGAATGTAGCATTGCAAAATTACTGAATTACTCTTTGCTACTGCCAGTTTCATTATTGATCCGGTATTCGAATACTTGTGTTCGAATAGTTGATCAAGACAATTCGGACGCCCCCTTGGTCGTCAATTATTTTTCATACATCTTCCGGCGCATGCTAGGCGCCTGCGTTACACAACAATGTTCGGCAGCCCGATAGAGGGTCACGAGGAGTGCAGTTTGGGGACCGGAAACATGCTGAACATGAACAATGCCGATAGTTAGCTAGGTCAGAGAAGGCAACAGCAACCTGCACGAGGGACTTTTCCTGTGCAACGCTAGCACATACATAATTATAGAAGAAGGTGATGTGGTCGGCCGCATAGCTCCACGTCCACGTAACACTACGGATGGCGGTGTAGCCAATTTACGGACATGCAACATTATGAACATTTCACAAACCTTATTTCTACACCGCCTGTGAGTATTACACACATACTTCGTAGTACCGGCAAATGGCTTCTTGCTTATTCTTACTTTCTCTGCTCGCACTGTCCAGTGTCAGATAAGCTGCTTTTCCGCGTTGGAAATCTATACAGCTGTCGTCCTAGAGGTTTTCTCCCATTTAACTTCACAGAAAATCTACTCAGCCACTACAAGCCTGTTGTTGTGTGAGAATTACTTACTAGTTACTGACTTCGTAGAAAGAACAGCAGAGTTCGTCAAGCACGGCGACTCCGAGCACGAACACGGTCAGGGAACAGTCAGTGAGCACAACTGCAACTGTGTGTATGGTTGTGAGACGTATCGTCGTATCCCCCTCACCCCCGGCCCCACCTTTAGTAGGCTTTACGGCTATAATTTAGGCGCTGCATCTGCCGCTAGGGTTTACCGTCCGAGTGTTAGCGGCCGTCGTGAGTTCCCTTCGGGAACGGACACGATAATTGACTTCTTTTTTTTTATCATGAAGTCACCAGGTCACACTCACAATTTCAAGTGCAAAGGCGATGACCATTGCGGTATCGGGGTTGGGATTGGGCTAAGTAATTAAAGGGGAAGTGAGGGCAAAAATTAAAATTTCACCAGTTGTAGTCTTCGGGGTGCTGAGTCGAATGGTCGTGGTCCGAGGAAGCTGAGATGCTCCCTTCCTACTTGAATCCCAATCGAACTCGCGCACTTCCACCCAAACTGGGTGACTGCGCCCTACTAGATGGGGATTTGTATGCAAAATGTCACTAAAGGCGCCATTTCGTTCTTATAAAAGTATGGATGACCGCGGTCATCCGTGCTTTTATAAGAACGAAATGGCGCTTTTAGTGACATTTTGCATACAATTACTTCAAGTCAATTCCAGTCACTGTTACCGCTCGTGCACGCTAAGCCGGTACCCGGGCCTCTACCACTGCCAGCGCAGCAGAGGTATCACCCACAGCCAAGGCAGACTGGCTAGAGAGAACCTGTAGAACTACAATCATTGTACTATACTACTAGCACTCGCACGCACGGTCACACCTCTACGAGTAGAATCTATAATCTACTCCTTCGCATTCGGACTGCTTGAGCTCTAGGCTAGAACATAGGTCCCGGACCTTCCCCCTCCTCGCCTGCGTGGATCAGTACACTGTAACTTACTTGATCTACTACACTGTAGATCTACTACCAAGAGAACACAACCCCCAGGGGGTTATATTATACTCTTGCCAGTCTTGGTAGTCTGTCCCCGGGGAAAATTGCAATTCCGCGGCCGCGTTTTTTTCCGCGTTTTTGGCGATTTTTTAAAAGACCGCATTTTCCGCGATTTTCCCGCGTTTTTTGAACTTTTTTGTTGCACTACACGTACACACAGTGCACTGTTCGGTCAGCAACGTCTCATCGTGGCTGCGTTTTACTCAAATATGACGAGTGCTTACGCCAGAGACTTGTGACTGATTGATTTCACTACATACTCACTGAAAATTGCCGCACATCAATATTATTCACCGCATATTTACCGCAAATTCACCGCAAATTATGCCATATTATGCCGCGTTTTTTGCGATTTTTTCCGCAATTTTCCCCGGGGACAGGGTTGTACTACAACAGTACGTGTAATTCACCCCAAAACTCGATGGCATAACTTGTGCACACATTTTGCCATGTATTATTACTATTATAGGAGGGAATCCGTGGCGGTTTGAGGTTTGGTGGGCGTGAAAAGTCCTGGAGGGAAAATGTGCCAAACTCCCTTAGTCAAGTGAGGGAGAAAAGAAAATATGACGGCAGGAAGGCAAGCAGGGCAGTGTGAAAGATAATGTGACTTGCCTGCAACCACATGCAGGTGCAAGATGCACAGATATACAGCATTCCCTCACTAGTGGGACCATTGTTATTAGGCTAGGGCCTGTTTTGGACTTCCCACTCTAAATAGAGAATACAAACAAACACTTTGGTAAACGCTTCAAATAAGTTAGAGGTGGGGAGATCCTTGCCCTTCATTTTTGGAGTTCGCACGAGTTGTGTTTTGTAGCGACGACAGGAGAGAAACACTGCAGAACTTACAGGTGCAGGACTCCTGTCACGGAAAAGCGATGTACATGTACGCGTGTCTAAAGTCTGTGCACATACCTACACGTACATGATTCTACAGACAGCCAACAAAATTTTAAAATAGCCGATGGGTATGCTTAACTTTAGATGGGCATCGGCGGCGGATGCAAGGGTGGTTAGCTTCTGGGACCGGAGGTTATGAACTTGTACATGCTACGTAATTCGGAGAAAACACGAAGGGACCACCCAGGGATGCCCCAAGCTCACATCTGACAAACAATACGTGCTCCTTCGATCACCTTTCTTCTCAAGTTCTCAACTCCCGGATAAACATAAAAATGTACTTGAGAAAGTCCTGACATTCTCTTTCTGTCACATCCAGCCAAATTTAGTCAACGTGTTGGCTTAGGAAGGCTGTGCTAGGCTGGATCGCCAGTTGCAGTGTTGGACAAAATATCATTTTGCTGCGTAGCAACGCGTCCTTTAGTCCGAATACAGTCATAACATTAGTGGCGACGTGGCGCGGCAAAGTCACTAATTCTTGCGCCCTTGTCAATCGTGACGGCTTTGAATATGTCTAACCCGGTGGCGTCGTCAGTAGAGTCCGCTGCATGCTGTGTCAACGTGTCACGGAGGAGCCGCGGGCGCACACATGTGCTACTGCAGCTCCTGGTCTGGGCTAGCTGGTTTGTCAGGTGTCATGGTCGGAGACCCAGCGATCAGCTGCTTCTTCTTACTCGACCGCGGGCCAATGCGAAGTCGATACATGTATAAAGAAGCAAGCGTTGCTTTTAGACACATTTCAATTTGAGTCGGACGCCTCCAAGGAAGAAGGAGTAATTCTCAGCAACATCTTGTTCTAGTGCCAGTGGAGCCAGACGACAGAATTAGTTGAAGTAACATCTTTCGAAGCATTCATCAAGTCAGGACTCAGGATGTCTCTCCTAGTGAAGGCCGGCGAGGCGATACGCAACAGTCCCCTCATGGCTCGCAAACCCAACTATGCTCTAGCACAGGAGGACGAAACCGATCCATTCTCGCAGGGTGTCACTTTCTACTGCGAGTTTATGAAGGCGGCTGATCTACCACCCGAGGCAGGACGAGGAGACAAGGAGAACACGGCCATTGTTGAGGACATGTACCGAAACTCGAAAGCACCCTTCAGAAAGTACAGCGTGGTCGTGAAGGACAAGAGCATTCGTCTGAAGGATGTCGACAGCAAGCAGGTCATCGACGAAGTTCCCATTCATTTGATCAGCTATTGCGGCTCGCACTTAACACTGGACCGAGCGTTTTTTCTGGTCTACCGACACAGCCAGACGAACAGAATGCGCGCGCAGCTTCTAAGAGCAGCGGACAAACCCAAAGCCCAAGCTATGGTGAAGACCGTCAGCAAGGCATTCAGCATCGCTTTCGGAGCATGGAAAGCCAAGCAAAACGCCGAGAAGCAAGCGAGTCTGGCAGCCAACAAGGATTCACCTCGTGCTAGACGAAAGCTAGCCGATCAAAAGACCCAACCATCGACGTTATCCACTGGTAACACGACGGGACCCACGCAGGAAGTGACGGAGAAAATGGGTGTGATCACGGTCACACAGCCCAAGGCGGAAGATGAGGAAAGCGACGATGAGTTCACAGCACTGGCAGCCTCTCGGTCTCAGCCTGACCTACTGGCCAATGACGTGGGTGCTGATCCGAAACAGTTCAACTGGCTAGAGACCAAAGCGCACGTAGATCCTGGGTCCACCTCCAACCTTCTCGACCTGTGAACACAATACAACTACTACAGCATATCATTGACCACTGGCACTGGAACAAGTTTTGGATCGATGCTGCTCTACATGAAGTGTACACTCCCCAGACTTACATATACATGTGTGTAATGCCCTTCAGACTGATGCAGCGTGTAATGCCATGCACGCCCATGGCGTTGGAATAGTTGTTATTTTACAATTTAATATTACATAATTATTATTGCTGTGCGTTGAGTACACATATTGAATATATCACCTTTGCTAGTTCACACATTTGGGTACAGTAACGTACTTCGAAGTATCCCGAAATCACAATCCCTTAACAACGCTTCCCTTTACACGGTTTACTAGTAGTCTTTCGCTACACTTGCTTGATCACACAGACGACATGGTGCTCACTTTAATAATTATTATTATCTCGTATGAAGTTGCTTACTGTGAGATTTGAGAGCGTTGCATCAATTTTATTTTAATTTGGATGGTATTCCCAATTGTTCAGATACACTCTCATTTTGTCTAAAACTGTTTGTATCATGAGACCACCAGTGACACGATCACTGTAGGTATTGCTATCGCTTGACACGTGCTTTGGCCTTTTGGGCATCGAGTGGCATTCTGCAAATCACTGCACTTGTAATGGGAATTTCTCATTGGAATGACCCCCTATGCCTATGGGAAATGTGACGGCAGAAGTCTCAACTGGAGATGTGCTGGATAGTGCATGTAATATCATACTAATATTACATCATGTGCATCATGTGGGCAGTGGGCCATGGCGCCATGGGTCGTTGTGTCTGGGTCTTGACTAGGACACCATAAACGCCGGATTTATGCATGGTACTCTTTCGTCGGCCTTGACCAGTTTGACGGAATTAATCAGGTCACGGTCTATCGTTTGTGACCTTGAATTGATGACTCAAGCACTAACACTAACAGACAGGGCGACAACTGATTCTATCTTGATTCTACGTGGTTCTATTCTTCCTACGGTAATTGCTCATTTCCATTGATACTCTGGTCTACCATTGAACGGTTATAATCAGTATAATCAATATTGATATCAGACCCGATTGAGCAACATGGGCTAGGCATAATAATTACATGCATGCACAAAGAAACTGCTCCAGACCATAGACTAGATACTGCCACCACCGACTGCAATGTTGGCACATAACCCCATTACTGGCTACCAAATTTCTTATCTACACATGCCTACAAATTGTCTACTGCAAACTCTGTATTTATACCGTTATGCACAGTTGTATCACGGTTCCTCTGTGCAGATAAAGTAGGCCAATCGTCAATACCGGTATGTACAAGTCCTGTATCATCAAATAATAAAATGATTACATGATGTAGATTCAAGCGGGGTAGTCTTCACTATGTAACTAATGTTACTTGCACTGAATATGGAATAGCAGGTGCTAGACGTTACGAAAAGTGCTGTCATTGCATCTATGAAGTATCATTGATCTGCGCTGTATGGGCGATAGACACTGTAAGTCATGGGCGGTATATACAGGTCAGTGCAGTCTGCAGACCTTGCACAGTAGATGGAGTGTCCCATAGTATACTCATAGATGTATCGTGATCACTGCCAGTGACAGGTATTACTGTATGAGCTAGCTGCGACTTGTAAGTTAGTTGTCACCTGAATACCCCGTGACCCCACAGGACTGCGAGGACTCTTGGCAGTCTTGCTATGATAGACCTAACTACTTGCACACTTCTTATGTCGGCTTACACTCCGCAGACAGAGAGAAATAGACACCGAACTGGTAGACCTACTCCGTAATCACGTAATCGCTGCGATGGCCAGCCCACGATCGAGCCTAGCCAGATCACTCCACGCATACCACGTCATAATGAATATGACAAACTGATGTCATGAAAACCCTGTGTACTTTATGCATCATGACGCCTCATCCACAGCCATACATGCACCGCTAGATAAGGAAAGATGAAAGCTCTGCAGAACGTCGTCTACATCATTCATAATCCACCCAGACTCCAAGCAGACCTCTGCATTGCATGAAGCACAAGACGGCATTCTCATATCTTTGACAGCTACATGTATATCGAACATTACAGTACCAGCAGTGATTGAAAACATACTCTTTACGACTAGGGAATCGTAGCTGCAATGGCTGCCGCCGCAATGTTATTCATTGTGGTGCTGTCATCGTTCAGTTACCTGGGCTGGGCGGCGCGAGCGCCAGGAGACGAGCGTCCAAACTTCGTCATCTACTTGCCAGACGGTAGGAGCAACCACTATTAAATCGACATGTACATTCCATCCATAAATCTATTTTTATCTGAAAATGTGGCAAACTAGACTAGAATGGAGGTGAATAGGAGGAGGTTTGCGGCAAATATTTATCACTCCTACTCAACGAGTACATAATACATGTACCGCTGTATCTGACTTTTCAACATAATGACGCGTGGTTTGATTCTCACTTGTACATGATCATAAACATAATGAGTACATGTATCCACCTAGTTACTTCCTCTAGTTACTACTACTACTGCTGCTACAGTAAAACCTGGTGTAAGCGACCTCTGTGTTTAGCGATCACCTGCTCTCTTAAAGGGGAAGTTAAGGCAAAAATCAAAATTTCACCAGTTGTAGTCTTCGGGGTGCTGAGTCGAATGGTCTTGGTCCGAGAAAGCTGAGACGCTCCCTTCCTACTTGAATCCCAATCGAACTCGCGCACTTCCACCGAAACTGGGTGACTGCGCCCTACGAGATGGGGATTTGTATGCAAAATGTCACTAAAAGCGCCATTTCGTTCTTATAAAAGCACGGATGACCGCGATTGGCCCATATGTTGTAGTCTTTTGGACACTGAGTCGACTGGTTTTGGTCCGAAAAGGCTGCGATGCAGCGTTCGCCCCTAATTCCCAATCGAACATGGTTGAACAAGCGGTCACGTGCTCCTGGGTGCCAAAATCACCTGGTCACCACGCCAGCAGGTGACAACTTTCACACCAAGGTTCAACTCGAGTGACAGGACTGCACCCAAAAAAGGTCAAAACAGGCTGTAAGTTGTACCCTGCAGGCACGGTGACCAGGTGACTGGTGTACGCAGGAGCACGTGACCGCTTGTTCAACCGTGTTCGATTGGGAATTAGGGGCGAACGCTGCATCGCAGCCTTTTCGGACCAAAACCAGTCGACTCAGTGTCCAAAAGACTACAACATATGGGCCAATCGCGGTCATCCGTGCTTTTATAAGAACGAAATGGCGCTTTTAGTGACATTTTGCATACAAATCCCCATCTCGTAGGGCGCAGTCACCCAGTTTCGGTGGAAGTGCGCGAGTTCGATTGGGATTCAAGTAGGAAGGGAGCGTCTCAGCTTTCTCGGACCAAGACCATTCGACTCAGCACCCCGAACACTACAACTGGTGAAATTTTAATTTTTGCCTTAACTTCCCCTTTAACGACCGTTTTTCCATGCACAGACAGTTCTACACAGACACTGTGGGACCTGCTTCTAAATGCCACCTGACTTTAACGACCGCTTTTGCTTGCACCGTGGGGTGGTCACTTAAACCAGGTTTTACTGTACATTGCATGATTACATGGATATGTATGTACCTACTTCAAGTAGGGGTATTACAGACAAACTCATTGATACTAGAGCGTAGGCTAGCAATGGCAAACTATCGTCTGCTTTCTGCATACATAATGGTTTTACAGAAACAAGAGCGGAGAGCATCGGCGTCTATGGTCATCCATTTGTTCGCACGCCAAATTTGGATGCACTGGCCGCTAACGGAACGGTGTTCAAGGAAGCCCATGTTCTGCACACACAGTGTGCACCGAGTCGTTGTGCTATGATCACTGGTCGGTATATGCACGTACTGGGACATCGTACACAGACACATCTGGTGAGAGAGTATGAACCAAACTTCTTCCGCTATCTGAAGGATGCTGGCTATTACGTGTCATGGCATGGCAAGAATGATATGTTCTCACAAGCAGCATTTCCACTCTCCGTCTCAAACTGGACGTCGAAAACAGGTGTGCCAATGGGGAAATCCCCCTTCAAATTCGGTGATGTTGGATACTACAGCTTTCTGTCTGGAAAATCAGACAAGTTTGGAAATGACAGCAGTTCTGGAGATTACCAGGATATCTTGAAGGCCCTGGACTTCATGAGAAACAACCCACCGGAGCCCTTTGTCGTGTTCCTGCCAACGAAAGGCTCTCACCCGCCGTACGGTGCACCCCTGGACTACTTTGACATGTAAGTTTCTCCAATAGACTGTCCAGTACTTGAGTAATATTACATGTTATATTTTGCGCCGGAAAGCAACCAATGGTGCTTCTTTCATGTGCACTGGACTTGTATGTGAAGACATTGTCTGATGGTTGAAACACTGATATATTGTGCAAGGGGGTTGTTTGACGTGCAAGCCAAATGTACTCCATTCCCATGACAATAGTCTGAAGTGGGTTTATGGTCTCCTTATCCAGGTCGATATTAGTAGAAACAACACCCCTTGGTCTCGGCTGTAGTGGTCCTCTGGCCCTGGGAGAGGCGGTCGCCATATCAGAGTGGTTGCCTTGACAGATTTTAATGTAACGATTGTTTGAAGATTCGAAAATGGAGCGAGAGCAGTGTGAATAATTCAAGTGTTACTTGAGACTGGGTTGTTCACACATCCACACATCCATACATCCACACATCCACACCCGTTGAAGATACAACTACAGGAAGTGCATGCCTGCCAACCTTTGCAAATCTGAGATCGGGACAATGACATGCCTAGGCACAGTATATAGTATACAAATCTTGCCAAGGCAAGCGACAAATGCACTTTTGGGTGCCTAGTACCACCCTACGATATCGGGACGGTGGTCCCGGCCAAACCGAGATGGTTGGTAGGTGTGGAAGTGTCCAACCACCTAGCACTAGCACCTTAGCATCCAACCACCTAACACCTTAGCATCCAACCATCTAGCACTAGCACTAACACCTTAGCATCCAACCAACTAGCACGCTAGCATTATTTTTGACACCTGTATGCCCTCTTTGCAGGTATTCTCCAGACCAGGTGGCCAAGCTAGCACCACTACGTCCTCCCAATCTACCCAATAAGCCAAAGTATCATGACGGCATTATCACGTTTCGCGACATGGAGACGCTGAATCAGACAGTCTTCAACAAAATCAACGCGGTATATTTAGGCCGTGTCAGCTACGTTGACTGGGTAAGAAGTAAGATGTGTAAGAAGGCTATCCCTTCTTAGTTTGAAAAGCATACTGGGCTTTTCCTCACCCTGCGAGCTTCCTTACTTCTCATACTAGCACCTCTCTACATACGTAACATGTAGCACAGACTCATTTAGAATAGGGGTGTACACCAGTCCTGGAGATGTCCTAGATAGGACATCACGGAACCCAGCATGCCCCAGCATACATACTATGCAGTTCCCATAGTAATCGTGACACGTGACTCAAAACTTTGTGTCGCGTCCGAGGAAGATGAACATGACTGTCGCACTCAAAACAAACGCAGCGAAGGCCTTTCGTCTCAAAAGTAATTAGTTGTCGTTCTCCTGGTGGCTTGCCTCAAGCGAGTCGAGATTCGTATCTTGCCTCTTGCCTTCACGAATTTTATTTTCCTCGTTGTGGAGTACGCCTGGACAAAGGAACTGGCAAGCGAATCGTTTTGGTCGCATTGAAAATTGCAAGTGCACAAGAGGATTGGCGAAGCAATTTGTGTTCGCACTTTCACCAGAGCAGTAGCTGCTGCTGCGATAAAGTTTTTACTTTCGCCATTGGTTTCAGGCAGCAGAAGGATCTGGCTGAAAGCGATGGCGATACGTCCATGACCACCAAGTCCTGGGTTGATATCCAAGAAAGACCGTCCAAGGTCCAGTTTTAGCCAAGAGCTGTCGTATCCAAGAAATCAAAAACGCCAACAGCAAGCTTCGGCCAAATAATATCTTCCAGGCAGTATTTTATGGGCCTAGCGCCTGCTGCCTCGTCTTCCTCCTCTGCATGGCCAGGTTTGGGGCGAAATGAACGCACGGGGCGTTAAGAAACCAGGGAGTAGTACTACAAAAGGCAAAACATTCAAAATTAGAACCAATCGTTTCCAAAGAAGCGCCGCGTGGCTACGAGAAACCCTACATGAAATCCCCAAATGAAAACGGCCATTCGGTCGGGTATTCGATGGCGAATCGAATATACACTACCTCAATCCCCGCCGATGTCTGATATTCTCCGCCTATTCCCTCAAACTTGACCAATTCGGAAAGAAATCCATCGCCATTACGATCGTGCATCCTCCACATACATTCAGAAATGCTCACGCAGCACTTCTTTTCATCGCGTGTGCGCGACCGACGCTTCCATGACAACTCTGGGACAGGTAACCAATCAGACTCATTCAGAGTGCGATGTCCTAGATAGGACATCTCCCCGACTGGTACACGGGTAGTCGGGTACCCGTGCTACCCGTGAGGACCTCGGGTAGTCGGGTACAGAATAGTACCCGAAAACCCGAAGTCGCAGACGACATCATGTGCAGTGCATGTGTACAAATTCATGTAATACCCTGCATGTCCACCCAGTGTGTAAGGGAAGGGGTGCAGTGTGGTATTACCATGGAAACATTACCCGATTGGGTACCCGTGCTACCCGTGGAAACCTACCCGAACCCGATACCCAAAGAAAACGCTACCCGACTCAGCACTAATTTAGAACCAGTGCTCAGAGAGTGGGTTATGGTCTTCAACAACAGTAAAGAAAAATTGCCATCAATGCGTCTTTTTATGATGTGTATTTTTAAGGCGGTGATTGGCTTTATCATAGAAGTGTTCAAGTCACAGGTAATTCGAAATGGAATTTTCTGTGGTCATGTTCCCTACCGTCTCCTTCCAGATACTCGGAGAACTAGTGAAAGGAATTGATGCACTGCCCGACATAGCCAAGAACACTGCCATCTTTGTGACGTCTGATCATGGAGACTTCAGTGGTGACTATCATCTTGTGGAGAAATGGCCAGGTGGAATGGATGACATCCTAACACGTGTGCCTCTCATCGGTCGGATTCCCGGCGGTGTGAAGGGACATGTGGTGGAGGCTCCAGTCAATGTCTTCGATCTCTTCTACACGCTAACTGTGATGGCTAAGGTAACCAAGGCATGCTTGTTCGGAATCAGATTAGTGTATTTCTAGGCATAAAGGGTGTGCATAGTGGTGCACCATCACGCCATCTGCTTTGCTAATTGTTACACACATACGTGCGATACACTCGACATAAAACGTGCTCTCGATCCGTCAGTGTGATCCACTTGATAGGACCAAGAATTTCTGTATCAAAGATTTGTCAAGAAAACATTTAGCAAGTCCTCTGGTTTCAGAACATTATACGGGCACGCCATTTTAAAAGGTACAAGGGCCGCAAAGACCAGGTTGGGTGAGCAGAAAGTGTTGGTGTTGAGAAGCAGTTACCTTTGTAAGATGTGTGCTAGTGTTTGTTTGGTTAGTGAAAGAAATGAACTGAAAGTTCTGAAAATGTAAGTACGCCAAAGCCGGTTTGTGAAATTAGTATAACAGTACTATGCAATAGTGGTACATGTGCATGTGCATGTGCATGTAAGAGATTGAGATAGGAACTATTACCCACAATCACCAACTGAGCAGCTATGCTCTTCATGTAAAGTTGTACTTTTGGCAGTGAGCCTGATGTTTCTGGTACTTTTCTGCTCTCATGCCTCCTGTTAAAGTTCCGCATGTGGCCTCATAGCTAGCGGGCTAGTCCTCAGCTGTAACTCTGACTTACTCAGTAGTAGTCATGCTTTGCTGTTGTGTATTATGAACAGTCAGACCTCGTTTATCCGGATCCCTCGCCATCCGGAAGAAAATAGCTGGTTATCGATTAACAGCATATGCCATGCATACATACAGTATGTGTGTTCAATTATCCAGTTCCCCCGCCTATCCTGATATTTTTGTGGAAAACGGATGTGTGCGGTTATGCGAGGTCTGACTGAACATGTAATATGCAGAATAGCATGTTGTATGGCCATCCTGCTACTGAGTATCTGAGTACATCTACATATATGGCAGAGTTTTCATTGCTCCAAATTGTATTTCCATGTAGGTGAACGTATCTCACATCCACTTTGCTAAAAGTCTTCTACCCGAGTTGATGGGTGATGCTGGTGATATGAATCGCACAGTCTACAGTGAAGGTGGATATCAATACTTCAGAGAATTTGAAGCAAATGATCCGGAACAACGGCATGCATATGCCAACAAGGACAACTTGTAAGTCTCAAGGTGTTTTCGTGATTCGCATAGCCTAGCTATTTACCGCGCGATGTCATAGCAACAATACAGCCATCGTAGCCTACACACCGCACAACTATGCACATACATTATACACACCGCACAACTATGCACATACATTATACACACCGCACAACTATGCACGTACATTGAGTTCCGAAAGTACAGGGTGTAGTATTCACGTCAACAGCCAGCATGCAGGATGCTCAGTACACTTCAAACTTACCTCTACCAATGGAGTGCACATGTAGCCATTCGTTCAGCTTTTTCAATTGCCAGCTGAAATGAAAACAAATATAAAGTCTGATGTAAACATGAATTTGACAGCGGCGTTTGCGAGTCCATGGAATCATGCAAGAGTAAAGTCTTTGAACGCTGCATTGCAATGATATTACAAAGACTAGTCCTTTACCCAACACTGAATGCTTGGTGTGACTCACACTGTCACAGGTATTACCCACGCGGTCAAGAAGAGATCAAGGAAGGCTGTCCCAGGGCCATCATGGCCAAGACAGCCACTCACAAACTGGTCTATAGACCTGAAGGCGTCAGTGAACTGTACGACTTGGCAACGGACAAACGAGAGCTCAACAATGTCTACAGTGATCCGAATTATCAAACTGTGAGAGGATAGAATAGTTTAAGTTGGCGTGGTTACGGTGCCCAGAAACCAAACACCGGAAGGAAACCTTATTGATCATAACTCTCCTCATTCTCTTTCTAGGGACTTCGTACACTACTCGTTTCTTCAGTGAATCAATTTTGACTGGTACAGAATCAACCAGATGAGAAGACCTGCAACTTTTTTAGCCAGTCAATCCCTGTTGAAAGACTAAACACTCATGTTTGTGGCATTTTGCTGCAGCTGCATTTGCTGTATTTGGTTTTCCTATTACGCGTAAACTTGTCTAACACAGCCGGCATTAGTACATGTATATCCTTCCACGTCAATCCACCCAACTTCATTTGATTGGGTAGGCTGAATAATGATAAATGCAAGAGGAACACTGTGACAAGCAAATAAGATCCCCTGAGCAGTCATATTTACCTGGAAAGTGCATACTTCGAAGTAGTTCTTTGCAGCACCGAGGGACAACATGTCCACATTGCTCCATCATACTCAGTCAAAGAATTACATTATCATTGGCATGTACGAAGTCTGTAATAAACGGAGCAGTGGCAAACAAAAATATCATCTCAATCGTATATTCCTGAGCTCCCGATACCCTTTTATCAGTAGGATTTGACCTGGGATTACCCCGGCGGCACTTACTTACTGTAAGATCAGTACTGTTCACGAACATTTAGTTCTCACAATTTAACGAATTTAAAAAATTGTTAACATTTGAAGTCGTTACGGAAATCATCAGAATTTCACCTCGCTAACCCACAAAATCCGGAGATCGTTAACTTTAATTGACGTTAAAGTATCTGTTGCATTTTTCATTGTGTTGGCTTCCTGTAGGTACGTAAGGCAATGCTGACTGATCTCCTTAAGTTCATGGTTCGAACTGCCGATGTCACACCTGTGCTGGAAGACCCCAGAGGACTACCAAAACCACCTCATGGCAAAAGATAGACTTGCCATTCAACTGCTACACCGTGATATGTGTGCCTGATTCTAGTGTTAAAGTTTCTGTTTTAAATATATTCCCATTTTCTAGTTCTTGTTTTACGGATACATGACTTGCTAGATAAACAACCATTTGCTTTAAGAGGACTGTGTAGCACGTAAATGGAAGAAAACAACTGTTTCTGCAGAATTTCAACTTGAATATGTCATTGCAGAATATTCTTGAAAAATAAACAAGAATTAGATGTAGGGTAATTTTTGTGCACTATACGAACTCAGAAGTAGCCACTTGGGCACTAATAGTAAACAGAGTTGGTAGCTCCTGGGTTGAGCTCACGCTTCCTGTTGTATCAAGTGACTTGACACTTACTTAAAAGTAACTGACTCACGACTGCCATCCTGACCAGACGAGGAGCATGTTGAACGTTCCACATGGCAAACCTGCAAGGAAGCACCACTCCCTGCTCAATACACAGTGTTCCAGCGAATTCATCCCTCACAGCCCTTGTAAGTTTGTATCCCTAGCTTGATATTTGGGCTGCTGCAGCCACTATACATTTAGTGGCTCCTGGAGCATATATTTCATCAGCCTACTCAAGCTCAACTGAAGAGGGGTGAATTCCCCCAAACCGTGTGTATTGAGCAGGGGGTGGTGCTTTCTTGCACGTTTGCTGAGTGGAAGATTCGACATGCAGCATTTTACGTATTTAGATAGCATACTGGTATCATCATGACTGATTAGTGATTATCATGTTGATTTACATCTCTTCGATATTTGCAGTGGTAACCCATAGAACTTGACTTCCACCCCATGTGCCTCGCGTGAGAAAATTATTATTTGAAGGGCAGGTGCCCAAAGAGGCTGTTATATACACCTGCTACTGAAGGCATAATTGAAGGCATAATTGACGGCATAATCAGGTCCTTTTTGAGAAGGAGCATAAAATGGCATACAAAAAACAAGAGCAGATGCCCAATGAGGCTGTTATATACACACCTGCTATTGAAGGACCATACATAGCGCTTCTTGTCGATTTGGAATTATATTTTAGCAGCCACTGTAGGTCGTCTCCCAAAAGTTCAGCATTTGCTTGTGAATTTGGTATTCCTCTTGCATATTACTGTCTTGTACTTCCACAAAGCTCCCAGTCCACATCCTGACAATGGTCTGAGTCCTTTTTTCATGACGATTATCTGTTCTTTTCGTCTTCAATTTGGTGAAGCATATAAAAGCAGAATTGGCTGTTTTCCCGAGCATCCTGCGAGCATAACCCGTGCACAACCTGGTCATTTTCCGAGCAAAATCCACTTACCCCCAATCATCACGCAAAAGACGCTGCTTACCTTGAGTGTCGGCAAGCATGAAGCTCCACCAATGTGACGCTGAACATCCACTGTGACGGTGACCGTGTACTCTGGGCCTGACGACGAATCCATTTGATTACGTTGGAATTATCAGCGAAATGACCGTTGAAATCTCATACTGCATAAACCGGTTGGTACTGTCTGTAGAGCCCCGGACTGGTCTTGGGGGCCAGATGCCATACGGTTAAAGTAAGTAGTATGGCGTGGCCGTAGGCACAACAGTAAAGATGTATGAAACGTCGATGCGATGAGCCGATGTCGTGCGCGACTGCCTCGACTACAAAATGTAGACTGGTGCTTTCTTGACTTGTGACGTCGCGCTTTCAATGGTTTTCAATCGTGACAATCATTTTTATGACTCTATCATGTCGAGCCAATTTTTTGTAGTGCTATTGTAGGTCAGTGTGCTGCTGGTGGCGGTTTGTGATTACATTGCGGACTCGAGAACAGTTAGTTACTGTATTACATTACAATATGAAGTGCAACGAGTCAGAGGGTGGCACCGGCACCTAAGTCCTTGTAGGTCTACCTCACAGCTCAGCCCACGCGGCTCGTACTAGTTACAAGTTATAAGTACGTTGTGATAATAGTGTCTTGCAGTAAAGAAAAAAAGGTTGCATTCACCCCAAATCAAAGATATCACAAACACAACGATGGATGAGGCACAACTAGAAAAGGAGATAGCCGCTCTTGCTGTTTTCCGAGATCGATTTTCCCGTTTGGGATCTGCAGATAGCCGTGAAGCAGGAAAAGATTTCAAACTGGAGAAGGACGACATTGTCATTTCCACTCCTCCCAAGTCCGGCACGACGTGGATGCAGCAAATTTCCCATCAACTCAGGAGCGGTGGTGACATGGAGTTTGAAGAGATCAGCGAAGTAGTGCCATTTTTAGAAGGTTCCATGGAAACAGAAGTCAGCCTGGATCGAGACCAGCGCTTCAAACCACGGCTGTTCAAGACGCATTTTTGGGAACCGCTCACACCGAAGGGGGGACGTTACATAATTGTCATTCGCCATCCATACGATACTGCTGTGTCTAGCTTCAAATTCATGGAAGGTTGGATGTTTGAGCCCGGCGAGATCTCACTTGAAACGTACGTAGCTGAGCACTTCATAACACGACCCAAACCCGGCGGAATACTCCACCACTTGGCATCGTGGTGGCCACGGCATGCCGATCCCGACGTGCTGTGGGTGTTCTACGAGGATATGAAAGAAGACCTGCCAGCGCAAGTGGATCGTATAGCTGCTTTCATGGGCATCAGCGACACGGCCACGATCGCACAGGCTGTGCACAAATCAACGTTTGCATTCATGAAGGAACACGAATCGCAGTACAATGAACTGCCACTGAAGCGCAATCGTAACGTGGCAATCGGATTGAAGCCCGACGCAGGCATGAACCAGGGAAAGGTTCGTGTAGGTGGGGGACAACAGCACTTGCTCAGTGACCGTTCCAAGGCACTCATCGACGAAGCATGGCGAACAATCTGCCAGCCGGTTACCGGCGCTGCAAGTTTCGCTGAATTGAGATTGGCATGGAAAGCGGAGCAATCTGAAAAATAGCTGTATGACATTTAACTGATGAATGAATTACTTGATGATGAAGCGCAATCATACACTTTATGCTGAAATGTTGGTAGTATTACTTCAAAAAGAAGTAGATCACAAGAACTATTTTAAAATATGTCGACCAGAGCAAATGGCATCATCTAACATTGTGTAAGCTACTCATTGCCACTGCTGCATACTATGACACCCATGCAATTATGAATCTTGGCTTGCGGACTATCAGCAAAGTTGGTATCACAAACTCGTGCAGTTCTGAATCTGTGTACGTCCTGGATTTTACAAGTACCCATTAGTAAAGGTACACGTCTCCAGGGCTGCTATGCGTCCAACAGTAGTACCTGTTGTATGCTGTTATAAAGTATCAAAGGATGCATATCTGATAGTAGTAAATGTACCACAGCATCATGCCAGAATGACATGGGCGTTGCTGGGCTAGAGATACCCTGAACCGCTTCCTTTTATCCTTTTCTTCTTGTTCGTTTCATCTTTTCATTGTCTTGGCATTTTCTGCGTTATTTGATACCCAAGCTAGAGGGATATACCAGGCATTTGCAGTATGTTGTCCCAAGAGCTTGAATTCAAACAAATGCAATCGACTCCATGATCTTTCGAGAATGTACTTCGAAGCGGGGCAAAATTTGAAATTACTGCATGGAATTTTTTTGTAGATTTCACGGGATCTTCAAACATGATTAGGCCGGTCGCCATGCATAGCGTCGTAGCCTCACTCAGTTGCTGGCTTATGACAAGGAGAAAGGAGATAAAATAGTGGATGACCCCATGCTATTATCTTGGTCACATCCTCAAAGCCCAGTACAGTGGCATAATGGAGTGAGTGGTTGACCAGTGCAGTGCCATCGTCGTCATTGACAGCTCATGTACATGGTGGGCATGATCCGCTCCACCTACAGTGAGTCTGTGTCTGGTCACTTGACAACATAACTAAGCACTAAAGCAGCCTCCAACTCAATAATCCAGGACGCCTTTCCGTATGTAGATCTACATGACTGTACTGTGTACATGTATTCCAGCGAATGAATCACTTCTATCACTAACACTAGTAACACTAACAGTCCAGACTTACTGCATGTACATGTATACTACATGTACAGTACAGACTTCTGACTTCTGACTTCACTTTCAGTCAGTAAGTAATACAGTTTCAAACCACTGACCTTCAACTATTCCATGATAATACTATTATTTTCACACCAGCCCGAATGGCAAAGCGGCCAGCAAATATTCGGACCGATTGATTTGGCTTTCATGATACGAGACGGCCTCCACTAGCAATGGCATTCATGACCTGTCCGACAATAGTATGGCACCTCTTGATAGCCGTGATTTGCAGCGCTGGTGTCGGGCAAGCGGCAAGACAAGCCGGGGACGATAGGCCGAACTTCATCATCTATGTTCCGGATGGTAAGATCATCAAGAGTAGCTGCAGCAATATACTACCGTTTATTTGGTACTCCTGCGGTCCTGCAATACTGTTTGATCTCGTAGCAATACGGAGGCCTGATAGGTTTCCACTGAGTAAAATAGTGGTGGGCTCGTCGCCAGTAGTGTACTTGTGATTCCATCCCACGATCATTCGGAGGAAAAGAATTTTCAGACGGTAGTCTACATGTGCATGGAGGGATTCAACGGTGAACGTGATGTTTGACATCTAAGACACCAGTATTCAGGTAGCTTGGTATCTAGCTTGCTGTCCGCGTGGAGATGTCTGCTACTGGAATGGGAGCCGATCCCCAAACCCCCAAAGGGAGCTTATGACCAGACATGAGGGCTGCGAAACGGAGCTGATATCATTTTCAGGTCTTGACCACATTGTTGATTCCAGAGTTCTGCTCAAATTTACCCATGTAAACTGTCTGATCTGCTGAAGTGGACGTGTATGGCTTGAATTGGCTCCATTCAGACCATGATATGTTTGTGTTAGTTTCTTGGTTGCAGAATCATTGATCTAAAACACCTTATATAAGGAATGAAGATAAGTACCAAGTGCTGTATGGGAGGATGCATTGATCTAACACACTGAACTTTTCTCTCTGCTTCTGTGCCTCTGTTTCATGTGTAGAAACTGTACAGTCACCTACCTGTGCCTATATATTTGGCATAGTGCATCCATATGTAATTTGACCCCGCTTCCTATTTCACACCTTCGCGTACGCACATGCACCTCGCATGCACCAGCGGTAACTGTTGCGTGCCTGTGCTGTTTACATGCCTACTCTGTTCCTGGTGTTCGGGACTTCTCCTTCGGTCTTCATCAAGTATAGTTCGTAATTCCTACCGGAGTGTGATGGTTGTGTTGGACTGAGAGAGTGTGCATGGGCATTTACCCTTAGTGCTGTTGCAGTAACGCAACACTTGGTGTCAGAACTGGTACCCCGAACCCTCGCCACCGGACCCGCTCGCCATGGCGAAATTTCAGCCCCCTGAAAGCTTCGACTTTTCCGCACCTGAGAATTGGCCCCGCTGGAAAAGCCGATTCACACGCTTCCAGATTGCTACCAAACTCTCTTCCGAATCCGCAGATGTCCAAATCTCCACTCTCATCTACTCTCTGGGCCCAACTGCGGATGATATCTTCCAGCGTGAGTTGTCCTTCGCCCAAGATTCCGACAAGGACGACTTCGATAAAGTGGTCGATGCTTTCGACAAGTACTTTGCACCTGCGGACAATGTTATCCACGAACGGACGCAGTTCGCTCGTCTCCGCCAGCTCCCCGGTGAGTCCGTAGCCACGTTCTCAAGCCGACTCCACTCTGTCGCGGCGAGATGCCGTTTCGACAAGCCGTCAGAACGGATCCGCGATCACCTCGTCGCCCACATGGCTGATTCTGAAGTGAGTAAGGCGATGCAGAAAAAGGACATAGGCTCCCTCACCCTCGCCGATGTTCTCAAGGAGGCCAAGGCAGCTGAGACCCTCGAAATCCAGCTAGCCACTCAGCGCTCCGCAGCCACTCAGCCCTCCGTCGCTGCCGCTGTCGCTCGCGGACATCACAAACAATCTCGTGGAACTGGCAGACCGAAGAATGCTCCGGCTGCATCTCGCCAGTCCGCGCCTAGCTACTCGACACGTGGCCCTCCAGCAACCTCTGCTCCGCGCGCTCCCTGCTCCGGCTGTGGCTCATCCAGTGGTCACTCGCGCCGCGAGTGTCCTGCTTGGTCCGTCGAGTGCCGTAAGTGCCAGCGTCGTGGTCACTTTGCCAAAGTGTGTCGTAGCTCTCGTCAAGTGGGCGCGAGTGAGATGTCTGACCATCCGGTGAGTGATTCTGCTAGTGCTAGTGCTAGTGCTAGTTGTTTTATGGGTAGTGCTTCATCCGAGTCACAGGAACCCAGTATCTGTGTTTTGAGTTCAGTATCCATTCCTGACTCAACTGAACCCTGGCTTGTTGAGCTCCCTATCAATGGCCAGTCAGTGTTGTTCAAGCTGGACTCTGGCGCAGACTGCACACTCCTGTCACTGCCTTCCTACAATAGCCTCAGTCCTCAACCTAAGCTCACCCCGATCTCCACTAAGGTCACTGGACCTGACGGCCAACCTCTACCCATACACGGCGCATTTGTTGCTGCCAGCTCCTGGAAGGACCGCAACGTCACTTTCCGTGTTATTGTTGTTAATGGCCCCAGCAACCTCCTGAGCCGCAGTGTGTGCCAGGACCTGAACCTCCTGTCTTGCGATGTGTCCGAGGCATCCGCAAGCCCTCCGTCCGCTCCTCCTGTCATTGGTCGCATGTCCGGTCCTGCAGCTACCATCGAGCTGCAAGACAATGCCCAACCATATCACTGCCAGACCGCACGACGAGTTCCCATCCACCTGCAAGCCAAGGTCAAGACCGAACTTGACCGGATGGTCCAGATGGGAGTCATCTCTCCTGTCACCGATCCGACCGACTGGTGTGCGCCCATGGTGCCCGTGCTCAAGAAGAATGGCTCCATCCGCATCTGCGTGGATCTCAAACGCCTGAACCAGTCCGTGAAGCGTTCACACTTCACTCTGCCGACCATCGAAGACACCCTGGGCAAGCTGTCCGGAGCCAAGGTCTTCTCGTCGCTTGACACGGCGTCTGGGTTCTGGCAAGTTCCACTTGCTGACGACAGTGCGTCACTCACTACGTTCATGACACCGTTTGGCCGGTTTCACTTCAACCGTCTACCCTTTGGTATCACCAGTGCGCCAGAGGTTTTCCAGCGTCGCCTACTGGAAATCGTTGGGCACATTCCCAACGTGGTCGTCTTCATGGATGACATCCTCGTGTTCGGTGCCACTCTAGCTGAGCACGATGCTGCCCTCACTGCTGTCCACGCAGCTCTCGCTTCTGCAGGCGTACTCCTCAACCCCGCCAAGAGTCGCCTCCGTATGAAGTCCCTGACGTTCCTGGGTCACCTCATCGGTGCTGACGGTGTCCGCCCAGACCCAGCCAAGGTGTCTGCCATCCAAGCTCTGAAGTCACCGACCAATGTGCCCGAGTTACGCCGTGCTATGGGTATGTTCACGTTTCTGTCGAAGTTTGTGCCAGATATGGCCAATGTCAGTGCCCCGCTCCGTGCTCTACTGAAGGCCGACACCGCCTGGCAGTGGGACACCCAGCAAGAAACTGCCTTCTGTCGCCTCAAGGAACTCGCTACTACTGCTCCCTGCTTGGCACTGTTCTCGCCCGACCAGCCCGTCCGTATTAGTGCTGATGCCAGTAGCTACGGACTGGGTGCTGTCCTCCTGCAGCCTGATGGCTCCCGCTGGCGCCCTGTTGCCTATGCGTCCCGCTCTCTATCACCTACTAAGCAGCGCTATGCCCAGATTGAGAAAGAGTGTCTCGCCATCGTTTGGGCATGCGAGCATTTCCACCACTACATCTACGGCGGTCCTCAGTTCACAGTCGAGACTGACCACAAGCCTCTCGTGCCTCTCATCAACTCCGCTGATCTCGCCCGCTCTCCTCTGCGATGCCAGAGACTCCTGATGCGGCTGATGAGGTACAACCCAACCGCTATCCACGTGCCTGGCAAATCACTCGTCATTGCCGACACCCTATCCCGTGCTCCGCAAGAGTCCTCGCCTACTAGTGATCTTGCTGATGAAGTACAGCTGCATGTGTCTGCCGTCACATCGCATTGCTCCACCGACCCGCTCTTGGTCGACGTTCGGAACGCGACCAACGCTGATGCCGACATGTGTCGCCTCCGTGCCCTCATCCTCAACGGGTGGCCAGCCAAGCCCACCTCGGTCCCCGCTAGCCTCCGCCCGTACTTCGCTGTTCGTGATGAGCTCTCAACTGCTGATGGTCTCATATTCCGTGGCCAACGTGTCATCATCCCTGCATCCCAGCGCAACGCCGCCCTTGCCAGTGCTCACGAGGGTCACCAAGGCGTTGGTAAGTGTCGTGCTCGTGCGCGCGCTGTGATGTGGTGGCCTGGTATGTCTACGGACATTGAGTCGTATGTGATGTCTTGTGCCACCTGTGCCAAGGCCCGTCCTAACCCAGCCGAGCCGCTCATCTCGTCCGAGTTCCCATCTCTTCCATGGTCAAAGATCGCGTGTGATCTGTGCGCAGCCAAAGGATCCACTTACCTAGTTGTTGTCGACTATTTCTCGCGCTACATCGAAGTCAAACAACTTACCACTACTACGTCTGCCGCTGTGATTGCCTCTCTCCACTCCGTGTTTTCTACCCATGGTATTCCACACACGCTAGTGTCTGACAACGGTCCACAATTTGCTAGTGCCAGCTTCCGTGCATTTGCTGCCGAGCTTGGGTTTGCCCATCGCACGTCAAGTCCTCGCTTCGCCCAAAGCAACGGCGCTGCAGAACGTGCCGTTCAGACAGCCAAGCAGCTCATCCTCAAGAATGATGACTTGCCTTCCGCTCTCTTGGCCTACCAGTCTACGCCATTGGCCAACGGTTATTCACCGTCACAGCTGTTGTTCGGCCGCCAAATCCGCTCCCGGCTACCAGGACCCCTCCCTGCTCCAGCCTGGCCCGATTTGACCGCCCTTGCCGACAAAGAAACATCTTCCAGGTCTCGGCAGGCTGATCGCTACAATCAACGCCACCGTGCTCGACTGCTGCCTGTTCTCGCCCCTGGTGCTCCTGTGTATGTCCCCGATATGGACAAAACAGGACACGTCCAGAACCGCCTGTCCGAACGCTCTTACACGATCGACCTCACTCCTGGGTCATCTGTCCGCCGAAATCGTCGCCACGTGCGTGCGTTGCCATCCACGCCAGCCAAACGCCCTGATCCCTCCCGCTCACCCTCCTCCATTGAGCCCATGTATGAGGTTGAGTATGGTGTTCCGGCTCCTGTGCATGTTGCCCTGCAACTACCAGCTAACTCTACTCTGCCACCTCTTCTGCCTGTGCCGCAGTCTCCTAGAGTTGCTAAGCCTCTGCCACCCGGTCGCCGACCACCATCCAGCCGTGTTCGCCATGCGCCGCAACGCTATGCTGCCAATACCTGAACACAGTAACACTGTTTACTCCATGTGTTCCAGTTGAACTATGACTGTGTTCTTTTCATGTTTTTTTTCTCTCTATCATTCTGAGTAATGCTCACGTTGGTACCCGCTCCAGAACTGCTATTGTTCCTTTTCCTCTCTCCTTTGCTCCACACTTTCTCGTGTCCCTCCGTTCGCATTTTTTTCGGGGGGAGATGTACAGTCACCTACCTGTGCCTATATATTTGGCATAGTGCATCCATATGTAATTTGACCCCGCTTCCTATTTCACACCTTCGCGTACGCACATGCACCTCGCATGCACCAGCGGTAACTGTTGCGTGCCTGTGCTGTTTACATGCCTACTCTGTTCCTGGTGTTCGGGACTTCTCCTTCGGTCTTCATCAAGTATAGTTCGTAATTCCTACCGGAGTGTGATGGTTGTGTTGGACTGAGAGAGTGTGCATGGGCATTTACCCTTAGTGCTGTTGCAGTAACGCAACAGAAACAAGAGCGGAGAGTATTGGAGCCTATGGCCATCCATTTGTCCGCACGCCAAATTTGGATGCACTGGCCGCTAATGGAACGGTGTTCAAGGAAGCTCATGTCCTGCACACACAGTGTGCACCGAGTCGTTGTGCTATGATCACTGGTCGGTATATGCACGTACTGGGACATCGCACACAGACACACCTGGTGCAGGATTACGAGGAAAACTTCTTCCGCTATCTGAAAGACGCCGGCTACCATGTCGAGTGGCACGGCAAAAACGATATGTTTTCACAAGCTGCGTTTCCTCTCTCAGTCACCAACTGGACGACCGACACGGGCGTCCCCGAGGGACCAAATCCGTATCCCTTCGGCGAGCCTGGTTACTATGGATACCAGGGTAGCAGATCACCCAAATATGGAAATGACTCGAGTGCCAGCGGTGACTACAGGGGTATTCTACACAGTGTGCAGTTCATGCAGAACAACCCGCCAGAGCCGTTCGTACTGTTCATTCCAGGCATTGGATCTCACCCACCATACGGTGCACCGTATGATTACTATGATATGTAAGTATTCAAGTAAAGTTGGGGTCCTGGTGGTGACAATCAATTTTTTTCTCCAGACTTTTCCTGTTTGCATCTTTCCCTCAAAACAGTGAATATCAAGTAAAGTTACAATGGTATGTAGGTAAAGTTACTATGACATGTAAGTGAAATCATGACTTTGGCGTACACGGGTCACAATGTGCATTATGTCATAATGCATCGAAATGTTCAGATATCAGTGTGCATTGAAGTAGTGTGTCACTTCGATGATGCTAAGCGCCGCTGCGCCGCATATCACGATCTAGAGCTTTTGTCCAGTCATAAGCATAAGCTGCAAGGCCTTTGGAGGACTGTAGAGGGAGGGGAGGCCTGCAACGCAATCAATGTTAATCTGCCTCACTGCGCGCGTGTTCGTGGGAGCCGGGGCATGTGCTGAGTGGAGAAATTCAATGTACATTTAGTCCTCTCCCGTTATTTGAATTACAATGGTATGTCTTGCCTGCGCGCTCTTCACATTCCATAATAATGGCATACTGACCTGTACGTTTTATTTACGATTTACACAGGTATACACCGGAGCAAGTATCAAAACTGGCACCACTCCGCCCTCCTAACATAGCAAACAAGCCAAAGTACCACAACAGCTACATCACATATCACGACCTGCAATCGTTCAACCAGACCTTTTTCGACAGGACCAATGCCATCTACCTGGGTCGGGTCAGCTATGTGGACTGGGTAAGGATATGGCTCAATGTTGTACATAAAGCAGCAGGGGCCTCTGACCCGCTACAGCCGATACAGTCTGTATTGTCTTTCCCCAGGTACTCCCGTGATTCAATAATACGCAGTGATTTGTGTCGAAATTTTGGGGAGGCCCCAGAGGAATACTTTGAAGCACTTCAGATGGATGAAAGTACATGCACCGCCATGAAATACAGTGCTGGCAACTGAAATCCGACCCCCTGGGGGTCTTTCAGTTGCCAGCACTGTAGCTTCCGATGATCCTGTGTAGGATAATTCAGATCTCAGAGTACTATCAGTTGTGTGCCTATTTAGCAGTATCTGAACACCATGTCCTGCCTAGCTTAACTGGTGGAGTGTCACTTTAAATCTAGACCCTTGTCCACCAATGCAGGGTATAATCAGACTGGGTGGTGACCTGACATGAGAAGAATCCTGAGCTGACTTTGTTTTTGAACTCAAATGATGTTGCCGGCGGTAACATAGATGTGACAACTTTACTTTCCATACTATTATATACCCAATTAAGTTATATTTTTGGTTTGAGTCATGAAATGAAATGTTGTCAACAAAATATTGATGAAGCACTGAAGAAATTTGCTCTCATAGCATTTGGAGATAGAGCATAAAAGGCAATTGCATGTTGCACATGATCGGTATGATTGTTCAGGTCAAGTTCTGTACAAATGTAATGACTAGCAATGTCTCCAAACACGTTATTATCTACATTGCTGTCCTGTACACTGAGCCAACCCTAGTGATGCTGCTCGGTGGAGAAATAATTACTTACTTCTTGAAGAACAAGGTCAGTGAATGTGACAGATTGAACATTGCTGAGTTCTAGAGTTAAGTCTGACTGTCTGACACCTCTCCTATGATCATTGCCTGCAGATGTTTGGCGAGCTGGTAAAGGGAATTGATGCACTGCCCGACATAGCCAAGAACACTGCCATCTTTGTGACATCTGATCATGGAGACTTCAGTGGTGACTATCATCTTGTGGAGAAATGGCCAGGTGGAATGGATGACATCCTAACACGTGTGCCTCTCATCGGTCGGATTCCCGGTGGTGTGAAAGGTCATGTGGTGGAGGCTCCAGTCAATGTCTTCGATCTCTTCTACACGCTAACTGTGATGGCTCAGGCAAGTTGATTGAATGCATATGGAGCATGTGTATCAATGGCGAGTACCATGGCATGTGGGTGAGGCCCGTTTGGTCCGAGCACAACGCTGCACAATAAAACCAGGCATTGTGAAGCTGCTGCACCCATCACTGTGTAGCCCTACACCTCCAAACATGCGCTCACTCTCGACTGATTCCGGGCACGAACTTGATCATGAGATCGGACTATATTGAACATGCCTGCAATTGGACAGGTCTTCTTCAAAGAGATTTCGTCCAATGTTGTATCGTGTTCTATGCAGCAGCAGCTGCATACTTAGTGTGGTCTTTGTTTGTCTCTGAATGTCCAGGTGAACGTATCTCACATTCACTTTGCTAGAAGTCTTCTCCCTGAGTTGATGGGTGATGCTGGTGATATGAATCGCACGGTCTACAGCGAAGGTGGATATCAATACTTCAGAGAATTTGAACCCAACGATCCGGAACAAGCAAAAAGCTATGCCGACCCGAAGAGAAAGTAAGGAAGACCTTGAAGTTTGCACGATGAGCATCACACAGAAGCCAGCATGACAAATTTCTTTATAGTTGTGCAAGCATGGAAAAACTAAAAATGTTGCACCTTTGGCGATGATAAGTGAAGAAGTTGGCTTCTCCAAAAATAGGAGCTTATGCTTCCTGCAGACTGACAGTCAGTCTTCAAACATCCAAGAGGAACAATAATCACAGCAAATAGGATATGTGTGTGACATCATTCTATCAAGTTCTATGTGAATACAGAGCACAGCTGGTGTTATACTTATGTCAAATATTCGGTCTCAAACTTATAATATACTGCTGCTTCACCAGGACACCCTGGTCCCGAGAGTACTTCAGTGGAAGGAAAGCTGAGCGTTCCCCAAACAGCAAACGCTGATCTAGCCAGCTGAGCATATTGATGACGTCATCACATAGTCACATACCACTTGCCCAAACTGCTTGTTTGTGTTATGCCATACATTTGTGTCGACAACATCTGCCAACGCTGGTCTTTTTTTGCCATTCTTTGTAGTTTCTATCCTAGAGGAAGAGAGGAGGTGGAGGAAGGCTGTCCCAGGGCCATCATGGCCAAGACAGCTACTTACAAGCTAGTCTATAGACCTGAAGGTGTCAGTGAGTTGTACGACTTGGCAACGGACAAACGGGAGCTCAATAACGTCTACAGCGATCCGAATTATCAAAAGGTAAGCCGTAGCCTAAGGCTAACGGTGAAGTCATAACCAGTGCCCGAATGAATAATAACTATTTGAGTGAGGACGGTTTTCTGCCAGTATGTCAGTAAAATCATATTCGTTTCCTTCTTCTTGTTCTTGGACATGAGTGCACTGCCTTCAAAATAGCTTTTCACGCAAAACTCTTCTGTTCTGTTGACTCTGGGCATTCCTCTTGCATGTTTTTCTCACTCTACTGGTAGGTGCGTACTGAGATGCTGAATGATCTGCTGAAGTTCTTGGTTAGAACTGCCGATGTCACACCAGTGCTGGAAGATCCCAGAGGCTTACCGAAGCCGCCTCATCTCGGTTAACATGGACATGCCCGCAAGTGGGTTGTGGCTACATTGGCCACAGGATGTGCCACCAGCATGTAGTGGAAGGATTGGCATGCTGATTAATGATGATGTCCCCGCATACGTATTTCTAATTATCGCAAGAAAACATGCATGCAGCGGCTATGTCCAGAGATTGTTATCATGGCTGTTCACGTCCGTCAGCAGAGATATGTTTTAGTTACTTACTTCTCCTAATGTTTGCACATTTGGAAACATACTTGTTTGATTTAAGGATGCCTTTACGGTTTCACCTCACCATTTGTAACCAACAGCATGCTGGGTTTTCTATGTACTTTTTTGAAGTACTATTGTCCGCTGTACAGCAAAACATGATGGCCCGCACACCATAATGGCTATACCGTATACAATATTGGAGAGCGCGGTTACATGAGGCAGTATGTGCATTGGGATGTCTGGCGCTGGGTGCTGAGTACGCAATTGGTTGCACGTGCATTGGGCAGAATATTGAGCAATATGTACGCTGCAATGTTCAACGAGATGTAGACTTATAACTATAAAGCATTGGCTCACAGCCATGACATACATAGCGGGTTCACACACCAGCTATTGTCAGAACCGAACTCCATCCTACACAACACCACAAATATACCAAAGTCCAGATGTGTCCAATCTCAATCATTTGTCTGCTCGGGTTTCATTGTCGCAAAATTTACAGGTACATGTACATGTGTGTTGTCCTGCATACAGACACACCTCCCTAGCTATACCATGACCGCGCACTCCGCTACTTCGAAGTAGATGCATATAATTATGTGAAGTAATAGCAACGAAGACATTGTGTAAGGCTGTAGACGTTCAGTCCCGCGCCAAGTGCGGATTCTCTTCCCCAAACCTGCACCTTGAACTCGATCACGTGACGAACTGGAACACACTGTGACTGCACTGTCTGTAGACCTAGAGTAGTGTAGACTTCGGGCATACTGTAACCATGGTAACCACACAGAACTAGACAGTAGATTTACGTTTTCATTGCTATTCACGTTCACTTCATGGAAATACAGTTACCGCGGCGCAAGATCAAAAACAGGCGATATGGTTCCAGTCGTATTGCTGACTGTCCTTCTGGCTCGCGAGGTCTTGTCTGCCAGGGCTCCAGGAGATACACGACCAAACTTCGTTATCTTCCTTCCCGATGGTGAGTTGTCTACTTATCCATTAGTAATATTACTAATAGAAGAGATCTATAGTGGTGAATGAATGAAAAGGTTTCTTTCAGTTCAAAATGATTTTTACGTGTGTATGTGTACAAACTGTACATGTATGTCGGGGGGGGGGCGAGAACAGCATGGCCAGCTTGTTTGTGCACTATTGACCCGGTGAGGCAGGAATGAATCAGAGTCGTTTAGTAATTACCAATAACATTATTGTATCCTGGATTCCATTTCCCTGCCGCATCCCACACCTGGAAGGAGTCCACTTAGAATAATAGAGTGTGCCCCATTTGAATATTCGCTGATACGTCATGTAGGAATCACTGATAACTGAGAACAAAACTATGCTATAGGCCTGGACGATCAGACACAGATATGTTGTGATCTTCTTTTCGTTGCAGAGACGCGAGCCGAGAGTATTGGCGCCTATGGCCACCCATTTGTCAGGACGCCAAACTTGGACGCTTTGGCAGCCAATGGCACGCTGTTCACGGATGCGCATGTCTTGCGTGCGCAGTGTGCACCAAGTCGTTGTGCTATGATCACTGGTCGGTATATGCACGTACTGGGACATCGTACACAGACACATCTGGTGAGAGAGTATGAACCAAACTTCTTCCGCTATCTGAAGGATGCTGGCTATTACGTGTCATGGCATGGCAAGAACGATATGTTCTCACAAGCAGCATTTCCACTCTCCGTATCAAACTGGACGAATGACATTGGTGTTGCCAGTGGACAAAACCCTTACCCATTTGGTACGCCAGGATATTACAGTTTTCTGGCAACGGGTTCCAACATGTCGGGCAACGACACACAGGGAGGCAACGGGGACTACGAGGCCGTCCTGAAAACCTTGCAGTTCATGGCCGATGATCCACCGGAACCATTTCTTGTGTTCTTGCCGGGTGCTGGCTCTCACCCGCCATACGGAGCTCCGAAAGAATACCAGAACATGTGAGTACAAGTATCCCCGCACCCCCCCCCCCCCCCCCCGCATCCCCCCCCCCCCACCCTCCTGTGGAACAAACTGCATAACAACCCAGCCTGCAAGAATTGGGTTAGATTGGCCCATGGTGGTCTACAGAGCCATATAAGAAACTGCATGACTTTCTAGACCATGTGATCATGTCCCCTCCCCTCCCTCCCCCCCCCCCCACACACACACACCCCATCAAAGTGGAAAGAATTCTAGAAACACAGTGGGACCCACCGAACATGAACATGCACAAGGCAAAATTTTGTCCCAAATTTTGCCTTGTGCATGTTCCTGTTCGGTGGGTCCCACTGTGTTTCTAGAATTCTTTCCACGTTGATAGGGTGTGGAGCGGGGGAGGGGGCATGATCACCTGGTCTAGAAAGCCATGCAGTTTCTTATATGACTCTGTAGACGCCAAGGCACAGACTAACCCATCAATTGCTTCATTATACGTCTGGTACTGGACAAATTTCTATTGACGTGAAATTCTGGTTTCCAGTACAGTGTATATCATTGTCTGACAGTAGCGCTGCATTCATACTAGTATCACGAATAATAATTTTAGTATCACACCGGTCACCTATTTCTATATTCGCATGAGACTGGAATGGTGTTGTCATTATTCTGTGTTTCAGGTATTCTGCAGAGCAAGTGTCTGACATCGCTCCTCTCCGTCCACCACACGTGCCGAACAAACCTCGCTACCATGAGGGTATCATCACGTCCCGACACCTGGAATCATTCAACCAAACCTTCTTCGAGAAGATCAATGCAATTTATCTCGGCAGAGTCAGCTACCTGGATTGGGTAAGAGAAGTTGAGATGTAATCAGGTTGCTGAAGCAATAGACTACCATGGTTACTTGCTTTTGAACCAGTATTGTTATTCATTTAGGATGTTATTCACGTACTCGCAGGTGGACCAAATAGTGGATGCAAATGTGCAAACAAGCTCAATTCTACCCTCTGCTAATAAATTCTCTGTTCTAAATGCCACGGTCCTGGTTTGCTCTGATACAGATTCTAGGAGAGCTGGTGAGCGGTATCGATGCACTCCCCGCAATTTCACAGAACACGGCGATATTCGTGACGTCCGACCACGGCGACTTTGCCGGCGATTACAACCTGGTGGAGAAGTGGTGCACGGGCCTGGACGACATCATGACCAGGGTGCCGCTCATCGCGCGAGTGCCTGGCGGAAGCAGAGGTCACGTGGTCAACGCGCCCGTGCAGTCCTTTGATCTCTTCTACACACTGACTGTGATGGCCAAGGTATGGTGACGGTCCGCTTTTACAGGTACTGTAGAATGGCTAATTTGAAGAGGGTAAAATGTTAATAGCGTTTTCTGAATCAGACCCAATTCGCGATGAATAATTTGTTTTTTTGCGGTCTGGGTTTCAGAGTTTAAAAAATAGATAATTTGTAGTGTACTATACATGCAAAGTTTTGATTGGTGAGTCAAAACTTTAGCGAAAACACTCCTTTCGCTAAAATTTCTAAAATACCACCGGCGCTAAAATACGCCGTTTTACAGTAATGATCAAACCCACATCGTATTATCTAGACATGGACAAACACCACCGACAGCGCCGACATAATGTTCCTAGCCGTACGAGGAGAATTTTTCATACGAAAATAATTTCGTACCATTTCATACCTGTGCCCTGTGTGCGAATGCGCTTCTGCACATTTCTACACGGCATACATTACACATCAGCCGTGTTACTATTCCCGTTGAAAAATCTGGGCTTGGCCAGTGTGAGCACTACCAATTATGTCAACTAAGCTAACTATGTTGGAGAGATTAAGATATTAGAAAGTTCAAAGATCTTTCATCCAAAAATATACTGTTTCCTGTGTTGCTCCTTTGTCCAGATACAGTAACAAACAAGACGTTAATGTTGACTCTTCTCCCCTGGTGGTGTGCAATGCTGCTGCTCATAATGGCCTTGCTGTGTACCAATCATGATGGTCACATACACTTCATACAAAGAGACCATTCACAGGTTTTCTCCAAGCTCAGTAGATTCAAGTACATGTACTGAGTCAATCATGTCCTGTTGCGTCTGTAGGTGAACGTATCTCACATCCACTTTGCTAAAAGTCTTCTCCCTGAGTTGATGGGTGATGCTGGTGATATGAATCGCACAGTCTACAGTGAAGGTGGATATCAATACTTCAGAGAATTTGAACCCAACGATCCGGAGCAGAAGAAGATCTATTCCAATCCACGGAACCTGTAAGACCTTTTAAGACTGCGACTTGCCACTTCAACTTGGACTACCCATGCATGATGACTGCTGCGCTAACTGTTTGCCAACACGTGTCATGTCTCAGTGCTGGATGACTGCTTGAACTGGACTATTGGGAATTAAATCATATTTGCAGCATAACATATCCATGTCCCATGATACCCAATGCTGTAGACAGCAAGCTGTTTCGGCCATCGATACGTGTTCATTGCAGTATTGATTGGGAGTGTATGTGCTGAGCATTGTGGCATTTCTAGATTGTTGTACAGCAAATTGTGTGCCTGCGTGCATTCTACTCAGATACTACCCCCGTGGTCAGGAAGAGCTAACAGAAGGTTGTCCCAGGGCCATCATGGCCAAGACAGCTACTCACAAGCTGGTCTACAGACCTGAAGGTGTCAGTGAGATGTATGACTTGGCAACGGACAAGCGAGAGCTCAACAATGTCTATAGTAATCCGAAATATCAAGAGGTTAGGACTGCAGCACTGTTGTGTCTTTTTGTAGCTGTAAGCAGAAGTTTCCTTGGTGGTGCTGGGAAAGGATTTGCTCTGTGTAAGAACAGCAGTTGAGAGAACGCTGCGTAGCCAGGTGTGTACATGTATTTATCGCCATTCCCGGCCAAGTTACTATGGTATCATACATGGGAGGGGCTTGCGAGTTTCCATGCATGCGGCCAATTATTGGCCTAGATCCCGTGATAGCTTCGTTCAGAACTCTTTGCCTCGTATTCTTTACACATGATCTTCATCGTACTGCTGCACAGCATAGGATTCCTGCCAGATGTTTGAGGCATTAGACTCATTACTGATCTTGTGATGGCAATTCTCTTTACAGGAACATCTTTTCCATGTTTCCAGGGTCAGAAGTAAGTTTTCCTGCCTGGATATGATCACAGCGTTTCTCTGCCACTGAACCGTGCTACATTCCTATTGCTCTCGTGCCCATGTGCTTCCAGATTCAAAAGAAAATGAAAATGGACCTGCTGAGCATGATGCTGCGTACAGCAGATGTGACCCCCGTCCTGGAAGATCCGCGTGACTTGCCACCAAGCCCCCGAACGTTTCAAAAGGACTAATATCAATCTTTGCTGCCGTCCAGAGACTGCTACAACTCACATTTTATTTAAATTGGTGTCACTCGGATTTTGTTAATTAATCGTGAGAAAAGTCAGCCTTTTACAGGTGGAATCCTGATAATTCGAACCTCAAAATGCCAGGAAAAAACTTCTAATTATCCGGACATTCTAATTATCCAAACATGAACCCACAACACAATATGTATATCAAAATGCTCTCATCGTCACGCAGAGTTGCGCTATGGACCTTAGACACAGATTTCACGGATACTGAACTGACCAGCACAGCCTGCTCATGAAAACTGAACTGACCAGTACAATGTACAGTGAACTTCGAATTACACTTTGCTAACTTCGAATTATCAGCACAAATCCCACCCATTTTCTATGTAAGTGGAATCTGTGGGACTTCTAATTAACCGGACATATCCAGTTCAAGGTTCTAATTATCGGATTTTTTTCGTTAAGGCCACCCTTTCTTTTTTCGTTGTTTAACGTCCGCGCCCGCGTACCTTTTTGCCTCCGACCGGAAAAAAAACAAGAAAGTAGTAGTACCAATAATATGCGAAGTTGTAAATACATGATTGTGTAGTTTCACAGTGTGCCGATCATGACCTTAAACTTATAATCTTGCCTCCCGGGCATGCCTTTGTCTTGTGTTCTTTTTCTTTTTTTGTTGGCTTTTAAATATCGTACGGTGTGTGTCCTAGTAAAAATCCAGATGTAATGAATTCATGACATGCTAACTCCATGCTATGTACATGTACCTGTTTTGTTGGATTCATCAGGCATGTGCTCCAATGTACCATCAAAGAGTGTTGTTCTATGCCTGCAAGTGCCGTTAGACCCGGAAATATTGTATATATCACATGCTTTACTGGTCAAAATGTTTGATTGGGGTTTCCAGTTTTTGGAATGGGCTTTTGTTTTTTTTCCGCCCTCCCGCGTACCTTTTCGCGAAAAAAAGGACGTTAAACAATGAATTAACAAAGGGTGGCCTAATGAATATCTCAAGATGTTGCAGCATGACTGCGCCTCTAACTTGTATGCTACCTGCGCTACTTTGTACAGGTATATCATTATGGTCATCCGTAGTCACATGATAACGAGTACATTCCCATTAATTTTGATTGCTGTAAATATACAAATTTTCGGCAGCTATTTAATTTCGGCTACTGTATAGCAGGAAATTTTCGGACGGAAATATTTTCGGACAAAGCCGAATTTCGACCTTTCGTACTGATTATATTTTCGTACAGTGCTGCATGCTAAACACACGTGTTTCCCTGCAGTACGCATGTATAGTGTACATAATTTCACATGAACAAATTTTAGTACGGAATTAATTTTAGTACAAAAGAGGCCGTGTACGAAATCGTACGAAAATAAATTCCGTCCGAAAATTTCCTGCTATATAGTATATTCGGCACCGACCCAAAACGCCTAAATTAAAACGCCGATGAAATTTTTCACAGCATCTGTCGCACTATACCATGCCCTTTACCCCACGCCGAAAATAAATCAAGCTCCAAAGTAAATCACATATGCTACCTGTACAATTCATTTGGGTTTTGGATTGATTTTTATAATTGATTTTGGTTTTGGATTGATTTACTTTTATTTCATTTTCATTTAACTTGCCATATTTTGCGTGTGCATTTTTGCCTTCTTGTTCTTTTATTCCATGGCTGGTAGCCCTCATTCATAATATTGGTTGACACTACCATGTCATCCATGAATTGAGAATAATAATAATAATAATAAATCGCCGCCAAAATGTCAAAAATCGTGAAGTGCCGAAATTTTGCAGCGCCGAAATTTTGTATATTTAGTATCCGGAAGTCAGCATGGGTATAATGCTTGTAGGGAGTCTGTTTACATTTATACGCGACAATCCCTTTATAATAGCAATAAAGAGAACAAATTCTGCCGTCATCGCCACACTACAACGAAGTCATGAAAGTTTACCAGAATTCATTTTCTTGTCACATTCATCAGTGGAAAGTCGTGACTGAAGAGTAACCATGCTGAACAATGATTAAATATACGGCATTCAATGATGTGTTACGAGAACAAAATACAGTGCCAAAATAGAATGAGGGAAGGTGAGACAATAGAAGTGAAGTGAGAGCTAAGTGCAACGGTGGGTGAGAAACTAATAATTATAACGCTAAAACTGTGTAGTGAGACAAACAATCATGCTGTGCACCTACGAAAACAATTTTAACGCAACTACATGTTTCTTCTGCTTACAAAGATCAGGCTTATGTAAACGAATACAAACAGCATTAATTTTGTTCTCTTTATTGCTATTATAAAATTGTTGTCTCCACGTCGATTATTGACAATCCCTTTCGCGGACATTTGGCAAAGAGGCCTCATGTATCCCGAGTCACGACGCGACAAAATTAATCACGTTTGCCAGACCAGGTTCACGGTCGAATACAACCACATGTATAATCCTGCTCATGTTTTTGCACGGGATGCCGTGGTCTGCATTCAATAATTATTATTATTTCAAACCATGGTCTTACCTCACGTAGCCAGCATGGCCGGGCACAGCCTCTCGGAGGCATGTCTGGATACGCCGCTCTCTGCAGACGACTTCCAAGTATTGTAACAGTGTGTACTTCGTAGATTTACCATGATCTACTGCATACAATGTACATATATGGCTTTGTCATTGGTCTATCACCATGATCACGTGAGACACCACTGTCCTTGATTGAGGAGGGAAGGTTCGCTTGCTGTCTCTCTCTGACAAGAAACCTAGACCAGGCTTTTACAGCACTGTGGAGCCAACTAGTCTGCATGATGGTCAAGGACCCGGCATTCAAGTAGAAGTCGACGGATAGCCCGCGCTGCTCGTTTCGGTCTCTTATAGCCTAACGCTACGCGAGAAAGAGTCTGGGGCAAGCTCTATCACTGTACCAGGATTCCTTGTTTGGCTGCGCTGGCGCGAAGCAACGCGATGATGAGGTCGCTAGGTTTTCCTATTGGCTTCTTGCTTGTGATCATCCACATTATTCCCGCGAGAACAGACCGAGCTCCGGGTGATACAAGACCAAACTTTGTGATTTTCCTCCCGGACGGTAAGCAAGAATAGTTGGGTCCTTGTCACCGAGTTCGGTGGTTTGCGTGAAAATTTCACAAGAACCTACAAACTATAGAATCGACACGGTTGTTCACAATTAATCCACAGGTCTGGTCTTTGATTCATGTGAAGTTTTTCAGTGATAAGCCACTTTGCTGAACTGGCGATATGAAGTGTATCTAAGTCGATAGCAGACTGATTGGTGGATAGCGCCTTACCATCTCAGGGCATTCATCATAGATGACTCTGGAATATCATCAACGTCAGTGACATCATTGGGGCAGTATGTTTTCTTGTTGAATTCACTATGCTTTTCAGAAACAAGAGCGGAGAGTATTGGGGTCTATGGTCATCCATTTGTTCGCACGCCAAATTTGGATGCACTGGCCGCTAATGGAACAGTGTTCAAGGAAGCTCATGTTCTGCACACACAGTGTGCACCAAGTCGTTGTGCTATGATCACTGGTCGGTATATGCACGTACTGGGACATCGTACACAGACACATCTGGTGAGAGAGTATGAACCAAACTTCTTCCGCTATCTGAAGGATGCTGGATATTACGTGTCATGGCATGGCAAGAACGATATGTTCTCTCAAGCATCATTTCCACTCTCCGTATCAAACTGGACGAATGATATCGGCAGCAGCAAAGGTCCATCACCATTCAAGTTCAACGAGACCGGATACTACAGTTTTCTAGCCTCTGCATCCAAGTTCTTTGGCAATGATTCGGAACACAACGGAGACTACAGAGCTGTGGTGAAGAGCCTGGAGTTTATGTCCAGCAATCCACCAGAGCCTTTCCTCATCTTCCTACCGGGCATCGGTGCTCATCCCAGTTATGGTGCTCCAAAGGACTATTTTGACATGTAAGTAATTAGTTCACGATGCTGGGGACATATTTTAAACATTTTCATCCAAATCATTACCCTAATCATTAGGATGAAAATGTTTAAAATAATTCCCCAGCGTGAATTTCATTAGTGGCACAGATGAGGCCAGCTTTTCACCCCGATACAAACAAAGAAGTCCACAGCCTCAAGATTCCTGATGTCCCTATGTTTATGCCAGGGTATACACATTTGTTTCACACTGCTGTCCTCAAACACCTATCCGGATAAGATCAGCACTAGGACTGTGCAGTTCAATTGCAACAAAATTGGATATATGTAGATGCCCTAAAGATCATACATTTCTGATCATAATTGGACTCCGCACGGGTGCAATTAATAGTCGTTAATTCAAAGAGTAATCCTTTATTCAGAAGTGTATCTGATGCCTTCTGACTAGCTCTCCTCTGTGTGTGTGTGTGTGTGTGTGTGTGTGTGTGTGTGTGAGTTGTGTGGATTAGACAGTTATCTGGCGCTTGTCTTGATCTGTTTCAATCAGAATCAGATCCGTTATCGTTGCTATAAAGAGAAAATCTGTGGGTGCACATCCAGTGCATTTGCAGATTTGCGTGCTTCTCTTGCGACGGGCGTTTACATGGTACATGGTACATGGTGTGTGTGTGTGTGTGTGTGTGTATGTGTGTGTGTGGGTGTGTGTGTGTGTGCATGTGAGTGTGTTTTTTGTGTTTGTGTGTGTGTGTCTATAATTATGTGTGTGTACATGTTTGTCTGTGCGTCTATAATTATGTGTGTGGGCACATGTTTGTGTGTGTATGTGATTGTGTGTGTGTGTGTGTGTGTGTGTGTGTGTGTGTGTGTGTGTGTGTGTGTGTGTGTGTGTGTGTGTGTGCATGTGTGCCTGCACGCTTCACTGCACTGCCTACATATCTAGGTACTCTGCAGATCAAGTGGCTAAGCTAGCACCGCTGCGTCCACCACATGTAGCTAACAAGCCCAAGTACCACGACGGCATTATCAAGTACAGGAACCTGGAATCCCTCAATCAGACATTCTTCAACAAGATCAATGCTATCTACCTTGGGCAAGTCAGCTATGTTGATTGGGTAGGTGACAAACAGAAATGGCCTCGAGCTCAGCCGGTCCAGTATTTTGAATTGAAATGCTCTTAAAGCTTTCTAGAGTACTGAATACGGATACAGGTGTCCTTATATCGTCCAGAAAAGGACCAATGAACTACAAGTTACGCTATAATGTCCACTAACACCGTCAGTTACTTGACAATCAGCACATTCGAGAACATTGCACTAAACCTTTCTTCACTCTAAATTAATCATTGGGTCTCCATCCGAGTCTATCCTTATATCGTGGTTGATTTTTTATTGCAACTAAGATCTGCTCGACCAATGAGAGAGTCACAAAATACATCAGGCTGAAGTACCCTTCGCAAAGTCTTGAGATAAACCGTGCGGTGATCACTAACCCGGCTAGTGGATTGTGCCAGAAAATACAGTGACATACATTATTGTACTTGCTATTGATTGTCATGCTTCTATGTAGATCCTTGGTCAGCTAGTAAAGGGAATTGATGCACTGCCCGACATAGCCAAGAACACTGCCATCTTTGTGACGTCTGATCACGGAGACTTCAGTGGTGACTATCATCTTGTGGAGAAATGGCCAGGTGGAATGGATGACATCCTAACACGTGTGCCTCTCATCGGTAGGATTCCCGGCGGTGTGAAGGGTCATGTGGTGGAGGCTCCTGTCAATGTCTTCGATCTCTTCTACACAATTAACGTCATGGCAGGGGTAAGATCTCACACAGCATACCCAGCATAGCAATATATTTGAACACCTATGAAGGAGTAATGGATTTCAATCCTCCAGCTATCACCTTATCCTCTCCGGTATATGCACTCCAGAGTCATCCAAAGCTCACCGTGGCATGCAGAGGAAAATGCTGGCAAGTCTGCCTCATACCTACAGGCTCCTCATTGTATTGTCCTTACTAGTAAATAACATGCCCAGTAAGGGATTTGGGCACACATGCTACATGCAACTTTATGAGGTTCTTTCATATCTCAGGCTGCGTTTGGTTGGGCATTTTCAGAATGTAAATGACAACCATTCTGGAATGGGAATGGGTGAGAATCACCTGACCAAACAAACGCGCCAGAATCAACTAGGAACCACTTGACATAACAATTCCATGATGTCGGTGTGGAACGGCGGCTCTCTTCTCTTTTACCCGACTCTAGTTTCCTTTAGAGAGTCGAGGTATTTCTGACTGCATGATTTGAGGCACTTGAACCTGATGCTACATTGTTTGGCTCGAGGCAACCATTATCATTTTTGATTCCGGAATGAGAATGCTCATTCCAGCCTGTGAGGTGGAATGATCATTCCCCAAAAAGAATCATTCTCAGCGATTCCCATTCTGGAATGGGACCAACCTAACGCACTTTTTTGACCAACCAAACGGGCGAGAATGATTCCAAGTGATTTCCCATTTGGGAATGTGACCAACCAAACGTAACCTTAGTGTGGACTTGGTTCACAAGATATAATTATTCAGAAATAGTGATATATTGACTGGAGGTTATAATTCTGCAACCAATCAATGCTAACTGTGCTTTCATTTCTTCGAATCTTGTACTTTCCTGGCAGACAAATGTAAATCACATACACTTTGCTAAAAGTCTTCTCCCTGAGTTGATGGGCGGTCCTGGTGATATGAATCGAACAGTCTACAGTGAAGGTGGATATCAATACTTCAGAGAATTTGAACCCAATGATCCGGAACAGAAAGCTGTATATGCTAATCCACATAACACGTAAGTACCTTAAAGTACCGTTGATCCGCCCCCTCTCTAATTCCCTGTCGATTTTCTACCTGTGAAGCGACTTCGGCGTATACAACGAAATACGATGTTGAACCGACGCATGCACTGCTGTACACAATACTTGCCAATCCAGGATGAAAATGTGCACAATCCAGCACATCGAGTCTGATCCTCCACGTTGTTGTACATCGTACTGCACTTGACAGCATTGATCTAATTCCCGCCCCCTGCCGAAAACCCAGCTGGGAAGCGACATGGTGTGTGTGTGGGGGGGGGGGGGGGATCAACGGTACATTACGGTATTTGTTTGTGGACTTTCACGATTTTGAAACTCTAAAAGCAACACCCAGAGTGAAGCTCAGAGTGTTCTACTCACGTTGGTACGTTGGTATGCGCATCTAATGTTATCAATGGCATCATTTTAGCCCTAGCTTGTTGGGAGATACTTAGAGATTTGCAAGCCGTTCGGTTTTGGTCTTACCTAAACGCTTTGAAAGAACAGAGCATTCTCATAGATTTACCTTAGCTGTCCCTAGCAACATGGAACCACCATCAAGAACTGGATATGCTGTACTTGTATTGTACCTTTTATAGCCTATCTGTGAAGTCCATCGGTGCAGACCCTCAACATTATTGCCGCAACGCAATTATTACAAGACCTGTTGGCATACACATACACAGCTGTCTCTCTCTCTATTGTGCCCTACCCCTCTCACAATTCCCTCTCTCTCTTCCGTGTCTTCCTTTCACTCCCCATTGACAAAGACCCAGCTACGCATGGTTTCACTACCACATAGACTTCTCAAGTTCATCAGAAGTATGCCGGTGGCTCAGGATGATTGTAAAATGTTGCCTATACCGTGCAATGTATCTTGTGTTCACTCAGGTACTGGGCACGGGGGAAGGAAGAAGTGGAGGAAGGCTGTCCCAGGGCCATCATGGCCAAGAGTTCTACTCACAAGCTGGTCTATAGACCTGAAGGCGTCAGTGAACTGTACGACTTGGCGACGGACAAACGAGAGCTCAACAACGTGTACAGCGATCCAAAATATCAAGAGGTCAGTTTTGCCTAGGTGCAGCCAGCACCACTGTGGATGTCGTGTACATGTTTCGAATTGTCATGATAATACCCAACTGCAAGAGACTAAGGGCTATGCACTGGTAACCAGTGCATACATGTAGCCCTTGATCAGTGGTATGTACAAGTAGTTCTGAGAAGTTAATTTGCTGAATAAGCCACATGATTCGAAACCGTGACAAGGGAAGAAATGTGTCACAGTCATATTGTTTTCAAACAAGAATAGCTCATAACTCGTAACTCGTAACTCGTATCCTTATGTCCTTTTCCTTTCTACATTTTATTTTTGGCTCAACATCCGAGTAACAAGAATAGGGATAATTATAAAGTAATCTGGTTTCCTGAAATTGCTGTTGGATTGGATAAACATAATTACAGCAGTTTCCATCAAGTACCACAGTTGAAACTGCCCCGTGAAAGTAGTACACCAAAACCCAGAAAATCTAGAACTAATACGGATTCTGGTTGCCCTGGACCGTACTTCTGTATGGATACCTGACAGATTATAAATCATTTGTGTGTGTGTGTGTGTGTGTGTGTGTGTGTGTGTGTGTATGTGTGGGTGGGTGTGTGTGGGGGGGGGGGGTGTGGGTGGGGGGGGGGGTGTACTTGTGTATGTGTGTCCCATATGGTGCAGTGGCATGTGCAGCGACTTCCAATCGAGAGTTTGGGTTCGATTCCCGACGATTATGGTCACACACGTCTTTCTTCTCTTTCTCAGACTCCTCCTGACTTTTCTTTCACTCTCCTGGGTGGATACCAACAGCCAGTGCATGCCGGAGCATGTGGTGTGATGTGCGTGCAGGAAAAAAAATGAAAAAGACCAAAAAGTAGGGATTCACTGGCCAGAAAAGCCACTTCATAGCTGTGTGGTATATACCAGGCTGAATAGTGGCGGTCAATTCTTCAGCCCTGCAAGCTGTTGAATGGTGCAATCCCAGCACAAGTTGCTATGGCTTCTGCTGTAGCATCGCTAGCATCGCCTCCGGCGATGGTCGTCAAATGGTCACTCATGTATGTGTTGTGTGCTGTGGATGTGTGCACTTGATATTGTGCAGGTGGTTCAGAAAATGGAGATGGACTTGCTGGCCTACTTTGTGAAGACGGCCGATGTCACTCCTGTATTGGAGGATCCACGCGGAGCACCTAAACCGCCATCTTCAAATTAATCACTTAGCTGATTTTTCTTTTTCTAGCCACTATTCTGAACGTCTTCAAAAGTGATATTTAGTATGATATTTATGGATGAGAAGAGTTGCAGACCCCACGCATTGTTTATCGTTTGAAGTTTACCTGACATGCTTGAAGTGCGACCGTGCTCAGCAGCTGCTTTGCTATAGGTCACCGCCCAGTTTTAGAGTCCCTAACTGTCTGCAAATTAAGATTGAAAGGATCACCTCTCGAATACATCCTTGAGGTTGTTTGAGGAAGATTGAATACGGTGTCGCGAACTGTGATTCCGGGCGGCTATTCACCATCCTGTTTGCCTTTCAAGCTTGTAGAGACTGAAGGGTTGGATTAAATAGTCCTCATAATACACACAAAACAAGAACTCTCCATACAAACAAACTATGGGCCTGGACCAATAACCATTCCCCCACCCCTCGAATCAACTGGTCCTACCAGTTGTATCGATTTCATGCCTCAAAGAAGCAGTTGCTTTTAAAGACTAAGTGATTCATTAGTGTATTACTTTCAAGAATTTCCATTTTATTCCCAATGAAACAGGCCCGTGTACCGAATTTAGGAGGTGTGACATTCGTGTTTGAAGCGTTCGTACACGGAATGATGTATTACGGCATGTAGTAGTCTAGACCTACGCTCTCCGAAGCAGAAGCTACACAAATTCTGTGACAAATCTCACCAGCATTGAGTTAGTGCTTACACTCACACTTCCATTCACACCTTATATGGCTTATTCCCACACTTACATCATCTACACTTGCATTGTGTTAGTTATCACCTATGCTCTCTCCCTTATGTATATACCATGCTATCTACTCCCATTGAGTATCTATTCCTCGACTCATCAAGTTGTTACACGGTGTCAGAAGTTGGATGCTGCAGATTCTGCAGATTCAAGGACCATGGACCAGCTCAAGCCGCCAGAACAGCTCCTGATCAACTCTCCCAACAAGGCGGACGCGTGGAGGCAGTTCAAACATGCGTTTGAAATGTATTTAAGTGCCTCTGGACTCAAGGACAAGGATGGCGCCACCCAAGCCTAGGTATTCCTCCAAGTCATAGGAGAAGATAGCCTGAAAGTGTACCAAACATTGCAGTTTGACACAGAGGAGGACAAGAAGGACATCGACAAACTGACGGAGAAATTCGAAGAATTCTGCATCCGGAAAGCAAATTCAACAATGGACCCATGCTTCTCGTTCACCCGGAAACAGGAAGAAAATGAAGACATTGACTCAATGCCGGTGAGATATGTCACAAATTCAATGTAAGCGCTACAGCAGTGCAGGTACAATCCCATGTAGATATACCATGTATACAGTGCAGGTACAATCCCATGTAGATATACCATGTATACAGTGCAGGCAACTGAAATCCGACCCACTGGGCGGCGCGGCGCCGCGCGCCGCCCAGTGGTTCGGATTTCAGTTCCCAGCACTGTATAAAATTAATGTAGATCTACATGTAGCATGCACCCGTCTCGGGCGCGCGGGGCATGCAGTCCACTCCGTGATCCGCGGCAGCTACAGACACTCCTCTCCCGCAGTCCCAACGATTTCGGCGTGTCAAACAGGGGCTACTACTAACAACGACCAGGCACCTTGAAAACTGAGTTGTTGATAGCTAGCACGATGTTGACAGCGAAGACGAAGTCTCTTGTGAGCAAGTTGCCAACTCCAGAGGTGACTGACTACAAGGTCAAGGGTGTAGTGTCTGAAGTGTCTGAAACTGACATGTCGGCCGTGCATCTGGGTGTCGGCTAAAGTGCAGACAAAGTTCGAAAGTGAGAATCGAGCAGATATCGCCATCACTGACAGTTCATTTGTTGGTTGTTTTCTCTCGCTTCATAAAGTAGAAGAGCAACGAGGCAAACTCGAGTAGTCAGATAGTGCTTTCATCGGCTCGGGATCGTAACGTTATTCTTGAATCAAGGACACTTGCACAGCAACAATGTCGGGCGAACCAGCAGCGAAACGAGTGAGTTGATCCGTGTGTTTCCAAACAACTAAAATGAGCACCAATGAATGAGGAACGGTGTGTATGTGTGTGCGTGGGGGGTTGTTGTTGTTGTTACCGGTGCGTTTGGTTTTCGGATGTCCTTCAGAGCAACAAGAAAGGTCTACTGGAGAGGCTGGCCGAGGGAGTAGTGATTGGCGATGGCGGTATGATCTGGGCCATGGAGCTGAAGGGTTACGCGGAGGCTGGTAAATACACTCCAGAAGCGGCCGTGGAACATCCGGAAGCAGGTATAGTAACACAAAGAGAGACTGGGAGATAAGTAATCGTAGATTCTACTCTGTTCAGCTTCCGATGATCAAATTCCCCAGCCCACGGACTGCAGAGTACTGTAGCTGTGTAGGTATGTTGATCAAGAGGAATGTATTGCCATCAACATTCATTTGCTGATATCAAATGAAGCGGGTGCACTCTGTTAGTAACGACGAATACTGATGTCATTATTATGAGATGAGAAGAAACATTAGCAAAGTACAGCCGTAAGCTTCATGATTCCCCTGGGCCCGCATGCAACTACTCTGAATACCGTCGTCAGTACACATCAAATAGGAATGGCCGGGACAACACATGCCAACCTGGCCCAAGATTGAGTCGTAACTGGAGAGACATCATACTACTAGTACAGTAGTAGTAGCATACCATGATTGAAAATGCAAGAATACATGGCCAGGCAATTTGCATCATCATTGCTCAGATCAATGCGTTCCACACGGAAAGCATGTCTGGTGCTGCCACTCCTCTCCCAGCCATCAAGCATACATGTACATTCTCTAGCTACAATGCTCTGTTCTGTACTGTGTATGCCGAAAGGCAGCACACGGTACTGAGAGGTTGAGGTACTGAGACTGCACCTCGATGTCCGGACGTGTCACTGCTGCTCTTTGTGTAGTTTTGCAGATGCACCGTGAGTTTGTGCACAACGGTGCTGAAGTACTACAGACCTGCACATTCTGGTCGTCAAAACTTGAAGAAGAGACGGTAGAGGTACGAGTATGTCCCTTGATGAGTGAATATGCTATCTTCTGATGTCCTTGAACGCTGCGTTACTGGCCCTTTTCATCAATGAAAAACTGTTATCGTGGCACTGCACAACGTTGCACATGAACCCACCACGTGGCTGACTTGCTGATCTAGTTCTGACTTCCGAATGTTGACTTGTTCCGCTCCAGGGTGTTTCTGTCAACGATGCGGCCTGCGCCCTGGCTCTTAAGGCAGCCAAAGAAGCCAGTGATCCAATTTTAGTTGCAGGAAGTGTGACCAAAACTGACCTGTACGAGCAAGGCGAGAGCAAAGAGGTGGTGCAGGCGGAGTTTCGCCGCCAGCTCGACTTCTACGTCAGAAACGACTTTGACTTTGTCATAGCAGAGGTATGCGGGCGTGTAGAGTAACATCGGACATTGAAGAGTGGGGTGCTCACTGCAGACTAGTGATGTTCTTTTAACCTGTGGGGTTACCTTCACCATTTTCACATAGTACCCATACACGTACACAGTGCATGCACATAGTGTTACTGTAGCTTAGGTTCAAGTCTGCCAAGTTTGCAATTTTTAATTGATTTCTAGCCTGGATGCTCTACGGCACCAGATGTCACTGCGTTCCCCAATGTCGAATGTTGGTCGGCGCATGAATTCATCATCCACTGTGTAGCTTAGACAGGTAGCAGTTTGTCTAAGAATCTGTGCCGGTCCTTTCCTTGTCGGCCTAGGCATCTATGACCTGCGAATTCTTTGTTGTAATGATGAGCTTTCTAAAAGGGACGCTTATAATTCATTTTGTGTGCAGCATCTGATTGGAGCTCATTGAATGCAACATGCATTAATTTTATGCAGGCTAGATGCACCCTGACAAGGGGAAAGCAGATTCATATGCGCAGTGGCTTCGTTGATTACTAAAGCCGATGTGGTTCCTGGCAAGAGTACTAATATAATGTCAACCCAGAGATTTGCGGCCCCTTTTTGGGCAAATATTGATGACATACATGCGCATATGTATGTCTGCATTCATTTCTCTGGCTCTGTGCAGTTCTTTGATCATGTACTGGAGGCAGAATGGGCTGTGGAGGTGCTGAAGGAGTCCGGTAAGCCTGTCCTGGCCACCGTCTGCATTGGACCGGAGGGCGACGCCGACTCATTTTCGCCCGAGCAGTGCGCCCTTCGCTTGGCACGCGCCGGTGCTGATGTGGTCGGCGTCAACTGCCGCTTCGGTCCCCAGACGTGTCTCAAGACGGTAGCGATGATGAAGAGAGCATTGAAACTGGCTAAACTTGATCACGTCTACCTCGCTGTGCAACCATATGGTTACCACACACCAGATGCACCTATCAACGGATACAGTGGCATGAAGGAATTCCCTTTCGGTGAGAATATTCATCATGATTCCAATGTCCAATGCTGTCTGTTAATAACACAGGGCTTGAAACTTTAAGGGTCAGCAAAGACAGCCTCCCGTTCCCTGCACTTGTGAATTATAATGTCTGTGTCCTGATAGACTTGTCACTGTTTGTGAAGATTTTAGGTATTGCTAGCTATTCTGGTCACGTGCTCGGTTTGGAGTGTTGTTCGCTTGGTACTGTTCCACAACTGGTCATGTATGTATGTATTCTTTATTTTACTTCGCACAGTCAAACGGATCAGTGCCCAATAATGTGATAGCCAAGGGACATCTTGTGACAATTTTTACTAAGCTCCCTGCGGAGTGAACTTGTTAATATTGTTGCAAATATTTCACCGACAATTTGATTTGACTCCCCTTTCCTGTGTCCTGTAGCTATGGATGCCCGAGTAATGACTCGCATTGATGCTTATAACTATGCCAAAGAGGCAAGTAAGCTGGGTGTACGCTATATCGGAGGCTGCTGCGGATTTGAGGGACGCCATATACGATCCATGTCTGAGGCAGTAAGTGTTGTGTGGAGAAATTTCTGGACCACGTGTGACATCCATTGTGCATACAATTGATTTACCATAAGGATAAGTAAGTGACTGTGATATTGAGACAGCATGTAGCCCTGGGGGAGAGGAGAGGAGAGCTCCTATGCATGCAGAAATCTCAGTCTGACTGGGTCCGAACCGAACCGTGAAATTTATTTCTATTTTTAAATTTAAGACTGCAGCAGCAGCCATTTAAAGATGAACTTTCAAGTAACAGTCAGTGATGGTCAGATGACAGGAGGCCTGAGCTCTAATGTTAGGAGAAGCCACCTTCTTCTAGCCATTTTGAAGTCCATCATGGTTTGCCTCATGGTTTTCATATCTTCTATTTGTATGTATCGTTGTTTCTGTGTGAAGCTTCAAGGGAAAACTGGTCGCATTGCTCCTGTCACCAAACGCTATGGGAAGTGGATCAATACTTATGCAGATAAGGATGATGAGAGGTGAGCAAGACAAGTCTCGGATCTCACCTGCCCACTAGAAAAGACTCAAATTTAGTTTACGCTATCAGTTTTGAGATGCGCAGGCAAATTCTTGGTACTGGTAACACTCGGTGTCCTGTGCAATGGGATCTTTCATGATGCATAAAGCAGGCTCCAATGCGCAGCCTGGCAATCTGACTCCCAAAGATATGGACAGCGTTTTACCCATCCTTTGCACCATATTAACCCTCTTACGTGCTTCATGTCCTTTCTGTCTAGATATATTAAGAGCTGAGAGCTGTTAGCAGCCGGCCTCCCTGTCACCGCACTAGAACATTCTTCTGAGCAATTGAGTTTGAGGGAGACAGGCAAAAGAGGCCGGAGAAGAAGTTCGACTCTCACCACTTGTTTGCACTTTCAAATTCCGGGCAATTGTAAACGCACTATTCTGTCTTAGACATGTTTTCATACACGTTCTTTGTTCACCTTCTGCACAGAGCTGATGCAAAGCACTGGCTGGAGATGAAACCAGCAACTGGTCGTCCAAAAAGTTCAGCAATGTCAGAAAGTGTCAAGTACAGCTAGGTTGCGATTTACTCTCATTTCGTTCCCCTGAGTCCATGGAGATGAGGACACTTCAGCAAGTCTGGCGCTTCTGATGCTGTGCTGTATCTGCATGTAGTCAGTGAAATTCAGCACTCACTCTATATGTATGTTAGGACTAACATGAATACTAGCCGATAGCAATGTCTAATCTCTGGAGTCTGCTCTTAGAACAATTTTACTCTTGCCCTTCCACTCCATTTCACAGTATCCTGACATCAGATTCTATCTTTCACATAATGAACCTGACCTGGAAAGTAGGTAATCTAAACACTCACACCAATTTGTCTAGTCCTTCGTGCTATACATGCTGCTAGTGCTGCAACCAACAACAACACCTCTATTATACGAGCATCATCAGTGTAGTAGACATGCATGGTGTATTCACTCAACTCTTTAACTGTGACAGGGCCTCTGGTATGACCACAGGGTCCGGATCATGTTACTTCTGAAGTATGAACATAATAATCTAAGCTAGTCTCTCTATGTTCGTTTGTGTAGTATGGCAACGCTGCTGCCCCTTGTGCCTAAATGTGTTTTGTCCCCTTCTTGTTTATTATTTTCTCTTTAACTGTGACAGGGCCTCTGGTATGACCACAGGGTCCGGATCATGTTACTTCTGAAGTATGAACATAATAATCTAAGCTAGTCTCTCTATGTTCGTTTGTGTAGTGTGGCAACGCTGCTGCCACTTGTGCCTAAATGTGTTTTGTCCCCTTCTTGTTTATTATATTAAAATTTTATTATTGTTATCATTCGTTCTCACTTTTGTTGTTGTTGCTCATACACACTTGTCACGCTTAGTTCTTACTTGTGTTCTCTTATTTTACTTTTAATTAAATCTACTTCAAGAACTTATATCACACTAACGTACCCAACTCGATATGTGAAATTAGTACTGAAAAGTTACAGAAAATAGCGTTTACTTGCACAGTGTGTGTGTGTGTGTGTGTGTGTGTGTGTGTGTGTGTGTGTGTGTGTGTGTGTGTGTGTGTGTGTGTCTGTCTGTAAATGTATGCATCTGCATGCACGCATAATGAAAATTAATGGTAGTACAGTAGCTGCGATCCGGCAGACCAATATTGGCTTGCGTAGATCTCCATGTACCTACCTACCTTTGGTAGGGGAGGAAGATGCAACAAGCGCTCGCGAGGCGATGATCTGCACAGCTTACATACTACGTACAGTAGATTGGAATAAACTGAGGTATCCAACCTCGACCTCCCGTTCTTACTGTCACTATGGCAGAACAGTAGCCACCTTAACCTTTACTGTTAACTTTCACACCTCGAAGTTACTTCATCAATATGGCTATAGCGATCACTATGTGCTTTAAAGGTGTTAGCCAGCCTGAGAAGTGAGAGTTATGCACTCTTGGTGTTACATGTACATGTACTTAGTCCATTCTGTTTCTCCTGTAGGCTGTAGGCTGTGCTTTCCCTCAGTAGTCATTATCGAACTGAGTGCTAAGGTCTTCTTCTGACCAGCTGAGACCACACGACGCTTGCAGACACCAGCACGAATACTACGAATAGTTCGTCAGTTACACTCCATGACAGCTGCTTGCTCCTGTATTATGATTATTATTATTTAATATTATTATTTGTATGAAATGACCCAAAGGCAATGTGCCTATCGAGGGGTTCATTTGATTGAAAGAACAGTGAACAGTGTAGGCTGTAATAATGTTGGTACAACAATGTACATGTATGCACAAAATTAATGATTATGATGTAGATCTACATCATGTGACAGCGCTACATGTAGCTCTCAGTGCAGTGTTTAAAGGGGAAGTATACCCTAAAATCAAATTTTCACCAGTTGTAGTCTTCTGGGTGCTGAGTCGAATGGTCTTGGTCCGAGGAAGCTGCGACGCTCCCTTCCTGCTTGAATCCCAATCGAACTCGCGCACTTCCACCGAAACTGGGTGACTGCGCCCTACTAGATGGGGATTTGTATGCAAAATGTCACTAAAAGCGCCATTTCGTTCTTATAAAAGCACGGATGACCGCGATTGGCCCATATGTTGTAGTCTTTTGGACGCTGAGTCGACTGGTTTTGGTCCGAAAAGGCTGCGATGCAGCGTTCCTCCTTTATTCCCAATCGAACATGGTTGAACAAGTGGTCACGTGCTCCTGCGTACACCAGTCACCTGGTCACCGTGCCTGCAGGGTACAACTTACTAGCCTGTTTGACCTTTTTTGGGTGCAGTCCTGTCACTCGAGTTGAACTCGAGTTGAACCTTGGTGTGAAAGTTGTCGCCTGCTGGCGCGGTGACCAGGTGATTTGGGCACCCAGGAGCACGTGACCGCTTGTTCAACCATGTTCGATTGGGAATAAAGGAGGAACGCTGCATCGCAGCCTTTTCGGACCAAAACCAGTCGACTCAGCGTCCAAAAGACTACAACATATGGGCCAATCGTGGTCATCCGTGCTTTTATAAGAACGAAATGGCGCTTTTAGTGACATTTTGCATACAAATCCCCATCTAGTAGGGCGCAGTCACCCAGTTTCGGTGGAAGTGCGCGAGTTCGATTGGGATTCAAGCAGGAAGGGAGCGTCTCAGCTTCCTCGGACCAAGACCATTAAACTCAGCACCCAGAAGACTACAACTGGTGAAAATTTGATTTTAGGGTATACTTCCCCTTTAATTCTCACGTGATACCGAAATGGATTTGTGGTATTTTGGGGTGGTCAATCTGAGTGAGTGCGCTCGTACCGAGTCGTAGTCTTAGATGCGCCAATTCCATGACTAACCAATGACCGTCTGTAATATCATAGTACTAGTAATACTAATAGTAATACTGTAGCAAAACATCTTCGTATCGCGTCCTAGATCTTGGCAGTAACAGCAGATCGGTCAAGTCAGCAGGAGAGGGCGCGCGCAGGGTTCAATGTTCCACAAAAAAAAAATAAGTGAACTTCGGATTGTTTGAGTTCAGTTCTTGCAGTCTCAGCGTGTCTACCGATCAAACCAACAATTTACCTTCCCCAAAGCTGTCTCTCTCTACCTTGTGAACAGTACTCAGTAGGTCTACTAGTATTGTAACTAAGTCTACTAGTAGCTAGTAGCTCCGTCACAAGGCCGGCATTATCACGTTAGAAGGACATGACCGCATTGGTTTCCAAAAGTTGTAAGTAAACTAACTTAGTTGGAAACCGAAATGAAAATACCGAAGCCCAGACTGAGAGGTTAGTCCTTGATGGTCGGGAACTATGCTGCCATTCAGAAGAAAGCTGTCGTCCCTGTGCCGTGCTACTACTCCTAGGTTTGCATCTGGTTCGTACGCAGCGTCAGAGCTCCCGTGCCATCGCGCACCGCCATCGCTTGCTTGCACACCATGGGTGCAGGGTGTCCGATGCTTCGCGAAATGGCCCACGGTGAGCGAGGAAAAGCGAATGGTCAGTCCCTTTGTGGTAAAGGGCTCCATTGAGGCGCTGCAAGCTGAGCCCAGCAGTCGAGCTCATGCGGACGTCCTGCTCCCAGACCTGGAGGACGCTGTGGCGTTCAGCATGAAATCTGTAATGAGACAACGACTGAAGGAGACGATCGAGACGGGACAGCTACAAACACTGGAAGGCCAGAAGTTGGCTATTCGCGTGAATTCACTCAACCTATTCCCGGAGCTGGCAGTAGCGGATTTACGCGCTATAATTCATCCCAAAGTAAATATCGTGATGCTGCCGAAAATATATTGTCCGGAAGATATTCAGCAATTTGAAAAGCTTGTGACCGAGATAGAGAAGGAGAGGCAGATGCCAATTGGGCACACGAAGTTCCTAATCACTGCTGAGACGGCAGCCAACTATTTCAACATACAGGAGGTGCTTGCATGCTCTGATCGTATCCATGGTGGAGTCATGGGCAACGAGGACTTTGTCGCCGAGACCGGAGGCAAAGTGAACAAGTACAACATGGCGTCCAAACTGTTTGCCAGCCGCTTCGTCATGGCGTGTCATGCCATTGGAGGAGGCTGCGTGGCTTCACCGCTGCTGGCGATCGACGACTACACGTCCATGCTTTTGCACGCCACACACGCCAACAAAGTGGGTTTCACCGGCGTGTTTTCTCTGACACCAGCGCAGACCACCATAACGTGGAACTGCTTTCACCGAGGCGACAGAGGCAACGCGGCGTGTAAAGAGCTCGCGAGTGGCAGCAGCGGCGCTGAAATGATTCGCCCCTCACCCTTACCTACCCTGTCAGCACCCACGTCAGCATCGTATTCAAAATTGAAGGTACGGTATGTCAGCTGTGTTGGCTTGAAGCTTGGGCATTACATCCCCTACGGAAGTGGTTCTTTCAGAATACATTTGTATTTTGTACTTGCACTTCAAAACACAACAGATCATGCTAGTCCAAATGTGTAGCTTTTGCAGAGATGACAGAAGACCTCTATAGATTCACCGTCACTTCACAGGAGTATCCAGTACCAAACTAGTGTTCAGTCCGTTGGACTATCACTGTAGGGTGGGTATGTAGGGGGGGGGGGGAACCTGTAACAATTCTGTGTGGCCTGTGTACAATCGATATCATTTCTGTGTCGCATGATGTGTGACCCTGCTGCAGGTGGGCAAGACAATTCCCAATGAAGCCAAAGTGCTGACAGTGCCTCAGAACTGGTACATATGGTGGAGCACGATGCTTTTCAACTCATCCAGCTTCCAGAACGGCATGCCACACGGCCACGGCATACCTCACAACATGCTGATGACGCTCGCAAGCATGTATGCAGCAATCTTCAGGTATGGATGAAAGAGTCTGCTGGCAATCCTGTAATTGTTCTTGGCACTTCACGCAATACTGATGAACACAATCAAAATTGCAAACTCCGTTTTGCTAATGTTTCTTGTGGTAGTGCTCAAGACTTCTGAGCTATTGTAGCGCTGAAGACTTCTGTGACTTTTGTACTGACGCTCTGGCATGCAGAAAATCAGGTGAGACATTCCACGGAGAGCTGATCGGCCTCTACGACGCAATACAGCACCGCACCGTCAACGTCGGCGACATGTTACAGATTGTTACGGAAATAGCTGACGTGCAGCCAGTACAGCCGAGCGGGGGCTCTGCGGACAACAGTGGTGGAGCAGTGCAGGCTATCGTCACAACCTCCCATGCTCTTATCAATCAGCATAATGATGTGTGCTTCTGTGCGACTCTGAAATCACGAGTTCAAAACATCGATGACCTGGAAGCAGACATAACTGAAGTAAGTTGTAATATTCGCACTCCTTCGAACTGTGTCAGTAGCCTTCCTAAGCATATTTGCAGTTTAGACTTTAGGTCACTGGCCATATCGTTAGATTGGCTAGGGCCTTACTGCTTTCTCATTTCGTTCGTTCATGTTCCCATCGCAAACTGTGCCCCTGCTCTGATGGTAACAGCTATTGTTTGTAGATAATATTCAGTCAACCTTGTGAATAACAACCTCAGCTATATAACCAGCAATTCGCGAATAAGGCCACATCTTCAGAGCAAGTAGCCATTTGACTTCATTCTTTCAACCTCGGAAATCATGACAACGAGCCAAATAACAACACTTTTCTTATGCCCGATCGAGGGTCATTATTCGCAGTGATGAATCACAGTAGACATGAAATGAGAAATGATGAACAAAGTAAGCTGCCATTGCTCTTCAAGTCTCTTATGCTCTTGTATGTTGTCAGACTGGAGCAGCCAGCAAGGTGGTAGTTGGAAGCGATCGGACTGCCCGCTGGTCATCAAGCAATATACCTGAATGTCTGACACAAGCCCAGCTAGCAGTGGGCGATGTGAGTGATTTTAAGATAGGGTACCGAGGGAACGAGATACAATGGTAGCCTGTCTTCACACTGCAACATAAGAACGTTGGCGGTTATGTGCTTGTCATCCCCCCCCCCCCCCCACCATCACCACCCCACTGGAAGACCCTAGTTGTCCAGTGAACTACTGAACAAGCATAGAATTCACGCTCCAAAGGGCAGTCGACCTGTTGTGGCATTTGGGCACGTGTTGCACTGTGACTGTGTAGTAGTAGGCTTGGTACTTGCGTGGTACTCAACCCGTATGCACATAATTTCCTTGGGCATTGGGGATGGCCAGAAGCTGAACTACCGCGGTACCTGTGGCGCTGATTTGGCATATGTGAGTAAACCATGCAAGTCAACCCACCCGTATGAGTTTGTGATTTCTTTCCTCAAATTTCTGCAGTTGCTGATTCACAAACACGTGAAGAGTTTCCTGGCTTCGGACAATACCTTTCTCATCAACTTCCTGGGCAACAGCTGGCGACAAGTGAGTCGATGATTGGGTCACCCACACTTCGCATTCAACCTGGTTTCAATAGTCTTTGCACTTATTGATGTTGTTTCAAGGCTCTGACAGGCCCAGACAATAAATCACGGTTGTATGTTTATGTATTCAGGAGCATTCCCCAAGGACAGCTACGATTTACCATGCTTCTGTGCACATAAATCAATTGCTTGGTATGTTGCATGATCGTAAATTCGCTGCGGTGTCCTTTGCTTCACATCGTTAACGCTACAATTGCGAGTGTTATATACCTTTCTTGTTGTGTTGCAGGATGGATCCATCTTTCCACCGTATGCTCTGTGTGGAGCACTGAGCAATGTTAATATGGATATAGGAGATAGCGTTGATGAAAGGATCACCTCGTGCAACTTCTACCTACCCATCCTACCAGTAAGTCGTATATGTGTAGTCACGAGAATGGAGTAGACGATGCACACATGGAAGCTGTGATGGGGTTCGCATGGAATTGAGGGTGGGTGGGTGCAAAAGCATTCTATGGAAATGATACTACATGTAGGATCAAAAACCAGTGATTCGATGGAGTCACATGATTTCAATCAATGTTGCCCAATGTGATATATACGGCCGTGGGTGACAAATAATCACCTCCACTGTTGACTCGTGCATACCCAGTGCTGAGAATTTTATGCAACTTTAAAAAGCACCCAACGGATACAGTGTGATGGGAGTGGGTACAGTGTGATGGGAGTGGGTGCATCTGCGCATGCATGTACGTGTGTACTGTTTTAGTGCTAGTAGCTGCTGTACATTGTAAGCCTGTATACTCATACCGATGCTGGTTCTGGTGCCACTCTGGTGACTGTTGCTGCAACAGGATCATACAATGCTGAATGTTACCTTTGTGAAAGACATGCAGCCGTGCACGACTAACACATGTAAGTAGTTAAGTTACTGTCATAAACCTATGTACATGATTGTACTCATACAGTCAACTTGAAACACAGTCGAATTACAGGTCTGATGATCCCCACAGGAACGCAAACATCACGGTGACGCACAAAAGTGACATTCCTGGAAAAATAACGTCATCTATGTAGAATGATTGAGGAACGAGCGGGGTCAATGAGGTGCTAATACGCATGCGACAGCAGAATAGGCACTCGTTCCTCATTGTTCATGCCATTTGGCCTACGCGAAGACTAGCCAAGCTTGCTTGACGATGTCAATGCGAAAAGGCTAATAATAATTTAGAAATTTCCTCATTGTAATGTATTCCGGCTCAGACATAATAATGTACTGTTCGTTTGATCCAGTAACTGTTACTCCCCAGTACCAGAGCGTGTTGCAAAACGTTAGCACCCATACACTGTAGATACATGTAGTATGATACATGTAGAAGAGCGCAGCTTCAACACTGCGGCTCTCTGTGTGCTACACTCTAGTCACATGGGGTATTCTTGGTGGCTGCTTTACGGGGGAAGATGCACTCTATGCACCACAGCTGTGCTCGATATTGTTCATATCATTGCTCCTGCTGTCAACAAACACGCTAGAACATAACTCGATCATGTAATGAGTTGATCAATCCCACTCCCGAATGAAGTTGATAAACAAACAGGCACATTTCACCGTACAAACTTACTCAACGTTTTCCACTTCGGGAATGAGTTGACTTTTTTTTCGCAAGATGAAGCGCTGATGTCATTGTGAATTATGGAAATAGACCAGTTCCCATTTACAGTCAAATTTGGTGTATTGTTCTGCATTGGCATGCAGGTCTGGAAGTGGTGGAAGTGGTAACACTGGGACTCATCGACGTGAACATTGCTGATGTGGAGAGAACCAGTATGCCCTCAACCCTGTTCACGGACAATGGTGATCTACCGATGCACAGAATGAACCAGGTACGGCACTGCAGCGCATGCTATTCCGCTATGTACTTTGTACATGTGACCATTATCCTTTACCTACTCACAAGACATGATGTCCATCCGAACAATTTCCTCCCTACATTAGAGGGCAACCGTTTGGAGAAATTGTGATGAGAATTTTCTCTTCTACTTGGGTGAATGTGGCAGGCAGGCAGGCATGATGGTCTAAGACAATGAATGAGAAACAGAGCGTATGCCAATTTGCAGTCACGCGGCCAGTTGAAAGTGAAAGAGTTTTCCTACAGAGCTACAACCCACAATTTTGTGGCCGCCAGTGGCACAAGGAAAGGATGGATGCAGTGAAGAGGATTTTCCGTCTTTGACCACTTTGCGGTGGATCTGATCTACTCACCTCCCATTGCTTTGGGAGCTGCATTTTCTCCTTGATCCTTGAGGGTGGTTGCGATCTTCCGGGTTGAAGGGAATTCAGTTTGAACGAGGCTCACGTGAACCTTGAAGCTCTTAGGGTGAATATTGTATAGGGCCATTCCGCGACAGCCTCGTCAGGAACAACAAAATTTGTTTTCTCCACTTATTGCGGGGAGAAGTGGACTGTGGAAAACACTCTTCAGATTGTTTTTACACCTGCTGGTGAATCTTGTGTTTACATTCACATTCACATGTACTGTATGTGTTTGGGGAAACCCTGGCTTCTCCCTTCATAGCCACAAAGCACAGCCCGGACTTCCTTCCCCATTGCGGATATATCTGTGGAAATTGAACATCTAAATATTGCGACAGAGCTTTCGGCCGTATTTCCAATTGAACATGTTCAATTTCCACAAAACCTTTCGGGAAGGTACCGAACCGGATAAACAAAAAAACGTACTTCGTAGTCAGCGGATTGCTGTAAATGGGGCACACGTTAAAGAACGCATTCCCCATCGGTTTGGAGGGAACCAGATAAAAAATATTAGGACAAGCGATGTCTGACCGTGCGTAATTAGCCTGGAAGTTTAGGCCAATGGACTTGGAGGGAGGAAGGGAGGGAGGGAGAGAGACGCGGGCCAAAATAGGATAAACAAAATCAAATGAAAATAGAGCATGGTGTTCATATAGAAATACACTGGGAGTAAATGTCAGACTGTCTTGCTTGTTTCCTTTGCTGCTGCATTGCAGATCATGGCTGCATTCTGTCCGTTCCTGTACGGACGTGTTGCTCTTCGGGCAGCCAGGACCATAACCAGGTTCCGGCCAGCGCTTGTCGATGCCCATCACAAGGCGGTGGGCGAGCGATTACCAGGTGTGGCGAAAGAGAATGCTTGGTTTGGCTAGTGGGTACTGGTAGAAGACTATACAAGACTGCTTGTCTGCGGACCGTCTGACATGGCCCACATTTCTTACATATATCTAGAACCCTGAAGAAAGCTGGATCCGAAACAGTTTTAACTCCTTCGCAATTATACCGTGCTTGTTCTCTTTCATACTGCGACCAAGCAATTTTAGTACTCTAAAGTTAGCTGCATAGCAACGAAGATATCATTCTATCAAACCTTTTTTTCTTCTTTTTCAGTTGTAAGTAATTTTTCGACATCACTAATAAAAGTATTTTCATCCCGCGCATGCGCCAAGAGTGAATAGCAACTGAATAGAGCGGTAGTCAGTTGACAAACCCCCCTTTTATTTACAATGCAGTTGCATGATGTCCACCACTTTCTGAATGAGTAAATATTACGAGAGCACAAAAGTGGAAATTAACTTGAAGGTATACGACCATGCTTGAGAGAAGAAGAAGAGAGTACCTGCCAGATTCAAGTCCTGCTTGGAAGCAGAAGGATTTTTCCAACCGTGCACTTTCCACCATTTTGTTTGGAATATCTGCTTGTCGGAAGAAAAAATTACAGGATTGACATAAGGGCTGACTTCTGATGATTACTGCAAAGTTCGCAAGGTACAGCTTTCAGGATCCTCATACAGATTGCAGGACCGTTCTGGCTGTTGTGAACTGAGCAAGCTGGTGTCTGTGGAAATTGAATAGTCCAGGCAGATTAGTCCGATGGGGACAGTAGCAATGAGAAGGATTTTTTTACAAGCAAACACAGCCCTGATAATAATCAGGGGCTTGAAGAGGACAACTGAAGTGACACTGGACAACAAGACAAAGGGGAGTAGGGGCGATGTGCCGATGTGGTTGGCGAGGCTCATCCGACCGGAGGTCCCGGAATCATAGCCTACGACCAGGCATCGATAGGAATGCAGCTTGGGAGGGAGGGAGATCAAGTTAGAAAGAAAAAGAGAGAGAGCCACGAGAAAGGGAAATAAAATAAAATAAAACAAGAAAGAGATGATGGACGAGGGTAGTTGCTCATTGACGGGTGACATAGCCTCACAGGGATAGAAGTGGAAATACTACAAAATTAAAACTAATGAAAAATAACGTGCTAAGTGTGAACTTTTTTAATGCCTCTAAATGATGACATAACTAACGCCTCTAAATGGTGACGTAACTAGCCAGGCCAGGCCTAGGTAGTACCTTCCACAGGCCCAGCATAATTGTCCATTGTGACAATAAATACCTAGTTGAAAAGAAGCAGACTGATTATAGGGTGTACATGACTGTGTGTGTGTGTGTGTGTGTGCGCGCGCGCGTGCGCGTGCGTGCGTGCGTGCGTGTGAGATCATGCTGAGCTTGAAGACCTATCAAAGGAAAGCCAAAACACAAAGCCAGTGGCATTGCTGCAATATTACGCAATGCACCTAGCACAGTGCCATGTACACAAGAGGAGAGATTGGTGAAAGACAAAATCATGTGTCTGCTGCCGGTTGATTTGACAAGAAACCCTCAGTTAAGAATGAATTCCAGATGAACCATTCCTTCCGTTGGGAAAATCCGTTAGATCTAGACGATAAGTTAGAGAGTCCTACTACAAAGCATCACACACACATGGCCATTACACGTGACAGCCCTGAAGAGGAGAACGTCATTGTATCTAGACAATTGAGATATGCACTGCTCAGATGCCATGTCCATTTGTGTGCTCGGGTGCTTCATGGTTGTCGCACTTCATCCAGCTCTTCTTCTCGTCGTCTCGGTTGATGTCCCACGTCGAGCAGTGGATAGAGCCACCAAACTCGTACACGTCCCGGTACGGGATCTTCAGCACCTCAATTCCCAGGTCCTCGAACCACAACTCCATTGACTTCTCACAGTCCTCGATGACAACCTTTGTGGGTGAAATCTAAAAGAACGGAAAACATACAGCGAAACAGGATGGGTTACATACAGCATTCGAAAATCACCAGTGGATTTTCATCCATAGTGTGTTCCAATGCCCCAAGTTACTTACCTGCAGCACATTTGTGCTCAGCCACCTGCCCCATTCACACATCACAGGCATGGTGTCGTCACCCATGGTCGGCTCCGGTGCCATCACAATGTCAAAGCCGCTCTCCTTGAACTGCTGCAGCTCGGCGTCGATGAGCTTGCGTCGCGGCGACGGACAGCCCATCAGGATGCCCCGAGACCCGGCCGTCGGCGGTCGAATGGGCACCAGTGTGCAGTCAATATGTATGGGAGTGTCCTCCTGTTCAGGTACATGGCGAAACAGACCACAAGGGACGTCAATAAGTACAGCACAGGGTTATAGCCAGGTCAAAATAGTGGTGGGGGGGGGGGGGGGCATAGGAAACAGTTACCCCGTATCCCATTTTTCCACTTTCCAATATCGTCTTGCAATGCGAAATGTAGTGTACGGGGCGAATCCCCGACTTCGCCCCAGACAAATGTGCCTCTATGAACCATCTAATAGTGACTTTCGACTGCATTTGCATGAAAAACACGAAAATCGGAAAATGAGTTGGGGACGGCACTTTTTCACAGGGGTGCGCGCAAACAGAGTAGGGGGCGCTGCGCCCCCTACCCCCCCCCCCCCCCCTTGGCTAGAACTCCGTAGCATCTACATACTAGTATTTGACTGCAATGCTCAGCAGAATATTTGTCAGGTGAGCAAACATGAACTTGATTTCGGAGAATTCGGGGCCCCAAACCGATGAATATTAAATTTAAGTGAAGGATTCTCTTCTTTGTGTCCAATTTGGGACAATTTTCATGCTAGATGTATAAGACAACATCGTGATTGAAGTCCAATAGTAGTTAGGTGAAGATTCAGCCCCTAGTACGTAACCACTATACCAATACATGTACAAGGTTAGCATGCCCCCCCCCCCCCTTCTTAGAGCAGATTGGATGAACTACTCACCATAGGCGAATGGATAGTTTTGAAATTGACATGACCGTTGAGCTCACGTCGTAACCAGTCAAGACCTACACGCAGACATGATGTAATCACAGTAGTCACACCGCTGAACACCCACAGAAAGCAAACTGGATACGTGTTGAGCAGTACCCACAGAAAGCAAACTGGATACGTGTTGAGCAGAACACATAAAGGGCACATTCCACCCATGGAAGAACAGAGAGGAGGAGGCATCTTTAAGCAAAGTTATCGGTTGCAAATTGCAAAAGTTCACAATGACGGGAAACCTTGTTTGGTTGTTACTCCGAGTTTCATGCCAACAGGGCCAGCATGCAGACAATGGCAACTCTGCGTCACAAATTGTGGATAACAATGTCAATACAACCTGGCGCCACTTGGTTTCAGTGCGAAGAAAAATGACTTGGCACGTCACATGGAAGGGACAACATGGGTTTATCCCACTTGGGGGGGGGGGGGGGGGGGGGGATGACAAATTTTCATGTGTTGGTGTTCTCTAAAAGTATTAGAACCTGTGCCATTTCGCGCCTGTAAATGCACTTACCCGGTTTGTTGGTGACTGCACTATGCTGGATAATGACGTCAGCACCCATGCGCATCATGTCGGCCGCATCAAACGCAGGCTCCTTGTCCATAAGTGGATAGCGGTAGATGCCTGCACAGTAGCAATGGAGGTGCAGAGGACGACAACAGAAACGGAATCTCTTGTTGGTCATAGGCTAGAGAGATAATGCTGACTTCAGCGATAAAAGAGAGGGTGATCTAGGGTGATCTAGGGTGATCTAGGGTGATCTAGGGTGATCTAGGGTAATCTAGGGTAATCTAGGGTGATCTAGGGTGATCTAGGGTGATCTAGGGTGATCTAGGGTAATCTAGGGTAATCTAGGGTGATCTAGGGTGATCTAGGGTAATCTAGGGTGATCTAGGGTGATCTAGGGTGATCTAGGGTAATCTAGGGTGATCTAGGGTGATCTAGGGTAATACAATCAATGCCAAAATAACCCGACAAATAACTAGTCACCAATCACGGCTACAAGCAATTCAGCACCCTTTTTGACCCCACTTTGTATTGAATGCGGTGTCGACCCCAAGTGATAAGTCGAGATTATTCTCGCACTGATTACACTAACTTGACTGGTGTGGAACTCAGGAAATATTGGACCTGGGCAATACTTGTACCATTGAAAGCTACACTACACTGAAACCAATAAAACGCTTGAAGCAGAATTAACAGCAGCAAGAAATGGCATTTAAGCAGCATATGATGCGGCATGATGGCAACTACTTGCCTTTCTCCAGGCGTTCCTTCTTGCGTGCATCCTTCTCATCCCAGAAGCTTTGGTCGTACATGGAATCCGCCATGCTTGGCTTGGGAGCTGCCTTCCACAGCATCTTCTTGTCGTTGTTGAAGAGATGCTGGACAATATGGCGCGTACCCAGGTACTCAAAGTATCTAGAGCGTCGTGACATGGTGGCCTCGAGAAGAATATTTCCAAGCGTAATGATGGTATCACGTGGGCATGTGTTACAGAAACCATACTGGTTCTCGAAATCTAAGCAAGAATTTAAAAAAAAAACGAAAATCACCATGCCAAGTAGGTTAGAGGAAGAAATCGAAAGGTGGGCAGTTAGAAGTCCAAAGAAACACAGCACCACACATGAAGAGAAAGAGAGAGAAAGAGAGAGAGAGATAGATAGATAGATAGATAGATAGATAGATAGATAGAGATAGAGAGAGAGAGAGAGAGAGAGAGAGAGAGAGAGAGAGAGAGAGAGAGAGAGAGAGAGAGAGAGAGAGAGAGAGAGAGAGAGGAGAGAGAGGGAGAGAGAGAGAGAGAGAGAGAGAGAGAGAGAGAGAGAGAGAGAAAGATATGTGTGTGTATACATTTGGGGATACATGCACAGTTGTGTGTATGTGACCATCTAAAGGTACTTCAAGTAGAAAGAAGAACAACACATTTGATGCTCGGCAGATTTAGGAATATTCTGGGCTAGAGTTCCTAGGTCTTAGAACACCCATCTCACTCCTCGAGGAAAACACGGAGAAACAGCCGAACGTTGGGCCATGCAAAGTCGGAAACTCATGTACCTAGTTTAATATATTTTTTTAACTGGAAGACCTGACCATGAAACGTCAGACTTAATCAGATTATACCAGTCATGCTGGTATAATCTCGATGTCACTGTAGGTAATGTATGACAGTGCCGGTACAGTGTACAGTGTACAGTGTACACCCATCCATGGCATAAGTGTACAGTATACATCCATGGTGTTGAATACGAGAAAGGACTACTGACGACATATTATCCAGACATTGCAACGGGAACAGGTAGGTTGGTGGAACGACATTTATTAGAGACGGGATGACTAAGACCAGGACGAACGAAACGACTACATGGTGATTATTGAAGAGTGAGAAAAAGAGAAAGAGATCAAGTCTGAACGGCAAGATAAAGGGCCTGGGTAGCTATGGCCATTATGGGCGCACAAGTAGCTACCCAGGCCAACGGAACGAAAGGAGACAAAAGGTGAGTACGCGAGTGCATGCAGGCCAGCTAGAAAAGGTACGGGAGGAGGTACCTAACAATGGTATAAATGTACAGTATTTGCCGGAGTATAGTGCGCACTTTAGATGTACTAGTTCACGCCCCGAATCGCAGGTGCACCGACACTATGCTCCGTATATGAATATGCCTGTACTTCGAAAAGTAGTGCAATGCATCAAACTGTTGCGAAGTTTGCCACCTCTGATCCGGCGCACGCCATATGTGACGGTGTGCATCTCTAGTGTCCACTGACAGCTACACTGCTAACACATGGTATGGGTATGACGAGACCCCATCGGTAGCTTGTGCATTATACAAATATACGCGTTGATGTTACGACAAAATTCTGACAATGGTCGCACTATAGTACTGGCTTTAGATGATCGATCGTGCTCTCAAATCTAGGCTGCACATTATACTCCTGCACATTATACTCCAGATATACCTTGAATTTCCAAAATGTTGTTCAAAAGGGGGGGGGGGGTGCGCAGTATACTCCGGCAAATATGGTATATGCGGTCCATTCTTAACTGAACAGTGATAGTATTATTCAATCTGCGGACATAACTGTTTCGTCCTCTGTAGACTTATCAACGCAGAACAGAGATAACGAGGCCAAACCTGATAGCAATAAAAAATCCAAAGCCATATTTAACCCAGGCGTGAACTGTGGACATGCCTTGCCAGAGTGCTCAAACTGAGAAGTCTGGTGAGCTCTGAGAAAGGCAAACAGCAAAGGCACTACCCCACATGAGAGTGCTCAACTACCCCAAGAGTAGGAGGGATGATCCGGGTTTTTTTCACGTATGCATTCTCGTGATGCCGGGGCTCCTGGCCATAGGTTGGATTGAGATAAGCAATTTTGTAGGGAAGAGACCAGTTGTATGTGTGATGTTGTCAGGTTTAACCGTGGTGGTTTTAGCCCTATGTTGAGGGAGCATATGCTGGTTTGTATTCGTGGGTCCCCATGTTCCATGTACTCTCAGTCGGTAGAGCATGAGACTCTTAATCTCAGGCCGGTCGTGGGTTTGCGCCCCACATTGGGCGCCAATATTGAGTTTCATATGGTTCATGCAGATCAGCTAGGGAAAAGGTAGACTGTATGGGAGGAGGTACCTAACACCTACAACTACTGGATGCAGCTAACGAGGTGAGACTTACCACCTCACCCTCGCCGCTAGGTGCTGCATCTGCCACCTTGGTTTACCGGGCATGCTGGTGGCCTGACACAAGCGAATTTTCCTAAAATTTCAACACCATGGTATAGCCGGTGGTAACGTGTGAACATGTGTGATTACTTTACTTTACTTTATCAGGGGCGTAGCACCCGCTACGACTGGTACGACCATGGCCGTACCACTTTTCGAAAAGTATGGTCCGTCCGGAACGTGCAAAACCGTAATATAAAAATCAGGATCCATCGATGCATATGCGCATCAGACTTTGACCTTTTTCTAGACTCGTACTCGTAGATCTGCCATGCATCTGTGCATGTCCATGCACGTCTCTTCTGCCCGTGAAATAATTCTATGACTGATAAACTGTGCCAGAAGTTCCCAGAACGCAGGATTTTGTGTCTTTTTTACAAAAATTTCCCGGGGGAGGTCCCCCGCCCCCCCCCCTCCAAAACGGCCTTCGGCCGTGCCGACCTTTGGTCGTACCACTTACAAAACCCCTCCTACGCCCCTGCTTTATACTAGATAGCTTGGTATGTACACTATCTAGCCAGCCCGGCTTGGTGGAACTGCTCACGATCTGCACCCACTTAGCCTAGCTACAGCTGGCAGGGACCAGGGGGACATGATGGTGTCTAACAGCTTGATTGAGTGTTGACAGAGTGGGCGACAGGCTGATGTGTGCTACGTTTCAAGTGCTGCATTCCTGGAAGGCCGTCTGGAGTAACTCTCTACATAGCCATCACCTCTGGGGGGGGGCAATGTTCATCACCCTGCACTTTTACTATTGCAACTGTGTTCCTTGCATGCTGCTTATGATGGTGTCATGCTGGTGTCTTTTGCTCTCTGCCCTTCCCCTCATCTGACAGCTACGGACCGATAAGCTTGAGTACTGAACCAACGGAAGATATGATAAACCACTTCACAAACAAAGGAGCTGTAAAGATGTTCAATTAGCTCCCTGACAAAGTAATCTGAGATGTGTTTAAGTGGCAATCAAAAAGTTTAGAACTCCACATTTGTTTGACACAGAAATCCCCTTGGGGCTTCGATGATCACCATTGTATAGGCACATGCCCTGCAGGTCGGTAAGAGCATAATGGCCATACGTTGAAACCGTGAAACCTGTCTAAGGCGACTGCTCAAGGGGCCTTCCAAATGTGGCCTCTGCATACAGCTAGCTGATTCCTGTTTTCAGGGTCATTTGACTGGAAGCAGCATCCATGGCATTGGTCCTACTTGTAGTGGTCCTCTAGGACAAGTGGTCACCTAATCAGAGTGGTCACCTTGACTGCCTTGACCACCTTCACTGGACTTAGTCAGAGTTGACACAGTCATGTAGAGTAATAATAATATTATTACTATTATTACTCTATCCTTGTGCAATATAACCAGTATATCTGTATATAAAACCAGTATATCTGTATCAGTTTGAGTCGTCTGATGAGTGTTTTTGCCCACGAAACTCGGAGTAACGCGAAAAATGTTTGGTCTCTGTCGTTGTGCCTTGTGTAGTAGGCTCTGCCCTTGTTACGGTACAGAGCACTATTTGCAGCATGGACTTTAGACACCGTAGTGTTAATACTTGAGACATTTTCGCATGTTGGGTAGTTGGGTAGGTGGGTTGATGGGTGGGTGGTCACTGTACAGGCTTGCTGTGACAGTGCAACAGGGCATGCCCACAATGCTGTGACAGTGCAACAGGGCATGCCCACAATGTCTCTCCTGACAATGAGGTATACTTTTAAACTAGGCGGGATTTCACAAGGCATGGCAATTTCTCAGCACTCCAGGCTCAAAACTTCACCACACACTTCAAAACTAGACAAATTCGAGTGCCATTGATGAGCTGAAATGAGAATTGTACTGAGTTTTTGGATCTCCGCAATCCAGAACTGTGAAACAATACGATCCCGATACATACATGTAATATACGTGTACATGTACAGTGGTGACTTTTGGTGTTACTCCTCCACATAATTATAGTCTAATATCTAGACAGGGCAACTGTGATAGCGTATAGACTATTAGACGTAGCGCAGTGCACAGAGTATTCATGATGAAAAGCAAGTCACTAGCAAGTCGAGGCCTTCAGCTCTTACTGCTAGCGACCACTCACAGCAGGGTTGGTTGCAGGCGTAACTGTAGACACTAGGTATTGTCCCGAATGGGCATGATGTGTCCAATGCTTATGCCATTCTTCAAACTGTGTGCACCAAAAATGGGGTTAATCCTGTGGCCCTGACCGAGTTACCTTGGAAAACGGAAATCCAATGATCTCCTTTGATGGGGTATCCGATGATGCACAGTACACCCAAGATCAATAACTTCAGGGTGTGTATGGATTTTAGTATTATGGAAGGGTGTTTTTGCCGAAGAGCCTGTGCGCTCTTAAAAAAATTATATTATCACTCTTACGTGGAGTCTTGACAGGTTCGTTGAAGTCCATGGGCAGAGTGCGGTGTACAACAATGCCTTCACCTTCCAGCAGATCTGCCATGGCGTCAAGCTGCACATTGGCTCTCTTGATCACCGACTACAGACCGGAGCGGAAGTCACATCATACAGATTCGCAAGTTATTTTGCATGTTGTGGAATCCAGGATGAGGCAGGGAACGGGTCAACCACCAGAAAAGTGCTGTGCAGCTCTCATAGGAATATACAAGTAGAACCTGGTTCATAGCAGGCGCGTCGGACACGGTACGGTCACTACGCTATTGACCGTACCAATTTTTGCCCCAGTCACCCCGCGAATCAATAATACACTGATCTGGGATCTAATTTCCCAACATGTTCGGCTCAGCCATGCCTCCTCACGAGTAAATTGTACTTCAGATGGCTGACCGTACCACACTAAAATACCTTCCGACGCCCCTGCATAGGACTGCAGAAGTATGCAGAAGTGAAATTTACAGTCCATGTACTTACATAATAATATTATATGGGCCTCAACCAGCGAAAACAGCCCTTAGGGTCAAATTTTTCAAAATTCCTTTTTGGTTAGAAATTTGTTGAAACACATCTACTGAAGGACCTCAGCCAAGAAAAAGTTCAATATTCCGATTCAAAACGGGTGTATACACCAATATACAAGGTGTACTCCAAATTGGTGCAATGTATGTATACGATGTGTGTGTACAATAAATGTTCAGCATTCTAAGGTGGGTAGGCAGCTTGAATACCTTTGAAGTAGTGCAGTAAGCAGCTAGAATGACAAAGAATAACTGAAGAGTGCGGAGACATGATCGACTTATTATTTTGCAGCTGCATCCTGCGTGGAGTCATTCCGCAATGTCTTCCATTTCTTCCTCCGCAGCTGACGACACGACGTCGCTGCCGTCACTAGCCCCAGACTCAGAATTTATCTCAGGTGATGACTCCTCATCTTCCGACTCTGACGAGTCATCGACCACCTTGAGCCGCAACGCAGCAGGAGATGACGGCTGCGATTCGGCCTTGCTGTTGACATCGATGTCGGAACCAAAAAACGTTTCATCCTCACTCTGAACTTCAGCGGCTACTTCAGCATCCACTCCCTACCAGGCTCGAGCTAGCTGTACACAATGACTTCCGCGTGTGCTCTGTGAACAGCTCTGGCGCCCGCAGGCATCGCAACAAGATCAAGGAACACTCGAGTCGCCACTCGACACCACTTCAACAAACTAACTTCAAATAAATTCAAGCAAGGAGTTCAAGAAGAACTCGTCGCGCTGTTTGCAGGCCGATCAAAAAATTGTTGAACGTCACAAATCGACCTTTTTCTTGAAAAAATTACGAAACCTCTAAGGGTCGTTTTCGCTGATTGCGGCTCATATGTAATCTGTGTAATCCAATACACCACACCACCACATTGAGAAGAAGTAGCGACGACCCGGCCATTATGGTAATCTGTGTGTAATATAAAAACCATGTTAAATGTGTTGCAAACAGCTATGGCCTCTCACCTTGAGCTTCGGTCCAAGCGGGAACGGGATTATGTCACGCAGCTCCGGGTTGTACCTAAACTGTGTCCGCCATGTTGGCTCAAAGTGCGGATAGCAAGCCCCATCAGCTCGGCCGACGCACACTTCGTTTAGCTTTCCCCATTCCGTCCAGGCATTCACTTTGTTTGTCGAACGAGACAAGCTCTCATCGGTGCAACCGTTAGTAGTCATGCTTCCTGCACAAAATCGGCAAGAGAAAGGAGAGACACAAGGGTATGATGAGATCCGTGTGTACAAGTGTTCAGAGGACCCAAGTATCACAGGCATTGCATTTTTTTTCAATGGATATGGAAATTTTAACTGATAAAGACTCCAATAAAGCCATTCCCTAGATGACATATTACTGAGATAAAACATACCAGTAGCGCTGATAAATTCTTGAGAGAAAGAAAGCGCAAGCACTGACTTCACCCTAGGTCACTAAGTTTGAGTTTGATACTACTGTCGTGGACATGGAAATCCGGTCGGAGGTCAAGCGGCCCCAGGGCGCTGGCCATGCAGCCGTGAGTGACGCATACGATCGACATGTGCACTGCATGCAACGTGCTGTACGTACTGAGTGCACCGGCCGCTCTATCCTACCCCTACATGTATTACTACATTGCTCCCTCGCTCCCCCCCCCCCCCCCCCCTGGTGGGTAGCGTTTACAAAAAGAAGGATTGATTGTGTGAACACCGGCACTGGTGAATACCGGTAAGTGAAATCCATGCTTCCTGTGCATGTTTGTCACAGGCGCTCTGACTAGGCTTCGGCGGATTATGCTCGCAAAATCATGAAATTAGGCTTTCATGGATGCTCGCATTATGCTCGCAAAATCCTCGTATTATGCTTTGGCATGCGGGGATACATATTCACTTTGTTGTACTTATGGAGCCTCAGAGTACGCACAATTGTGCGTGTTTCATACTTGCAAGTGGCCATCAGTAGAACAAAATACATGAGTATCCCCATATCAAGGTGTCCATGCATGCTAGAGATCAACATAGAAAAGAGAAACCATTACCTTCTATTCATTAGTGGACTTCTTTTGTAAAAGATTTTTCATTGCCAAATTTGTTTGAGTTTTATACCTCATCATGTTCAATTGTCTTCGTAGTCGTCATGCTCGTCCAACATATCAACCTCACCCTGCAAATAATCATCCCATCTCTCCCGCAGCTCCACCTCTCCTTCCATCATGACCGAACATCAATTATGCCTCCTATTAATAATTAAAAAAGAGGACCAAATAAGTTATCCATTTTGTCCAACACTAACAGTTATAAGCAGAATATAGCCGTTAGTGTTGGACAAAACGGATAACTTATAAACTTTTGGTCCTCTTTTTTTAATATTAATCCTTGGCTCTCCATCCGAGTTTAATCTGCACACCTATTAATAATTAAAATAAATTATTAATCATTAGACTGATATCAGATAAAGTGCATACACCGGTATCGATATTTGCAATGGGAGTTGTCGATAAGATGACAGCCGGCACAGCCATGGCTGCTAAAATCCAAACGTCATGAGTTCGTATCATGCATAATGTACATGTACGCAGAGTTTTGCGGACTACCCGTCGATATCTCGTCCGCCCCGACATACATTATACCTGATAAAGGCTGATTCACTCGCATCTTCTGCTACATGTACGGTATCAACGTGAGAAAGAACAGTGTCACTATGAAGAAGACGAGTTCGAGCATACAACAAAGTCAACTATGTATTCGGCCATGAGTTCTACCCTGCTTTTCGCTTAAAAACACTGACGTCTGTCTGTATGACCTCCTACCCCTTTACAGTGATGCAGTCCACCAGCACTGATCAGGTGCATTGTACACTATTATGTAGACTACATAATAATATGTACATGTACATACTAGAACTGTAGTACAATCATGTAGTTATGCTCCTGCCTCCAAAAGGATGCCAAATTATGCTCCAAATTTTCAACCACCAAATCAATAATTGTGCCCGGCATTATCCGTGGGAGCCTAGTTCTGAGCCCCCAAAGGCCATAGCGGGGATAAGGTACTAGTAGTACCTGTCATTACTAGTGCAGTAGATAGATGTACTACTAATATTCTTTACTCATTGTAGGCATAGATCTACTACTGGCTGTACTTTGTACTACTACTAGTTCTCAGTTCCCATACTGGCCATAGTCATACGGATATGGGACGTACTAGTCCTACTATACTACTAGTACGTAGTAGATACTCTACTGCCTACGCTACAGACAGTCCGTACTGTACTTCATGGTAGATCTACGACTACAGTAATACTAATAAAGTAATAGCCTAGCGCCGTACTCCCGTAGTACATTAGTAGGGATGTCAGCGCGGACACTGCGCAGGGCTTTGCGCATTCAATGATGTAATCGATTTTTCAACGCGGCGATGGCAGACTGAAAAAAAATGGCGATCGCCAAAAACCGGCTCTGTGAGTCGGTATTTGACGACTCCCCGATGCAGCTCGTCCTAGATTTTGAAGTTCGGAACATTTTTAGAGAGAAAGAGAGGGACAGAGAGAGAGAGAGAAAGAGAGGGCTAGAAAGAAAGATTACTCAAGCTAATGCTTCAGTAGAGTCACTAGAAGTTCTGGGCACACTGATAGGCTAATATCATCTGACAATTTCCACAGTTTGTGCCGCTTGTTGCAGAGCATAAGTGAAAATGCGCCGCCAGAAGATCGGCGATCGTGAAGTCGGCTTTGGGTAGATTTGGCTTTCGCCATCCCGAGGAGCCGCTCCTGTTGCCTGTGAGAACCAAACCACGTCTCCACACGACAACTCGAACAAAACCCTGTCCACACCTGACAATCGATGTCTCTGGAACAACGGCCAATATGCACGGCGATATGTCAGAAATGCAGAAATTCACCAGAACGAACACCGTCACGTGGAGCATGAACGCTTCGGTCAAATTTCCTGCAAGCTCTCAACATCCAACATCAAGTATTTCTGCCGGGTTTACCATTGAATCCAGAGCTTTTCCCCGGTTAAATCCAGAGATTTTCAACTCGGAGATCGTGGCAACGATCGGCATGGTCGCCATTTTCCGCTCTGAAAGAACCCTGTCGTTTGGAACGAAAACGGCTTCGCGCCTTCCAACGAAAGCTACAAATCGATTCCAGAACACATGGGCGGCCAAAATACCAAACAAGATCCCATTCTGGTAAGCAGGTAGCCTGTAACCACCATCTCCTTGCAAGGAAATTTCAGCCATTTCTCCTTCGTTCAAGATCTCAATTTTCTGCAAAAAATAGCCAGTGTTTGGCAAAAATTCTGCATGCCACTTCTGATGCGCGTTTGGCTGCATGCGCGAACTGCATGCGCAGTGCACGCGCTGAGATCCCTAACATTAGTAGAGGCATGGGGGCTCGGCTCAGCTCAGCTGGTGGTGGTGGTTGACTGTGCCTGCTGTGAGTGTGAATGAGCTGGCAATCAAGAACAGCGGCTACCGCATGAACAATGGGACACGCATCAGATCAGTCACTGATTTAGGGCTTCATGCCGGTTATTACCCTCTTTATAATACACTACATGTACCACCAGAACAGGCTTCATGTTTGAAAAAGCAGAAAAGCAAAAAAAGAAAAGAACGGGCGATGATGATGTTCGCCACTGCAACTGCATGCCTGTACTACACTCTCGACTGGAATGGAAAAGCACAAATACACGCTGGACTCCTGGTTGTGTACTTGCTTCCACAAAACTAACTACAGCCTTACAGGCTACAGTACAGTATGGGTCTAGAGTAGAGGGTTCTTCAACAAATAAAATGTACCCTACAGAGAAACACTTATGACAATACTAATAATTATTTACTATAGCTGAACAGACCGCTAACCTGTCAGTGTCACCTCACTCCTGTTTCCTCGGTGAAGTTCCGGAAATATTCTGTGTAGACGGACCTTTCCTTTTACACACAAACAATGGAGACGCAAACTCTCAGTCTGCGACCAACTAACGTCTGATTTTCGGATGAGAAACAAATGTTCACTTTATGGAAACTAAGTTTATCTGTTGAAGGCGCTAGGCCAAGCTTTATAGGCACGAGGCGAGGATTCGTGCTGTCTGTGGTGTCTGTGGTGGCTGGATAAGCTTGGAGGGGTTCGAACAAGCAGCTGCAATAAAATTTGAAGCATTGCTCGAGACAATCTTTGCACCTCACCTGGCAGTTGCTTGCAAGATGAATCTAGCTAGGCTTTGGTCTGCGTAGAGTTGAAAATTTCAAACCTTTACTTGGAAACTTTGATGGCATCTGGTTGGGTCGAAAAGCTTGTTTCAGCTAAACAGCCAAAATGTGGCGGGTTCTTGTTGACATGTTGCAGGGGAGGCTGAGCGTCCATGTAATGGCTCTCTAGCCAACCTACCATGGCACGATCGAAGGATTTGCTCTCCGCTGCATGCGTGTGCCGTGTGGATACATAGTCTTTAGAATTTACGATGATTATGCTGTGCACGTAGATCTACGCTACGTACACGATCAACTGGATCAGGCGATCGGACTGTGCATGATGTGGGGCCAGTGTGGGCTCGTTCTTGCTGCAGCCTGCAGCGCTGGCGATGCGTTGACCTCATCGCTCATGCTCACCTGCTGAACAAAGTCATGTACATGTACATCTACTTCCAGAACGCAAGTAACTGCTGTACTCTATGTACGGCAAAGAACCTTCGAGCTTCATATCACTGTTTATTACTATTAATTATTTTATTACTACTAGTACTATTACGTGTAGAGCAGCCTAGGCTTTGGCTTTGGTGTGGCACGATCTGCGAGACTCGTGAACCACCTACCGCCGCCGGCTGCGGTGCACATGGTACAGAATGCTAGTCTACCTGTACAGCTGTGCCTACTGTCCTTTCTTTCACTATGTACCGCGTCGTACCTGGATCTACCCTGGGGGTAAAAATGGCAAGTGCTTGTACTTATAATCTGTGTTCACGTTACAGATGTTCACATGCTGTGAAGAAGATCAAAAGTCCGCGACGTCTAGCTGGAAAACAAAAGGAGGTCGAGATGCGTTCTGAAACCGATACGTGACTTCCGGCATAGGAATTAGGAGTACAGTCAGACCTCGCTTATCCCGTCCTATTTTATCCGGATCCATCGCGACCCGGAAGAAAATCGCTGGTTACCAAGCATACGTACATGTACATGTATACAGTATGACTGTGTGCTTGATTATCCGGTTCCCTCGCCTATCCGGATATTTTTTGTGGAAAACGGATGTGTGCGGTTATGCGAGGTCTGACTGTAGGAACGTTTGGTCTTTTATTGACACGGAGTGACTGAGTGTCACTGTTAGTGAGGCGACTGAGCGAGTAGCCTGGCCCTGGCCGCAAGTCACTAGCTGTTCCTTGCTAGTAGTAAGAGCAATTATTTCAGTTTTTGTAGACTGTACTGCTAAACACAGGTAACCCGATACTGTATACATGTAGTGGCTTGGGCAGGTACACATGATGTATGTTTTAGCCAATAGCCTAGGTAACACCTCCATCACACCTTCCACATACTCAGTAGATCTACTGACTGTCAAGCTCAGAATCAGCCCAGTGTGGAGGAGCAGTGCAGTGCAGCGCTGAGTGTACGACTGCTACGTAGCTACGAGTACCGAAACTCAGCGCAGTTCAGTTCACATGTTCACCACGCAAGCCAGCCACTCTTCCTGCGACGCAGTTTTTTTGTAGAGCCCAGACTCCCTCACTAATAATAATGTGACGAGATAATGCCTCATGGAGCTCAGTGGTTGAAGTGAAGAATATACATGTACGTACTAAAATACTGGTGTCTGTAGTGACTAGTGTACTGCACTGACTGTAGGACCGATTCAGAAGAAGTCATCGAATCATGATTTGGGTAAAATGGACAACGAATTCAAATAAAAGAAACAAACAAACCAAACTACAAGTAAACTTGTATTAAACTGTAAGTATGGTTGCTCCTACAAAATACATGTACATGTACAATCAGTCATGTACATGTACATGGATCGAAGCCGGAAGGTCACGTCCCTTGAATCCTGCTACTTGACTGACGCACGACCGCCATCCAGGCCGCGCCGCAGGGCACACGAGGTGACGAGGAGCATTATCCCGTCACTGCGTTTGTATCCGGACCGACCCAAGGCCTAGTGTCGTAGTGATGTTTGGGCTGCTGCCGGCTGGCTGGACCTCTACAAAATGTAGCGCTCCTGGAGCACAGAACCGTCAGAAGGCCTTCCTTCACTAAGTTTTAGCCTACTCAAACTCGACTAATGCCAGATCTGCAGTCGATTACGAGAGGTGCCCTCGAAAACACTTGTGGACCGGTGGTAGCTTGCAGGTGTGTGGAGAGGAAGGCTCGACAAGCTCAGCTGATCAGGGCCCCGGACAGGGGTCCAGACACTAACACTGTGCACGGAGTCAAGTGCGAGCTACCCGTAATTGTTTCAATAATTATTTACTTCACACGTGAAATATTTAAAGGGGAAGTATACCCTAAAATCAAATTTTCACCAGTTGTAGTCTTCTGGGTGCTGAGTCGAATGGTCTTGGTCCGAGGAAGCTGCGACGCTCCCTTCCTACTTGAATCCCAATCGAACTCGCGCACTTCCACCGAAACTGGGTGACTGCGCCCTACGAGATGGGGATTTGTATGCAAAATGTCACTAAAAGCGCCATTTCGTTCTTATAAAAGCACGGATGACCGCGATTGGCCCATATGTTGTAGTCTTTTGGACGCTGAGTCGACTGGTTTTGGTCCGAAAAGGCTCCGATGCAGCGTTCCTCCTTTATTCCCAATCGAACATGGTTGAACAAGCGGTCACGTGCTCCTGGGTGCCCAAATCACCTGGTCACCGCGCCAGCAGGCGACAACTTTCACACCAAGGTTCAACTCGGGTTCAACTCGAGTGACAGGACTGTACCCAAAAAAGGTCAAACAGGCTAGTAAGTTGTACCCTGCAGGCACGGTGACCAGGTGACTGGTGTACGCAGGAGCACGTGACCGCTTGTTCAACCATGTTCGATTGGGAATAAAGGAGGAACGCTGCATCGCAGCCTTTTCGGACCAAAACCAGTCGACTCAGCGTCCAAAAGACTACAACATATGGGCCAATCGCGGTGATCCGTGCTTTTATAAGAACGAAATGGCGCTTTTAGTGACATTTTGCATACAAATCCCCATCTAGTAGGGCGCAGTCACCCAGTTTTGGTGGAAGTGCGCGAGTTCGATTGGGATTCAAGTAGGAAGGGAGCGTCGCAGCTTCCTCGGACCAAGACCATTCGACTCAGCACCCAGAAGACTACAACTGGTGAAAATTTGATTTTAGGGTATACTTCCCCTTTAATTGACAGGAAAGCCAAAGCCAAAGGGGGAGCTCCAGGCAAGAGCAGCCCACCACTTGCACTTCGTGGACAAAGAAATGTGCTGTGAAACTATGTTGTGTCGTGCGAGTCATACTCATATTATGCAGTAAAGTTTTAGAGGCAACCTCCATCCACTTGTACAAGCCAGTGTTGTGTGTACAGAAGGAAAGTGTTATCACCCTCAAATTGTTTACGTAGTAGTTTAGTGCGAGTGTGGTGAGTGTGATTGTCCCCCCCCCCCTTCGTTCACACTTCCTTCCGTCTGTTCAGGTTTGCTTTGTTTTACTGATGCTAATGATGATTCACACGAATTGTATTGCAAGGCCCGCCGACAGGCATGACCACTTGAGGTCAATTGGGACGCAACCTTCCCCTCCCCCTGGCCCACAGTGCTTCTGGCGCATGCCGACCGCTTCTAGCTAGCTGCCGACTCTGGAATGGCCTGCCCGACTGTATGAAGTCCATAGTATCTGTCCGTGAATTCAAACGCATGCTACGCGTATTTTACTTCGGTTAAATGTAAATTTGTAATGGCTTTCGTAACCTGCTGATGAGGCTCGATAGAATCATGCTACGATGACCCGGCTTGTAAATTTGAGATCCATTTTTTTCTGCTCGTCTTGACCCTGCCTCCCCTGATTGCTACTTCCATTCTCGTATTTTTATTTTCATTTATTTTCTCTTCATTTCTGACTCTTCTTACTGGTTGTCATCGCTTCCATAATATTGGGCAGAACTGCCCGTTTGCCTTGCGATGTAAAATAAATAAACAACAACAAACAACAACGAGGAGACAACAGTCGTAAAATAGCAATGAAAAATATCAATTGTGCACTCATAACCATGTATAAACAATTAAAATGAAACAATTCCAGAACGTTTTCGTGTGACCATCATCAGTGGAACATCGTCACATAGTAAGAATCACTAAAACAACCAGTTACTTGTATATAGCTAGAGTAATATGAAAAGAAGCGTGAGAATGCAGCACAGCTAGCGGTAATGCATAACGCGTGTAGTGTGAACCTTTGCAGTGTATCTGAGATTGGTAGCAGTAGATGAATGAGTGTGTTAAATAATACGCACTCACCAGTTTTTGTTCACACGCACTCACAGCTGCCACATTCATCTACTGCTACCATTCTCAGATACACTGCAAAGGTTCACACTACACGCGTTATGCATAACCGCTAGCTGTGCTGCATTCTCACGCTTCTTTTCATATTACATGTACTCTAGCTATATAACTGGTTGTTTTAGTGATTCTTACTATGTGACGATGTTCCACTGATGATGGTCACACGAAAACGTTCTGGAATTGTTTCATTTTAATTGTTTATACATGGTTATGAGTGCACAATTGATATTTTTCATTGCTAATAATAAATTATTAATTATTATTATCTAATAAGTATTCGCACGCAACGACGCAAATCCACACAATTCAGTAGACACTTCTTTTCTATCAAACGTTTTCTTTCCCTTCTTTTCAGGATAGTACAGGGAATGTTGTAAATTTGAAAAACACATAACTATATAGAGAATGAAAGAAAGAAAAAAGTCAACACTTCAACATAGGTGTTAAAAATGATTAAAGTGTTAAAAACTCAAAAACAAACAGCTGCAAGTTGTAGACAAACACGTTGAACACATCAGGGAACACTTGTCACACTTTCACGAGGTGTGACACCAAACAACTGCAACGATAACACATTCTCCTTCTGTACACATAGTTCTGGATCTAGTTTACGAATATACAGAGCTTCTAACACAGCAAGATGTAACTTAGACCTTCCACGAGTCAAAATCGAAAAGATATCATCACTATACAACTTACGACAACTAGCACTGCCCGACAAATGACGCTTGATGGACGATGTCCGATCACTTAGCTCTGTCACCTTCAACGCCTGCCGTTGTTCTCTTCCGTTAGGCTTGTTTGGTTGGTTGCTCCGGTCCACACC